AAATGAGAAGAGGAATGGAATACAATTGGAGAAGCAAAGCTATCCACACAAGGGGGTTGCTAATTTAAAATGTTGTAAGAAAAGCTAGAGAAACCTTTCAAAAATGGAAGTATAGAAATTTCAAACCATACAGAGAGAACTTTAAAGAGGTATGATATCCTAGGGGAGGGAGCCAGGGGAGAAGGAGAAGTAGGAAAAGACACCAAAAACTACATTTTCAGTAAATAGGAGAATGGCCTAAAGAGATAAGAATCATGACCAATTCCTTGCCAGCGTACCAATGTTGCTGACAGTGGCAGGACATTGAATGTTAAGTGACCTTGCTCAAGGACCAAGGCAGATTAGGGTGTTCCCGGTTTTAAGATAATCGTGTTTAGGGCGTTCCCAGTTTAGGTTCCAGGTTTAAGGTTTAAGATTATTCCTGCTGGGAATAGGGCGTATCCTGCTGCCTGAGTTCCCCTTGAGTTCTCACGGGATTCAGACAGTATATTTTGGAGATAGAAGCCCAGTGGAGGTGAATTTGGGAGAGAAGGTGGATTTGGGAAGAGAACGTGGATTTCCCCAGAATGTGATTGTAGACGGCTGGTGTGAGTTCGGGAATAAAGAGTTGCTGTTTGAATCTACAAGCTGTGTGGTGGCTCGTGATTGTGTGCCCAGCCAGACTGCGGCATTTGTGCCCAGCCAGACTGTGGCATTTGGCGGCTTGTACGGGGAACTTCTGAAGCTTAGAGGTAAGTGAAATTGCTCGCCCCTGAGGAAGAGCGAAAGAATGGGTGACCAACTCAAAAAACAATGTGTTATTGTTTTGATTTATCTTGTTTTTGTTTCAAGCTGCCTATCCCTAGAAATTTCTCAGGCAAACTGGAAAAAATGGTTGACTAAAGGTTTGAAGTTTGTCGGCCCTGAGGAAGAGAAAATTGATACAACGATTTTTTATTCCGTTTTTGTTTCATTCAGTTTCGGCTTTGTTTTGTGCTATCTTATTGGGTTGCGTTATCTTTATAGTAGATTAGAAATTAGTAAAAAACAAACCGAAAAGATGTTAAGTAAATTGTTAGAGGTTCAGACCATGGAGAAAGACATTTTAGATCAAGCAAAAGAGAAGGTCTCTCGAGCTAGTCAGACAGAGGAAGAAAATTTAAAGGAAAAGGGGTTGTTAGGAAAAAGGCCACAACAGGAGGCTGTTACTAACTCCATTTTATCACAAGAGGGCGTAATTCAACCAACAGCCCCACCGATGGAGACAGCTGAGTGGCCCTCAAACCCCGTAGTTGATAAATGGGATCCTGAGACAGGACCTCAAAGATTAGCATGCCCTGTTCTTGAACAGGCAGGAGGGCAGCGAATTCACCGTGCCTTAGATTTTAAAACAGTGAAGCAGTTAAAGGAGGCTGTAACAACCTATGGTCCCCAAGCTCCCTTCACGGTAAGCATGGTTGAGTCCATTACTAACTTGGACATGACGCCAGCAGATTGGGCTAGCATGTGTAAATCTGTACTAAATGGAGGACAATATTTGTTATGGAAGGTTGCCAATGAGGAATTTTGCACGGAGACAGCTAGGCGAAATGCAGCAGCCGGTTACCCTCAAAGAAATCTAGATATGTTGTTAGGAAAAGGACCTTATGAGGGTCAACGGCAACAAATTGAATATGATCCTGCTATATATGCACAAATTGCTGCAGACGCAGTTAGGGCATGGAAGACTTTACAAGGACATGGAGATTTACAAGGTCAGCTATCTAAGGTAATACAGAGAGCTAATGAACCTTACGCTGACTTTGTAGATAGGCTAATTCAAACGGCTGCCAAAATTTTTGGGGATACAGAACAAGCAATGCCATTAATAAAACAACTGGCTTATGACCAAGCAAATCGTTGCTGCAGAGAGGTTATTAGACCATGGAGACATGAAGATTTAAACACATATATTAAATTATGTAGAGATATTAATGAACAAGGGCAAGTCTTGGCAGCTGCAGTACAACAGGCTTTAGATGCCAGGCCAAAAACATGCTATGATTGTGAACAAACAGACATTTTAAAAGGAATTGCCCCATAGGAGGAGGGTTTAACAAAAGTAGGTATCAAAGGAATAGAATACCAGGTATTTGCCCACGATGCCGTAGAGGGAGACATTGGGCTAATGAATGCCGTTCTCAAACCACCATAGAAGGTACTCCCTTATCAAAAAACGGACAAAGACCAGGTATTTATCCAAGATATCGTGGAGAAAGGCATCAGGCTCCATTGCCAAAAAACGGACAGGGGGGCCCAATGCTCCGGGGCCCACAACCACAAATATACGGGGCAGTGGAGGATCCCAGCAACACCATCAGGGTAGTGCCCAGGACACATTGTCCATTAAATCCCTCATCAGACAAACCCAAGGGAGCGCAGGGTTGGACATCTGTGCCTCTGCCAGAGCAGTATTAACTCCAGAGATGGGAGTTCAAATCATTCCCACAGGAGTAAAAGGACCTCTTCCCCAAGGAACAGTAGGCTTATTACTGGGACGTAGTTCATCTACATTAAAAGGACTTATGATAAGTCCTGGGGTAATTGATCCCGATTATGTAGGTGAAATAAAAATTATAGCTAGTTCTCCAAGAGGTATATCAGTAATTTCACCTGGAGATAGAATAGCCCAGTTGTTAATAATACCCAGCCTACATAATAAATTTCCTAGTCATAGTGTAGAAAGAGGTTCCAGGGGATTAGGCTCCACAGGTGTAGATTGGGCTATGTTGTCTTTAAATTTAGATTCTCGCCCAATGCTAAAACTAAATATTCAAGGTCATGAGTTTAATGGGCTACTGGACACAGGAGCTGACCTTAGCATCATATCTCGTCAAGAATGGCCAAAACATTGGCCATTACAACAAGCCACTCAAACGCTTCGAGGCCTAGGAGTGGCGACTAATCCCCATAGAAGTTCTATGATATTAGATTGGAAGGATCCTGAAGGATGTGAAGGAACTATACAGCCATATGTATTGGATCATCTTCCTATAAATTTATGGGGACGAGATGTCCTAGATCAATTAGGTTTGACGTTAACAAATAACATCAATCCTAATGCGCCCACTACTAGGGCTAGACAAGGCTTTAGGAAAGAAAAAAGATTAGGAAAACAAGGGCAAGGTATAGCAGCACCAGTACAAATAGATCAAGGAACAGACAGACATGGGTTGGATTTTCAGAAAGGGCCACTGAGACAATCAAAATTACTTGGAAATCAGAAAGACCAGTGTGGGTTCCTCAGTGGCCCCTGACTAAAGAAAAGATACAAGTAGCCCATGATCTGGTCAAACAACAATTAGTGGAAGGACATATACAACCTTCCATATCTCCCCATAATACTCCCATTTTTGTCATCAAAAAGAAGTCTGGTAAATGGAGATTGTTGCAAGATTTAAGAGCCATTAATAATGAGATGGTTATTATGGGACCTGCTCAATCAGGGATTCCTCAATTGTCTGCTTTGCCAAAAACCTGGCATGTTTTAGCTATAGATATTAAAGATTGTTTTTTTTCAATTCCAATTCATCCCGAGGATAGTCCACGTTTTGCATTTACTATCCCTGCATTAAATCATGAAGGTCCTGATCAGAGATATGAATGGAAAGTACTCCCTCAAGGGATGGCTAACAGTCCAACTATGTGTCAAATATATGTTAACAAAGCAATCCAGCCACTTAGAAATCAAAATCCTGAACTACAAATATTTCACTATATGGATGATGTATTATTGGCACATAAAGATAAAAACATATTGCTGGAATGTTATGCCACACTTACAAACTTATTAAAAAATTATAATCTAGAGATAGCAATAGATAAAGTACAATTAAATTTTCCAATTAATTATTTAGGAGTTCTATTATCCTCAACCATGGTCCGTCCACCAAAAATTCAAATACGAGTAGATCAACTCAAATCACTTAACGACTTTCAAAAGTTATTGGGAGACATAAATTGGATAAGGCCTTATCTAGGTATACCAACAGGAGAATTGGGACCTTTATTTGATATTCTAAAAGGTCCATCAGATCCAAATTCACCCCGCATGTTAACTCCTAAAGCAAGAAAGGCATTAAAAATTATTGAAACATATATGGAAAACATACATTTGGATAGAATTGATATAAGTTTGCCTTTATTATTTATTGTACTACCAACAAAAAATATTCCTACAGGAGTATTTTGGCAAGAAGGTCCATTATTGTGGATACATTTATCTTATTCTCCTAACACTATTCTTACTAGGTATCCTGAGGCTGTAGGACAATTAATACTCAAAGGAATAAAAGCAGCGAAGGGAGTGTTTGGAATTTCTCCCAATAAAATTATTACTCCATATACTATGGATCAAATTGATGAGTTAGCTAATGAGTTAAATACTTGGGCAATAATCATGTGTAAATCTAATGTTTCATTTGATAATCATTTACCATCTAATCCTTTGTTGTCTTTTTGGTCTAAGCATCCTGTAGTTTTTCCTAAAATGACAAGAAAAACACCTATCATGAATGCTCCAAATATATTCACTGATGGGTCAAATAATGGTACAGCAGCAGTAGTTACCCCTGATCAAACTTTTACATTTTTAGTACCCAAACAATCAGCTCAAAAGGTAGAGCTTAATGCAGTTTTACAAGCTTTTGTGATGTTTAAAGATTCTGTATTTAATTTATTTTCTGATAGTCAGTATGTAGTTAATGCTATAGTATCTCTTGAAGATGCTGGTAGGAATTTGGGAGAGAAGGTGGATTTGGGAAGAGAACGTGGATTTCCCCAGAACGTGATTGTAGACGGCTGGTGTGAGTTCGGGAATAAAGAGTTGCTGTTTGAATCTACAAGCTGTGTGGTGGCTCGTGATTGTGTGCCCAGCCAGACTGCGGCATTTGTGCCCAGCCAGACTGTGGCAATGATAAGTGGAAACGAGTCTTGACTCACAGAATTCTTATTGCCACAAAACAAATACACATGCTCACTAATTGCTTGCAAACTTATATTTATTCTTCAGACCCAGTCAATAAGAAAAAGATAATTCCTCATTGTATTTACTTTGAGTAAGATACAAGAGAGTTCTTAGAAAATAAATAGCCCCTTACAACTTGTCATAATTATCTGGTCATTGAGTGAGCTGAGCAGTCTTATCCTGTTCACACAAATCTAAACAAGAGCAGGTTGTGGTGTGCCTGTATCTGTAAGATAGTGTGCTGCCATCAGGACAGTCGAGAGCAATGTCTCTGAACTCATAGTTGTCTTCTCGGCAGCAGAGGCATGAATTTTCCAACTGAAAGAGATCATAATTGTACCTAAAAGAAAAGAAAATTCAATAATAAATACATTTGAAATGTCATGACAGAAATTCAACATCAATGCTTAAATTGTAATTGATTGGTTGGAAGGCTTATTAAGTCACTTAAACAAAGTACTCTTCTCCTAGACCTTGCATTCCTTATTGCTGTGACTTCTGATAATTGGTACTTAATAACAAAAGAAAAGAACTCAAAGAGAAGATTTGTAATCATAATATTAAGGTATAAAAAGCAAACAGATTTTAAATAACCTATTTAGGACCACATTAATCTATATATAAAACTTCACATAAAGGAATGCACTTTATTGCTTAAGGTACTGACTGTAATCACTGCAGGAAGATAAATGTATTTGCACAAATGTGTTGAGCCTGTTTAGAAAACTTGAGAATTACTTATTACTATTTAAAAATGTTTGTTTGAATCCTGATCATCAATTAACATTGCTCTCGTGTGGAAAAAAAAAAATCTCCACGTTAATGTTTTAAAATCTTGATTTCCTCCACAGTCAATGCACAGTACACAAAGGAAAACTCACTTGAGAGTCCTTTTGCATTCACCCATACATTTTGCCATCTGGATTCTTTTCTTGCAACCATTGTACTTAACAGTCACGTTCACAGGAGAAGTTCTGCAATTATTCTTACCTAAAACAAAGAAGATAACAGGCAGGTGTGACATTTAATATTTTAACAATTGCTCAGCCTCCACTTTCTTAACCATAGAGGTAATGGCCTCAAAAATAACTATTACTAATGGAATTAACTATCTCAGTCCTCAGTAAAAGGCAACTGGTTAGTACTAAGATAAATATTACCTCATAATTGCTCTTATCACAAATGAAAGAGAAAGGGACCAGTGGGGGAAAATAGGGAAATGGATTATTAGCAGTGAAACAATAGTTGTCAAAAATAATCCATAGGTGTGCTCTAATTCAGCAATTTACAACACAGCTCGCTGATGTTAAGAGCTAATCTTCTATTTAAAATTTCTTTCACTGTAAACATAAATGGTGTTCACAGGGAAGAATGTTACAGCCAAGAAGAATGAGTAAACACAATGCATTAAGTATAAATATTGATGGATAGTTTAGGTTGGATTATATGTTATTAAAATACAGGTAACTTTCTATTAATGATCTTTCATTGTATTTTTAAAATCCTATCAACAGCTTATACTTTGTGTTGACATTAACTTACATGTATAGCAACATTTTCTTGAGTCATAGATTCTGTCTTCCTATAGGGGTGAGAGAAAAAACAGATTGGAAAACTTTTTTCTCTAAATAATATACAATTTATAATTAAGGGGGAACAGAAAAGATGAACATGCTGATGGCAGGTCTGGAGCAGGGGCAAGGAAGGAGGGAGGTGAGCTTGGGAATAAAAATCAGGCAGTATTTAGACAGAATTCAAACTTTAACTAAATTATTTTAAAAGATAACAGCATGTAAAAAATTATTTCTTATTTTACATGAAAAATACTTCAACCTTAGACATTAAGCTTCTCAGGCAGGATCTATACCTGATCTTTGTTGTAATTACTATCCTACCAATGTCTCCAAATAAACTCTCAGTTGAAATCCAGTACTGTAGTTTTTAATAAGTTTAAAATTTTGTAACTCCAGAAAGAAAAATTATTAAGAATCCATTCATAGAATACCTTCATTTTTAGATCATATAAATGAAGATATTATGGAACAAAGGTATAAATAATACACATATATAATTATGGAAAATATTTCTATTTAATAACTGACATATTTTCTGTTGTGGCAGAGGGAAGTGATCCTGGGAATTGAACCCAGGGGCACTCTACCACTGTGCTTCATCCTCGGTCCTATTTTTTACTTTTTGAGATAGGGTCTTGCTGAGACTGACATCCAAATCACTATCCTCCTGTCTCGGCCTCCAAGTCACTGGGATTACAGGCATGCACCACCATACCCAGTTTATGATCTACTTTTTCTAAGATAGCACTAAATTAAGTTTTATAGTGCCTGTAAAAGATAAGGACCGTCCTTGATAATCCACCTTTTTAAAGGACTTTTTATATATGTAATCATCTGACTCTTGATTCAGTAAATTTGTTTAAAGATCTATGCAATTGGGGTTGTGGCTCAGCGGTAGAGGGCTCTCCTAGCACATGCAAGGTGCTGGGTTCAATCCTCAGCACCACATAAAAATAAATAAAGATACTGTGTCCATATTTTAGAAAATCTTTTTAAAAAAGAGCTATGCAATTGATAAGAGATACATGTCTGTTGTCCAGATGCAAATTTTTTTTCCAAATTTATGATAAAGAAGTCATCGTGCTGCCCACTAATTAAGAACAAGACTTACTTCTGCACACCAGCTCTGCTTGGGGCAGTCTTGGACCACCGCAACAAAGCCAGTACTGTTGCAGGAGTAGGAGACACAGGGGTTGCTGGGGTCATCAAATGAGGTACCGATCTGGAAGGAAAGGAAGGGGAGAATTATTATTTGCTTCAAGTTTTTTCTGGAGTTGACAGCTAAGCCAATAAGAACAAAAACAAAAAATTCACTATTTAGTGACTGTCTAGAGGCACTTTTAGCCATTAGGTTAATAGTGAATAAAGAGTGGTTTGAATGTCTTCTACTTTTGTGAATAAATCAAAATTCTTCATTGAGAGCATAAAGTGTCTCAATTTTTAAGAGAAAATTCACCGAATTTTCAAGAATTTTTCAAGAAAGCTTATTGTACAGTGAGCAAGCAGTTCACCACAATTGTTATACTCTAAGTTTGAGGGGAAGTAAATAAGATATCTAAGTAAGGGGAAAATGTCACAAAATCAATTTAGAACAGATGACAAACCTCCTAAGATCTCTTCTATCTTGACTATATTCCTATATGTTTAAAACCCACTAGATTTTTCTAAAGAGTTTATGTTCAACATTCTAATTACAGCATGAGAAATTTTATTTTAGGGCTTCAGACCATAAGAAGAATTTTGATAAACTGAAATTTTATTATTTTGACTGTTAAGAAACATCTCTAGTCATGTATATGCATAAGTGTCATCATCTTTTGTTTAAAAACCATTATGGGTTCTAAAGTCAGATCAATGCTGAAAACTAAAAGTTTGAATATGGTAAGTAGGTTGTGAAAGTAAGACTCTCACAAGCTGTTTTATGTATTTCCTACTTTTTTATTTAGGAACCTACTTGTGGCAGAGGGGAGTGATCCTGGGAATTGAACCTTTAATTTTAGATTTTTAAAATATTTGATACCACCAGGTCAAGTATATAATTATAAAAATTGGATGATTCTCAAATTGATGTCTTTTTGACACTAATTTTCAAAAGTTAAATACTGTCCAAAGTATCAAATTAGTTGTCAAAACCAACCAGCCCTGAATATAGTGTGTCACTAAGTCCACATCGTGGGGTTCTAGTCCTCTGGGTTTTCTTGTTTGATCTCTGACAGTTTGGCCATCTGATCTTTCTGGTTATAATTACAGTTTAACTCTGCTCGTTGATTTGAATGTTACAAAGTGTGTCTTCTCCATCTGGCAAGACCCATGGGAAATTTTGTTCAGAAGCTCTACTGCTGAGTACTTAATGATGAAGTATATTTTCCCCCTTTGATAAGAACCATGGGGAGTGTTACATTTGATGTTCTTCTGAAAATTAATACAGGGACAAAAGAACTCATTCCACTCCATAATTACCATTTTTTTCATATTATAAACTGAAAGATCATTGGTGTAGTTTAGCATTGCATTTAGTTATAGTTATTTTAGAGAAGAAAAGGCCTTACCTCATAATCCGTATTGTTAAATAAACACGTTTGGGGTTCTGAAAAAGACACAAGTTATTTCATTCCATAACAAATATTAGATTCTTTATCAACCAATTATGTTTCTCCTCATAATACCAAAATATGCATATAACCAGTAGATGAATGGACAACTGTTAATTTTTGGTTTCCCTAAGTTTTACCTATCATACAAATTCAATTCATTAAATGCATTATGAATACACACCACAGTGTCCAATTTCACAGCAGGTATCATTAAACGTTACAAGCTTCTCTCCAGTTCTGCATACAGGTGGAGAAGGGCACTCCTGAGGTTTACAGTCTACAGTCTTTGCATCAGTACAGGTACATTTGTGGCAATTAGAAGTCCATGTGTCTCCAGGCTGCAGGTATAAACCAAGTTTAGACGTGTATTCAGATGCAGGAATGAAAGCCAATTTGGATAAAAGTAGAGCAAAACTGTGCACTTACAGATTTCTCTTCTCCCAGTGGACCATGACACACTGTTAACACAAAATGATAAATGCTAATTAAATTTGGCAAAATACAACCATCTGTTATTTATAGATAACCAGCAGGTGGCCAATACTGTAATTGGCACTAGGATTTTAGAGTCACAGGATTATGTAGTGCCTTGAGGTAGATAAATCATATCTACCTACTTTAAGCAAACATTCCTTAAAAAGCATATATATATTTTTATTTTTATGGAAGTAGTCAATAAATCTCATGGCTACCATCTGGTTTCCTGTTTTATAATCTGACACTTGCCTCCACAATCCTATAAGTCAGCAAGACCTCATAAGGTCACACACAAAGACCCTTTCCTCAAATTTAACACTTGTAAATTCCTGTCTTTACTAGAAGAAGTTCTTATTCTTATTTTGTCTCTATTCTGTCCCCTGGAACTTTGTCTCCACCAGGTCCACTCTAACATCAAGGGGATGCCTGATCCTCCATTATCCATCTGCAGTTCAGGCCTCTCGTGACTGTGACTCCAGTTCTCATTCCACCTAACAGCATCCCAATGGACCTACAGGAACCTCAAACTCGATGTGCACACAGATTATATCATCTTGTTCCTAAAAATCAACTTTCTGGACTGTCTTTTTCCTATTAAGGACCAAACTATTCTTTCAATCATGCAAGCTTAAAACTTATGAGCAATTTTGATTCCTTCCTTTCTGTCTGTCTTCCAAGCTACTGCAAGTCCTGTATCTCATACCCTACCTTGTCATACTGGCTGCCAATCTACCCCAAGACTTTACCCCAATACCTTACTATTTTGAATATCCTCCTGATCCAATCAGTTTTCTATACCACAGTTAAAACAATTGCCTTGTGAAAATTCTCCATGTTTCTTTGAAGAGCTTTCTTCTTCCAATTTTACCTTATGGTAAAGAATGATTCTTTTGTTTGTTTTTTGGAATTTTTCCTACTTGCCACAAAGCATACTTTATTATCTCAAGAATAGTGGGAACTTGGGCTGGGGTTGCGTAACTCAGTAGTAGAGTGCTTGCCTAGCACACATGATGCATGGGGTTAATCCTCAGAACCACATTAAAAAAAATTAAACTAAAAAGAATAGTGAGAACTCAATGAAGTCCTTTAAAATTATTGAATCATTTCTTAAGATCAACCCTAAGAAAGTTAACCACTTGATAGTGGGCATTTTAAATATATTTCAATCAAAATACATAAAAAGTTTGCCTACTAGTTATTTCAGGTAATGATGTCATATTTGTTTTGTTTGGCTGCACTAGTAGTGAGGATAAAAACCATTATTCGTGGTTTATTTGGTGATTGGAAGCTACATTCATCCACTTCAAGTTTGCTAATAACATTTCCATGGCTAGGGACTTTTGTTGGCAATAGCTTTGAAACGTGATTCACAAGAGCCATTACTGCAGAATGATTCTGCAATGGAGTTGTTCTTACCTGGAGCTGGTGGAAGTGTTCCTGGGCATCCTATGCAAACATAGAAAACTCATTAGTACCTGAAATTCAGGAATAGTGTTGGGGATAGTTACTTAATTCATTATTCTATTGCTGGGGGTAAATGGCTACGTAGTCAGAATAGATGGGAATACAGCTGTAAGACTATCATTACTTTCTGCTCCTCATGGTATTTTAGAGCCCACCATTACAAAGTGTTTCCTTTACACTCCAAATTTTAATGGGACAGAAATATGAGAACAGAAAGGAGAAAACATGAAGATAAAATTTGCTTCAAAATTTTCTTGGAAAACAGTTCCAATGAATAAGACAATAAAATAAGAAAAATTCATGTACAGAAAAATCTAATTACTACCTAATTTTAATTCTCTAGAAACTTTTCTCTTCTGGATCCTCTCTCCCTACCAAATGCTTTCTTTCTTTTCCTCCACCAAATGCTTTAAACTGGTCATATTTCTTTATCCTCTGGACCCTTCACATATCACTTATCTATATTAACCCAACAATCCACTCATAAATCTTAAATTATATTTCAAAATCACCAAAACATAATTGGTAGGTACAATAAAAATGAGGCTGGATAGAAACAACAGAATACTTTAGAAGAACTTAAAAATGCTACATTTTTAGGTCAAGCAATTCCAACAACTAATAGCTACCAAAAATATAGATATGAGTAAAAGACGTGGAAGTTTCAGGTAGTAAATGTCTCTAGCTCCTTGACAAGGTAGACTACAGTAACTCCTAATCATAAATGCTTAGCAGAATAATAGAAACCAGTAATAGGAGAGAGATCAACAATTAGACATAAGTACAGAAGAAAACAACAATCTTCTAAACTGGGCATGGTGGCACAGGCCTGTAATCCCAGCAGCTTGGGAGGCTGAGGCAGAAAGATGGCGAGTTCAAAGGCATCCTCAGAAATTTAGTGATGCTCTAAGCAACTCAGTGAGACCATGTCTCTAAATAAACTATAAAAAGGGATGGGAGTGGGGCTCAGTGGTTAAGGGCCCCTGGGTTCAATCCTTGGTACCAAAAAAAAACAAAACAATCTTCTAATCTCCACATTGCTCTTAGAGTAATTTCTCTAAAACTATCTGATCATATCATTCTCTTGATAAAATTTGGAAAAGGATCTCATTACTTAAAAGGATAGAATCTTATTTAAGATTAGAAAGTAGAAAGATTTTATTTTCAATCTCATTTCTTCCTTAGGCCTCCTTCCATCATTGCCAATAACTCCTTGATTTCTGAACTCACCTGTGTGGTGTTATGTCTGTTTTCATAGGCAATTGACAGGAATTCTCTCCCTGACCACTCAGTAAACAATCATCTCCTTTCTGAAGCCTTCATTCACAACTATAATAAGCAGACATGAACACTCTACTCTCACCCTGCTTTTCTGGAACCACGTTTTATACATATTTTAGGTTACCATTAAATAGAATATTATGGGCATAGACTTTATCACTATAATCTCCCTCTTCCTTGACACACAAAAGATCATAAAATGGCAAGTACTATAATCTTCCTGATGGTTTTGCTCTTAAGTCTGCTACAGAGTCTAGCACATAGGAGGTACTAAATAAATATTAGCTGGATTAGTAGCACAGTAATTAGGTCTTCTCCCATTCTGACCTGTTTTATTTTCAACTTCTTGATTCTCTGTTGCTACTACAGTGGTTTCTGAAGGGAGATAAAATTAGAATAATAAGCATACATATCAAATCTGTGTGTGTGTGCATGCCCAAACAATGGCACAAATTCATAACACAAGGCACAGTGCTTCATATGGAATAGATAATTCTTTCTAGTTCATTCGGGTCAGTCCTTTTTACCTGGCTGAGATACTTGTGGGCCTGTTGTGACTCCAGCTGTAACTGAAGTGGAACCTGCCAGAGGAAATAAATAGAAAGTTTCAGAACTAACACCCTTCGTCATCCCTTTCTCAGAAATCTCAAGCTTCATGAATGTCTTTAGGACAGGAGCCTGAGAAAAAAAGGCCACCCTAGCTGGACTTCAATGTTATGTTCTAATAGGAAGTTTAACTTCATCTTCCTGGCTCCTCTATCCCCACATTCACCTCCTAAAGTGTCATCAAAGCCATCCCAGTTAAGGAAGAGGTTGTATAGCTAACATTCACCTGTTTGCACTGCAGTGCTTGAAGTTTCCTCGACTCCCGTGGAAGCAGTGGCTGCTAATAGAGGAACAAGAGTGAGTGCCGAGGATTGAAGAAATGGGTTCACTTCAGATAATCTATCCTGTCATCAAGATGCCTCCAAGAAAAGTCCATGTGGGTGCATTTTACTTACCTGTGGTAGTAATTCCAGCAGTAGTTGTTTCAGATGATTCCTTGGGGGTACCTAAAATGAGCAAGGAAATAACATGCAGGTTTTCTGATATCCAAAGACCAAGTCTTTTAAGACCTCCACATGCAGGAAGAGTCTCCAAGCTGACGGAGTGCACTAATGCATCTCATGCGAGTTCAAGCCTGGGCCACAGAAACGTTAAGAGGTCTCCCTCTTAGTTGCTCACAGAGGTGGATCGAATGTTACTTTGATCCCAATAAGTTTTTTACTTGTAGGTCCCTCTTCTCTAAGTATCAAGAGCTTTTCTCTCACTTAACTCTTTTACTTCATGTGACTTGGTTTCCTGGTTCTCTTATAGTAGTTTGGGGTGAGGGAGAAAGAAGGTATAAAAGAGTGAGAGAAAATGGAAAAAAAAAGGCATCTTGGTAGACCAAGATGACCTCATGTTCCTCTCAGCTTGATTAAACTTTAGGCATGTTTCTTCCTAGCAGCAGGCTCCAGACTTGGAAGAGGAGGGGGCAATGTGAGGAATGTCTTTTTTTCCCCACCTGTAGTTTAGGACAGATCCATGTGTTTTTGTGAAACAAAGTATTCCTTCTCCAGGATTCTGTGTACCTAGCAGTGAAATTATGTGTTTTCCCTGTTTGGTTATATATTTTTTTTTTTTTTTGTAGTGAACTTTAGTTCTCTGGGATGCTTCTCTTTGAGTTCTTGCCCTGGAGATGGGAATCTTACCCCCGCCCCCCAGCCTCACCTTTTTCAATTCCCCTTGTTGGCCTGATTCACTTCTAAACCTTGGAATCATATTGGTGACACATGAAAACTAAATACTGGGAAGGACTAAGAATCTTGATATTTTAATACTTTGAAGATGGTTTCTCCCTTCTTTCAATTTTACTGCCATGAGACTAAGTACTCTAAAAAATGAATCTTATTTAAAAATGGGTCCTCAGAAAATTTTTATTGATCTTGTTTAATTTGGAGCTTCAGAATCTCAGATTAGAGGCAGCATGGTCTCCTAGTACAGTGTGTACATGCCAGCACTCCAACACTGTTAGGTAATGGCAAAAGCACATTGGCAACTGTCAAGCAGAAACATGCGCTCCCCGCCCCCTTTGCCTTGGCCATGCTTTAGGTACTAGTGAACCCAAGGAACTGTTTTCTCATTCTATGTGATTATTTAAAACAAAGTCATCAGCACCCATGGTTTCAAATATCATTTGATTCCTGTCCCCATTGAGTATTTATTTCTGGGGAGCTATGTCCTAACAAAGATGTGGTTAATGTAATCTTTAGTTCAGGAAATTCCACAGCATTATTATGACTGACCTTAATTGACTCAATGAAAAGTTATGTCCTATCAGATAGGACATGAGATTGAGAAAGTGAAACGGAAGGAAAGAAAGAGATCAATAGATCACAGTAGTCCCAGTAGTGATTGTTTTGCCTTGAGAATAGCGTGGATTTAGACTAATTCAAATTGTTTCTTATAAGCAGTCTTTTAATGCAAGAGAAACAAACACCATGCTTTCTTTTCCCCTCAAACCAATAGATGGCAAAATTCTCAGCCATTTGCTATAGTTTAATACTTTGGAAATAAGTGCTTTATCTCTGTTCACCTGTGTTACTTCCTGTGACTTGCTTCCCTGGTTCTTCTGTAGAAACTCCTTGGATTGGGAGGGGAGGTAAAAATTTTTTTAATTAAATTTGTTAGGACCTTAGTATTGAGGACAAATCCATAGGAATGGCTTTTATACTTAAGAGAAGGCTAAATGGGTGACTACTAACCAGGACTGGAATTTTCTGGGCGCCTAGAAACTGTAGTTGAACCTGAAGTTGTACCTACAAAAGCAAGATGGATTAAGAGTAACACGTTGTATTTAGCTTCATATAATCACATTTAAAAGGCTGGTGAAAATCAGTGTAAAGAGCAAAAGAACCAAGCCTGATTCACCTGATAGATCATCTTCAAGTTAAATACAAAACCCTTCTCCAGCCCCTCTCACTCATCCATCATCTACCACAATCTTAGAACCCAAAAGGCTGAAAGAACAAACCACTTACCAGTTTCCAATTTTACTCCAGTGGTAGGGATGACTTCTGTAGAAGTGGTAGCCCCTGAGAAGAAATAGGAGAAAGTGGTATAGAATGTGGACATTTTGAGAAATCTGTAACTGTTACTTTATGTAATATGCCTTTGATGAGCTATTCAGTCCTCTGAAGTTCACAGAGACAAACTTCTCCCAATTCTTTCATGACTCACGTGTGTTGGAACTCCTGGGAGCAACGGTTGTACCAGTAGTTATCCCGGTGGTGGTAACTGAAATCACAAAAGGAGAAGATCACCTTGTTAATTCCCTTTTACCTAAAATTAGGATCTGTTTCAGAATAAATTTGTGAGTTTTTCAAGTGAACTAAAACAAACTTTCTTGCCTTAAGTGGTATATCACATTGGTCTCAATTATGCCACTTTAATTCAAACAGAAAGGGCAATTCACCTGGGGTAATGTCTTAACATTCTGATAATTTGTACTAAAAGACATCTTGAACATAATATCTTCTGTATTCATTATAGCCAACATAATTCAAGATGAAGGAAATATTTGATGGTTAGTGCTTACCTATGCTAACTTTAGCTTCTGTGGTTTTGTCATGTCCTAAAGTTGTGGCCTCTAAGAATTGAAAGGAAAATCACAGAACTCAGAAAAGTTTGGTGTCTCCAACTAGGAATGTGGATGTTTTAGGGGAGGGGTATCTTGTTATTGAAGCTCCTTATATTCCTTGTTAAGTTATTGATTTACCTGTGTTGGAACTTTCAGATGGAATTGTTGTGCCAGAGACCACTTCAGTGGTACCTAAAGTAGAAGAAAGGGAGAGGAGGAAAATCAATTTGGTTTACACTTACCATTCCAAGAATGTGACCAACAATGACTGACTCAAAAGCAATAGAAGGCCTTTTTTGGGCTCACCTGTGATGCAAAGTACGTTCTGCATTTTTAAATTCAAAGTTACAATGAACACATTAAAACGGGGTCTACTCCCAGGGTCTTACTTCCCTGGGGTTAAATGTTAGAGGTCTCAGGGTCTTCCCTACATTTACCTGTTTCACTTGCAGAGCTTGGGGTCTTAGAGATGCCAGTGGTAGCTCCTAATGACAAAAATATTTGTGTCAATGCATTCAGCAATATTCAATGAATAAACTTATAACACCAAGAGTTATTCCCATCACCTCTGCTCCTCTAATAGAACTCGATGGATATGGATTGCCGCCATTTGGGACTTGGTAATAGCTTGAATGTCAAAAGGGAAAATCTTTCTGGACTCTGAACCTCTTCAAAATTATAGTTTATGATCTGCCCCCAAAAGAAATGATATAATTTTCACAAGCTTCATCTAACAAATGTATCCGTGAAAAGGCTAAGGCCAAATATAAATCAGTGGGATCTCAAGAGTTGCCAATTCTATTTTCATTGGTTATGCTTCCTTCTACAGGAGTTGTACCTTTGTGAGAGTCAACAGGAAGAAAGTAGGGAGGGCTAATGGAAGGTGATAAAAAGCTATAGTGCAATACTTGCTCCAGAGCCAGCCTCCAAAAATAAATATGGCACCTGTTCCTCAATAACATTCCTGACTAACCTGTGTTGGAATTTCCAGGTGAGGTGTTGCTGCCAGAGACCGCTCCAGTAGTACCTAAATGTAAAATGGAAGGGCATCATTATGTCAATTTCATTCCTATCAGAAGTATGTATGCTAGAATAGGAGGGAAAAATTATGGAAGCTTTTATTATAGGGAAAGACCATTCTCAGGGAATGGTTGTTCCAAAGTTGTTTTGAGTTTTTTGCCTAAAGCTTCATTATCAAAATGAACTTGGTTGGTGGAAGATGCAGTAGGGGTGGTCTCTGTGTTAGGGAAATAAAGTAATCTTTCTTTCCTCTTCTGGCTGTATACCAATTCCTTGGCTACCAAAACTACTTTCAGTAGAAGCAGCAGCAAAGCAGGAATTGATTACCTATGGAGTTTGGGTATATTTGGGTAATATACTGCTGTTATAGAAATTTTAGCATTCTAGAAAAGTTGAGACAAGAAATATTAATGAGCAAGTTAGTTAATATCTCTGAGCCATAGGTTTTCTCATCTGTAAAATCTGACAAGAATCATATTCACCTCACAGTCAAATAACAATGGTGTAGAATAGTTGCAACTTGTGTATAATTTTGTTGGGCATCACTGTTGAAAGTGGAGAGGTTAAGAAGCTTTTATAATCACCTGTATTCTTTCCAATTCCTGTGGTTTGACTGACTCCTGAGGATGTTGTAACTTATAAGAGAGAAGAAAGGTAGAAAAATATAAAGTGACAAGGCTTTAGTATTTAGAGGAAAGAATATACTTTTCTTGAGAGCTATACTATGAGAGACACAGGTCATCCTGTGGGAGATTCTTGATAATTTGTTGGCTCACCTGTATTTGAACTCCCAGGTGCCAGTGTGGTGCCAGAAGCTGTCTTCGTGGGTTCTGCAACAAGAAAGAAAATGGCAAGTTTTTCTCAAGTTGGGGAGAGACTTATGTGGGAGGAAACTGGTTAATCTGGTAAGGTTTTTCAACTGGGAGTGAATTAGTTGTTTGCTCATGCATAGCTTTTTAACAAGTCAAAGAAATATACTAATTTCTTAACACTGGGACCCACCTTTTCTGGAATTTAATGGCAGTAAAACAAGTGGCCCCTTTTCCTGCCATATTTACCTAGTGTGCTTCCAGTTCCTTGGTTTACTGTTTCTTTGGTAGCTCCTAAAAAGATGAATGTGGGAAAACTTTTCAATGTAAAGGTAGACTTGAGTTATAACCTCCACATATTTTAGTCACTATGTGCTTAGTGAAGAATCTCCCATCATGGGGTAAATTTTTTGTGTTCAACTTGGGTTTCTATTTACCTGAAATAGTACTCTTTGAGCCTGTATTTCCTTTAGGTGATACTGTGGTGACACCTGAGAGTACAAATGGAAAAAGAAAAATTTCCACATAATTATTTCCACTCACATTTTCAGAGATCTACTTATGTCAGGCTGGGCCATTTCTGCAAAGACTTCAAAAAATCAAGTGACAAAAGAAAGCATCGCTGATGTTAGATGAGAGTTCCTAAAAATAACTCTTCCCCATGAAATTATTTCACCAAGAAGTAAAGCATAATTCTAATTTATCACCGAAAAATCACACACACACACATCATTAATTCTCATCTGTTTTCCATCTTAACAAAGTGGTTCTACTGACTCCTGTGGAAGCTGTGGCTTCTGGAAGACAGAAGAAATGGGAAATGATAAGAATTTAGGAAGATAGGAAACTGTATTGTTATGCTCTTACATGAGAAAAGCAATGCAAAAGATATTTCTGTGACCTTATTTCCAAAAAGGGAAGTTTCTTCTTGCCTTGTTAACCTACCTGTACTAGAACTTCCAGGTGCAACAGATGTGCTTAAGGTCACACCAGTAGTGCCTGAAACAAAAAGGCCATAAAATCAACATAAGAATCATCTGCATTCAGGTAACCTTTTAATAAATGTTTCCTGGGCTGCATCATCCTGCAGTCCTGCCCTGGACAGCTCTGGGAGACACCGGTGTTCTCTTAGAACACTTTGTCTATGTGGCGGTTCTATGGGCATGTCCTTTCACTGATCTTTCTGCTCCTGGATTCAATCATGTATTTTGCCTGCATATCAATTATTCAATTTTTCCAGTAAATATTTACTGAGTCCTGTTTAGTACTAGGCATCAGTGAACAAAATAAAAAAATAATTTTCTCAGGAACACCATCTTAGAGTAGGCTTGCTTAGCATATATAAGATACAATCCTCAAATGGGAGACAGAAGAATTTGTTTAACAAATTTACCTCTTTGACTTCCAGTGACTTGTTTGTCTGATGCTCCAGAGGTGGTTTCTGATGATTGAAAGAAAATGATTCAAGCATGTTTTGACCTTTAATCAGTGGACCGACCCTTAAGCAACATATTTATAGTTTAAGAAGTCAAATGGGAGGCAATCAATTTTTTATTTCACTTTAAGTCTCCTGATTATCTGAGTCTGGACCTTCTAGACTAGCATTCACTCTTGCTAATACTGCAAAATAATACCTATAATTTCCAATGGGTTAACTGTCCAGCAAATCACTTCTGCTACCCTCTTCAGAAACCTATACCATAAGGCCAGGCACTGAAAATGACTAGTACAGAAACTGTCTTAGTGGTGTGTGTGTCAGCAGCATGGTTGGCCTGAGTATGGGCTGGGGCACCTGCCCTTCCTGTAAAACAGCTTTCACATCCAGAAGCAAATTCCTGAATGTTTTTGATGATAGTGCTAACATCTGGGACCTCTAGTTCTCACTGATTTCATCACAGTAGCAATGATGGTTTCTAAGTAAGCTTTGGCCTCTGGAGGAGGAAATGAAGAAGGCAGAAAGCACATTTGGGGATGCATACTTCTCCTTGAGGTTAAATAATTGTTACTATTTTGAAAATATTTGTTTACCTGTAATGGAAGTCTCAGGTGCAACAGTTGTGTCAGAGACTACACCACTGGTACCTGGAATCACAAGGAAGAAAAGATTATCATTTCCTTTATATTTTTTAATATATACTTTTAAGGCCTATTCTAGGATTCCTCATACAATTTCCAACAAGTGCATTTTTTTTTCCACAAATGTAGGAGAGGTGCAAAAATCTAAGCTCTCAAGAGATGTCTCCTTATTCTGAAGTTTGGGAAATATTTGTAATTTTTCATGCTTTCATGTTTGATTATCGGAAACTTGATCCCCACATACAGAGTTCTTGACTATTGAAGAAAAGATAATACGTTGAATGTTAATGTAAGGATTTGGGAACAACACTGATATTCTGAAATAATAAAAACAAAAGTTCCCTTAGGTTGAAATAAATACAGAATGATTTCTACCTTTAAAATTGTTAGAAGGAATTTACTAACTACCTATTTTTACCTGGGACTGTTATTGCTTTGCTAATTCCTAAGATAGTTGTGGCCTCTGAAAAAGGGAGGAAATAGTAGTGAGGACAAAGATTTGAAGTATCTGAGAAAGTATGATAGGATCAACTGGTCAGACAACTTACTGAGAAGCCCTACCCAAACAGTGGTCCTTCCCAGCTTGTTGACTTACCCGAGTTGGAGCTCTCATGAGCAACTGTTGTAGCAGAGGTTACTAGAGCAGTGCCTAAATAGGGAAAAGAGAGAACAAGGTGACATTCTCCTATGCCTTGGAAGAGCAAAAGATACTTCCTGTACTCATAACTGACATGAGGAAACATCTTCCATGTCCACAAGCTGCTTTTTCAAGACCAAGGGTAATGTAGTGACTAACATCCCTACTGATTATTTCTTTTTCCCAAGCATGAGGGTTACATCAAAGGCATTTCCCATGTTTACCTGTCTTACTTCCTGGTGCTTTGGTGGTGGCTCCTAATTAAAAAAAAAAAAAAATGGTAAGAAAATATATTTTAAATTTTAATTTTGTCTTTTTCTTTATAAACAATAGTATATATGTCATTTCTGGATTTTTTTCCAGTGCTGAGGATCAAACCATTGGCTTTACATGACTGAGCTATACCCCTAGCTGAATTTTTATCTTTATGATAACCGAATGATCTCTATGCTGAATAGAAGTCAGTAATGCTATATAGATAAAGCTCTTTTTAAAGGGGAAACCATTTCAGAGCCAGGACTATTGTAAATCTTCTTTCCAGTGATCTAGAACCCTGATGAGGTTAGTCTCCAAGAAAGTAAAGACTTTTAGTTATCTGTGCCCAAGTAGGTCCAAATTAAAAAAGAAATCCTGGTTCCCTTGAAATATAACAGCCTTAAAAAACTCTTCTCCATGTTAAAGAAATTTTCTGTCCTATGTCTGTACATTTTCTGTAATTTAAAATTATTAAAAAGATTTTAAAAAATATTAATACCAGCTTTCTCTAATAAATCTATCAACCTGGCATCACACAACAGCAAAATTAATGAAAACCCCATGATCTTCACCTGACTTTATTTCTGCTCCAGTGATGTCACTTCTTCCAGAGAAAGTTGTGATCTCTTGAAAAAGTAGAGAATGCCAAATAAACTAGGTATTGAGGAAGAGGAATGAGCTAAGGTGATATGAGCACAATTGAAAATTCCTTGTCATAGGTGAAGTCAGAAAATGAAGCCCTTTTGATTGTAAAAGTGATGTCAAAACTCAATGCACAAGTTTAATTGTCTAAAATTGAGGATTAAATATTTTTGACTTAATAAAAATGTCTTTCAACAAATCATAACCAAAAGCAAATTGATAATTTTTCCAATTTGAGGTATTTCTGCATAGGATTTGATAGAAGGAATACTAAATGCTTTTCTTTAATGTTTCCCCAATTGGTTTCCTGTTGGTACAATAGATAAGTACACAAAAAAGATTAATAAGTGAGCTGAAAACTTTGAATATCAGAGCAAGTAAATTTTTATATATACACATGAATGTATACTGGTTCCACAGGGTGTCTCCCACTCTCTCTCACACAAGCACCCATACTGAAAACTGTAGAATTCAGCTAAATGCTGCTGATTGAGAGTTGTAGCACCTGCAGAGAAACTATCATCAGATTTGGAGCAGTCAAGTTTAATGCTTAGATTTTTCAAACTTATTTTGATTCACTTGAAGCAGCTCTAAGTATAATACAAACTCCCTTAAGGATTAAGTTTAGAGAGTCCTAATGCCAATGATCTCAAGTCACGGGGCCATTGTATTCTCACCGGTTTTGAAACCAGTTCCAGTCTCTTCCGTAGATGTTGTAGACTCTGAGGGAAGAAGTAAGAGAATGATAAATCTGGGACTGTGGAACACTAGGAGGAGCTAGTGCCATTTTATCATAGCAGCCCTAAAGGAAGTATCATGGCATCTGAGGTTCAATAAAAGGCATTTTCTTCTTGTTAACCTGTGTTAAAATTGCAGGTATAATCTTTTTTTTTTTTTTTCAGAAAATTTTCCAGTGATACTTAAAATTTAAAAAAAAAGTAAACCATAAGGCATCACTTCTCCAATTAATCTTGGGAGCATCTGTGTGGCCTTAAAGCACTGGATGCCCTTTCCTCAGAACAGTTTCTCTCAAAAAATAATGGAAAATAAACAACTGCCTAGTGTTCCATTCCCCAGGCCACCTGAGGGTAGATACACTGCTACTGGGTTTCCCTTTTACTATGCAGCAGGGGGAAGGATAGGACTTTAGATCACTGTTTCAGTTCCAGGGATATATACCCTTAGAATGACAGAGGGAGAAAATAAAGTATGGTTTTAATATTTGTAAGGGGATTCTAATAGTTCCTTTGTGAAGCATTCTAGTAAGAAAAAATAGAAAACACAGAATAAGTGGAAAAAAATGACAATGTGAAAAACTATGGAAGAATAGTTAAATAGATGAGGACTGGAAGTCAAAGGAATATATACAACATGCTCTTCTTTTTTTCAAAAGAAAAAGTCTCTAAGCCAGGATCCTGAGGACAGCCTGGCAGACACTCCCCAGGCCATGGAATTCCCGGGCAGAATAACTGCTCAAATTGTTAGGGCATAATGTGGCCCCAGAGAGAATGCTGGCCCCTCCGGCATACTATTCATTCACTACAACAACCCAAATACAGATATGAGGAGAGCCCTAGACCTCAACCTGAAAAGCTTACCAAACAGATCTGCTCGAGTGGTCCTGTGGTCTCCTGCAAAAGTTGTGGCCTCTGAGAGAAAAAACAATGGAAGTTATAAAGACTGCACAGAATGTAATGGGGGTCTAATAGAATGCATTGACCAAAAGGTTACGTTCAGGATTCCTGACCTGTGTTGGCACTTCCAGGTTCCAGAGTTTTGCCAGAGATTCCCTCTGTAGTGACTACAATAAGAAGAGCATTGTGGTTATTTGGTCTAATCATGATCCTTCATAAAATGGGTATAAATTCTTGAAACAAAACTTTGTTTCTTCAAATATAGCAATATAGTTTTATATTTGAGCTTTATATATTTAAGATGTAATTATACTTTTATACACTATTCCCTTCCAAGTTTAGAGAGAAAGTCCTCCGCTACCAGTTCCTTTTGTATAGTTTAGTTATAGGGAGGTGAATTTGGACCCAAATCATATTCATACATGTCAGGAAATGGGCCCTATGATCCCCTTATGAACGGTCCTGAACAAAAGACATGAGAAGGAAATGTTAAACATTTCTGAGCTGTATTTATTGATATCAAATGTTGGGCTGATATTTTTAATATGGCAAATGGAAATTTCAGGATATTTGTATGTTTCAGGCAAGACTATTAGAACATCATTAGAAAGTATAGTTTGTGCCTCAACAGAGCTCACCTGTGATTAGTTCCTCTCTTGGTGTTTCACCTTCTCCTACAGAAGTTGTAGCTTCTAAGAAGGGGTAAAACAAGAGATAGATAATTGGGAAGCCATGGTAGTTCTCCCACAGAGGGGAACATGGAAGGAAAAACCTCATTGAAGAGGGACTTGTGGAAGATTCTCTGGCACCTTAATGACTTACCTGTGTTGGAACTGCTAGGGGCTACAGTTGTATCAGGGGTTACCTCAGTGGTGGCTGTAAAACAAAGGGTCTAAAATCATCACAGTGGTTCACTGTGTTTGTCTCCGTAAAACCTTTTTCTAGAAAGAAGCTTGGTATAGCATTTTCAAAGAGCTCTTTCCTTGCTTCCCAGTCAGATGAGAACTCTGTGCATCTCCTATGACCCATATCATTAAAGCAATCAAAATAGGTAAATCTTCCTCCAAGGAATAGAGTATGCTTTAGCTCCCCTAATACCTTTGTGATACATATATTATGGAAGACACCCTTCATTCCAACTATACAACCAGCCAAGCTTGAGAAAGATACAGGTTTGAGGCTAGATGCTGGTACTAAGACCTTTTTCAGAATATGTTCTGTATAAGAAAATACCTAATGTAACTGAGAACCATTCTGCAGAAAAGTATATCTCCAAACAAGTGAGCGTATGGAGAGTCATAATTCATACTAATCCCCATACAGTAGTGTGTTCAGCTTCACCTGCTCTGGATCCATTTTCAGAAGTACTGCTGCTTTCTGTTGAAGTTATTGCCTCTAAGGGAGGAAATAATGAAAATGGTAAAGTTTGGGAATTTGGGATCCTGAGATATATAAGTATAATTATTATCATCTGAGCAGGTCTACTAACTATGTTATAAAGTTAAATAAATATGATATCCTTCTCATTAACCAACTTGTGTAGAAACTTACAAATATAAGGACTGGCCTAGAGAACTTCCCTATAGTACCCAACACACACACACACACAAATAAATGGATCACCATAGCATTAAATTCTTGATCAGTATCATAAGTAGCTACATGAGCTGATACCATGGGAAGACCTTTCCTGAGAAGGTCTGCCTCTGAGGGAAGGGACACACGAATAACGATTTTATTTCCTAGCCCACCCATCGACCACTGTTACTCTCCAGGCTCTCTTCGTACAGCCCACTAAACATGGAAGAGTATCTCATCTCTCCCTTACCTGTTTCACTTCCAGTCCCAGGTTTCCTTGATGTGACTGAGGTAGCTTAAAATAAGAAAAAAGGTAGATGATGGATTCATCTTTCTTATTTTTACTTATCTACCACTTGAAGTATTTTGATATTCTGGTATTTCAAAGAGAACTTCTGAACTCTAAAACTTTCAAATGATGATTTTATTTGTTCTATTCTGGTCTAGCTTGGAGCTCTGTGTACTACTGATGACTCCAGGTAAAATCACAGTGACATCCATTAAATAGATGGAAAAACTTTAAAACTGTACATTTTTTAACCTTATATTCTCTGCACTATTGATGTATCACTAAGCAAAATATTCAAATATCTCTTTCCTAATGTAGTTCACATTTTGCCAACTGGAGACAGCAAAGAACAATCATGCATTAGATGTTAGTAAATTCTGTGGGAGGAAAAGGCAAGTTGCATAAAGATGGGGGTCCTGATAGCCAAGGGATGACTAGCAGGTTGCTCTCCTCCCTGCTGTCCAGCAGATAGCTCTGCAAACTCTGGTTCCTGGAAATCCAGATGGATAAGGACACTGCCGCTAACCCCAAGTGAAATTATGACAGTACCGGTTGAAGTGAACAGTGTCACACTCAAACTAAATTTTTTAAGCATTTCCTTAGTGTCTTCTTTCATGGGGAAGAACAAAGATCTGTGTTTCATGTGATTTGTATTTGCAAAGGAAGGAACACAGAAAATAAACAAGCATAATATATGATAGATGGTAGCACATGATAAGTACACTATTCTGAGGAATCATAATGAGCAGAGTGGAGATAATGGGGAGTAGTGAGCAGCTTCTATAGGTTGGTGAGCCTCATCCAGGTGTCCAAAAATCTAGCTCAAATAGAACACAGTGGAAATACTGACTTGGATAACCATGTTTCTCAAGTTCCTTAGAAGAACTACCTGATGTTGTCAGATGAAGATATCATGCTTCCTGACCAGATGTAACCTTCTTTCTTTAACCCACCTCCATATTTATTTATTTACTTAAGGACACAAAACAAGGAAATGATAAGCTTTGTTAGTATTAGACCTAAGAGTTCTTACCTCTTGGCCCTTCAGATTGGCTGGTCTCACTTCCTTCTGTGGAACTTGTGGCCTCTGAAAAAAAAAAAGCATTATAAAGTCTGGAATATGGGGAAGTACATGGTTATATTACCTTAGGAACACATTACCTGATAAAGCACTTGGGGAACCTCTCACAATTGCTTTTGACTCACCTGTGTTGTGATTCCCAGGTTCCAGAGTCTTTGCAGAGACTACACTAGTAGTAGCTGTTACAGAAAAATAGTCATGGGTCATTTCCTTCTCAACATAAGGTAGCAAGCAAATATATGAATAAAAATCTATGTAATTGTTTACTATTTCAATAAACTTGGCTTTAAATGACAGAAGATGATCTTGTATGTTCTTCATATAATATTGTTCCCACCAAAAATCTACCAAAGGAATTTTTAATTATAGTATCCACTCCTGTAGAATTCAGTAACAGAGAGAGACTCTCTCTAGATCATCTGTGTAACTGTCAAATAGTTGCATGATTTCTTTCGGGGGGAGCGGGGAGGAGAGTCTGCTAAAACATCAGAAATAATGAAACTTTTAGTTCATGAACTTTAGTCAATGAACAGTGGTAATATTTTTTATAATAAGTTTGAATAGGGGAGAAGTGAGTGATCTGGATACATTTCACCAGCTTTTGAGTATTATTAGAAATGAATGTAATGGCCTATCAGTACTCACCTATGGCTGTCCCCCCCCTTGTTGCTCCGGTTCTTCCTAGAGAAGTTGTGGCTTCTGAAAGACAGAAAACAGGATAAACATTTGGAAAATATTCCAAGACCATGAAAAAATATGACATTATTTCTATAAAGAATAGCACCAGAGGAGAAATCTCATTATGGGAGGATAACTCAAGAGCTCCCTGACAACCTGAGACTCACCTGTACTGGAACTGCCAGGGGCAACAGTTGTGCCAGGAACCACCCCAGTTGTGGCTGAAACACAAAGAGGACCATGGTTACCATGGCACTCAATGTTTTGTTCCTAAAGCTCTGCCTCTAGAAAGAGGTTAAGCTTGTCTTCATCATGGCTAGTTGGTTTATTCCTGGGTTCTTCCCCGATAAGGAGCCCGATATATTTTCTCATTAACCATTGTAGTAAGAAAAACAATGAGAGTGACAATGTTCTCAACCTTCCAGGCATTCTGAGTCAGGGAGATAAGGAGGGCTTCTCCCACACACCCGTTTTACTCCCAGTGACTTGACACTCTGATGCCACAGTGGTACTTGCTGTGGCGGGACACAAAGGAAGGTTTCAATGTGCTGAGAACTCCAGACATTGTGAAGATATCTGGCTCTTCATTTATGAAGATCAAACATTTGTACAGTGCAGTTGTGTTTCTTGGGTTCTTGGAGCTCCTCTATATTTCTCAGGAATAGGAAATTTCATCACCCTTTCCCTCTCAAAAGATTGTGATATTTGTGATTCCACAACATAATTACTCAGAACAATTAATGTGTCCATCATATCTGATCATAAGAATTATAACTGTTATTCTGGACTCATATTGAAAGCTTTTCAGGAAAATTTTCAAAATTGAAAAGGAATTAGTTGACCAAAATCTTCAGTATTAGTAAATATATCTCCAGAAACTTCTCTTTGCATGCTCTCCTAGGATTGCTGTGATTCACGATAACCACAAAGACATGAGTTTCTGCCCCTCACCTGTTTTGAATCCAACTCTGGTGGTGCCAATACCTTCTGTGGAGGTTGTGGCCTCTGGAGGAGGAAGTGGTACAACACTAAGTTCTGGTGATTTGGGATAATGGAACAAGTTATTTTGTACTATTTTTATTAGAGTAGCCCTACAAAAATACATAATTTCCTGTGAATGTCTGTAGAGATGATTTCTTGTTATTTCAACTCTGTTAGACATTTCTAATTGAACAGATGTCAGAGCCTACTCCAGTGATATTTAAAAACAAGACAAAATAAATACAGCAATCTGTCCCAATCCATCATGGAAGCATAGTGGTCTTACAATGCAAGATCCTCCATGAGGATTTAATGCTCCAAATGACAAATCAAGAATGTCACACTCTCATGTCATCTCAGCTGAAAATTCATAGCTGCCTTTAAAATGAACATCTCTAGACTCTAGATGTTATGCATTTTTTACTTCTTGTTTCATGTTTCTCTGGAGTATCCAGAGTGACTGTAGAGGGAGGAAAATCGGAGATGAATATTTTTTCTAAATATCACTTGTGATACTTTGGATATTTAACATGAAATATATATCTTGGGTTCTTATAACATGCACACATAACACACGACATGCCCAAAACATTCATTTAAGAGTAAAATTCAGATTGGACTTCACTTATGTAATATTACCTGTGTTGGAAACTTCTGAAGTGCTTTTGACTTCAGGAAACACAATGGTGGTATCTGTGAAAAGAAATTTCATGAACTAGGCATAGTGAGAAATTCAACTCTGGCTACCAGGATCAGGACTCAGGAATACTGGGCTGAAGCACCCGAATGCAGGCAGATCCAGAGGGATTAACACTTGAGTTTGGCCTAGCATGGGGTGTCCTTGAGAAAACGTCATCAGTCTGAGACTATGGAACCCATAGTCTCAGAACAATGCTTACCTCCTGGCAGTTCTGTTCTAGTGGTCCCTATGCCAGTTGTGGCCCCTAAGAGATAGAGGAAGGAAAGGAGTTAAGAACTAACATAACTGAGCTACTGTATCATCTAAATGAGCCCCTCCTGGATTACTCAGTATATGGTGATTTACCTGTGATGTAATGTCCAGGTTCCCGAGTTTTACCTGAGACACTACCAGAAGTTACTAAAATAATGAAGAAATGGTACTCATGCCAAGCTTGAGCATTGCTATTTAAAATTCTATATTTCCTACCTGTATTGAGTTCCTTTGAGCTTTTTAAAAATTTTATGTGACAGCAGAATGCAATACAATTCATATTACACATATAGAACAATTTTTCATATCTCTGATAATATACAAAGTAGAATCACACCATTCATGTCTTTGTACATGTACTTAGGGTAATGATGTCCATCCCATTCCACTGTCTTTTCTACCCCCATGCTCCCTCCATGACCCTCCCTTCCCTTTGCCCTATCAAGAGTTCATCTATCTTCCCCTCCTAATCACATTATGAATCAACATCCTTATATCAGAGAAAACATTTGGCATTTGGTTTTTTGGGATTGGCTAACTTCACTTAGCATTATATTCTGCAACTCCATCCATTTACCTGCAAATGCCATAATTTTATTCTCTCTTAATGCTGAATAATATTCCATTGTGTATATATACCACATTTTCTTTATCCATTCATCTATTGAAGGGCATCTAGGTTGGTTCCACACTTTAGATATTGTGAATTGTGCTACTAAAAACATTGATGTAGCTGTGTCCATGTAGTAATGCTGTTTTTAAGACCTTTGGGTATAGACCAAGGAGTGGAATACCTGGGTCCAATGGTGGTTCCATTTCCAATTTTACAAGGAAACTCCATACTGCTTTCTATATTGGCTGCACCAGTTTTCAGAATTAATGCATATGTTTCCTATTTAGCATTTCTTTCCCATAGCAAATTTTCTGATGAAGTTCTAGACTCTTGATCTCTTTTTTTAAGCTTTAGTTCCAGGAAATAAGTTTCTCAGTGTTGTTAAATAATATTTTGTAGGAGGCCTTGGCTTCTAACTGAGCACTTTTATTGGGCCCAACAGAGTAAACCAAAGAAGAGTTTAATCACAGTAACCAGTAATGAAATTCTGGTTGGTTGCAGAAGCTTGGTAGTCATAAACAGTTGACTGGTTAAAACAGTAACAAAGTTATTTACTATTTCTTTCATTTTTCCATAAATCTTTCTGATTATGTTGTTAGAGTTCTTAGAGTCTGCTCTGGATCAGGGAGCTGATTGATTCACTAATCATGTCTTTCTTTTGTTTTGCTCAAATAAATTTTACTAAGTATATTTGGTCAAGGAACTTTTCCTTTTCACAGTACCCCTGTATCTATCTGCCTGCTAGAGACATCACTGCCTGGTACCTTTATGGATTCTCTGGGGTAGAACAAAATTTCAGGGTCCTAATTCTTGTTAACTATTATTATTCAGTAGCTGTTTGTCATTTACAAAAGTACTTAAGATGGAGGAATAAGATGGTGTGGCTACATTCTAGAAAATACTATTTACTGGGGAAAAGTGCAGTTAATGACTTTACAGCCTCAGTTGGGACTATTCCATTTCCTTGGAGGGATGTGGTAGCCTCTGAGACAGGAAAAGAAAGACATAGTTGGAAAAATGTCAAGTATTCTGGATTAGTATAGGTATGATCTGGTCTAGAAATAAAACCTAAGGAAGTATCTCCTTCAGAGAAGTCCCCAAAGAAAAAATCCACCCAGCTTTTCATCACCTGTGTTCAAACTTCCAGGGGCAAGAGTTGTGCCAGTAACACCTGAAACAAGAGCCCAGTGGTCACTTCAGTGAATCATTCCATGTATGTTCTACATTCCATGTATGTTTTCCTTTGTTACAACAGATAGCCTTTTGGAAGCACTTTGCAGATACATAATCCTCTGAGTTTTTCCCTTTGGACTGTTCCATCCCCCAAACATATAGAGTGACTTTGTCAGGAGATACAGAAAAGGACATCTAGAACAAAGATTAAAGATGATTTTCTCTCACGTTTACCTGGTTTATTATCAGGCTTATTCTTAGTTCCTTAGCTCTCTGCTTCAAAAGGGATGTTGCATGTGCTGACTACCAGAGAAAGTGGGAAGCCATTGAGTATTACTCCTGGTTGGTGGAATCAAGGAATCTGAACAAGATCTTTACCATTGGTTGGGATTTGTCTGTTAGAAATCTAGGAAAAGTCACATCAAGGAGCAGCAAGGTTTGGGTAAATACAGAAAAATGTTGCATAAATATAGAATAAAAATAGCTGTAAAGTTAGCCTGAATTACAAAGCTAAATTCGAGAAAATAAATTTCAAATGACTAGTTGGTTAAATAAATTCTTAGAAACTTTATAACACTATCAACAAATAATTCAGTGATGCCAAATATTGGTATGAATATGTGAAAGAACATAATGAGAAATAAGTTTGGGAAGTAGATTAGTACTCAAATGATGAACTAAGGGATTTAGAATTTATTTGAAGGACAGTGGGTAGCTACTAAAATATACTGATGTCGGGAATGACATTAGCAGAGATAATAATATAGAAACACTGAACACTACTGCACCTGACAATAGAGAAAACTTGCCTCAATACTCCAAACTAAAGGTTAGTGTGGGTATGGATGCAGTAACTCCTTCAACTAAGGAAACAGCAAATAGAAAGAATTCAGATCTTGAAATCAAGAAGACTACACTGGTTTAAAGCAGGTTGAAATCTCTGAACCTCAATTTCTTCACCATAAATTAGGAAAGATAATGCCCACATGATTCACACAAGATATTGAAACAAGGCACCCAAATGAAATTCAGATAGATTGTGTGCTTCTGATCTACAAAGTTCACTTTATTGATACATAATAGATGACTAATAGATGACGAGTGGTCTTTCAACAAAGGCAGAATCCAGTAGATCAAGTGGACAAGTATGACAGCTGAACACCTCATCAGATAAGGTTCATAATTGTAAAAAAAAAAAGACAAAACTCTGCTTTCAAGGAGCTTATATTCTAATGTAAATGCTAAAAGAACTAGGAAGGCATAATAATTAAGAAAAAGTGAGATGTTCTGAAGAATGAACTTCTATTGCTTATCTTTTAAAACTATTAAGTTTAATAAGAGACATTAGAAGGCAGTAAAGGTAAATAATTTTCATGATACTAAAGTGCCAAGGTGTCTAGTAGTGCTGCTCTTAAGTTAGGGGGACATTCTTGGTGTTATTTTTGTTTGAACTTGTATACTTATGAACTTGTATACTTATGTACAATAAGTATAGAATTTAATAATTATGTAAGGGAACCAATACACTTTATTATGTTTTAAGACAGAGGAACATAAAAAGCAAAAGCCCTATCTACCAAAACCTAAGTTGGTATTCTTGTTTAGTTAATACGATAAATTCAGATTTCTGTTACCATGTTTTCTATTCTAGTTAATGTGACCATTTTTCCCCAAATATACATTTATAATCTCATATTATCTCACCTTCTACTGTAGTCTGATTCGATGGCTCTAAAATTTAAAAACAAAAATATATTTACAAATGTCCATTTTTATCTAATTAAATTCAAAATGATCAATTTATGTATGAGGGAAATACAGAAAAATTTATTATAATCTGTTAAGAATGTCATATTCCCTTATATACTTTCAACATTTCAGTTGGCAGAAACTTATTTTTATGTGACTTTCATTTCAGTTTTCCTTGAATGTATATACCTGGAATATCACGAACACCTAATTGAAAGATTAGATTCACGTTTCCATTAGAAAATATACTTGAATTTTATTTTTAAAATTCATTTCAGTGCTTTAAATGTTATGTAAAATTTATAATAAAAAACATATACATTACTTCTCTAGTAGAGTATCTTAGAAATTTAAGTAGGAATGAGAGATCTTTGAGGGAGATAAACTACAAAGTGTTTTAAAGAATCATCTATGATTAGAAATTATCAAACTGAAAACAAATAATTGCTTTTTTCCCCAGGTAAAATGCTTGCACACATTTAAATTTTGTTTCAATTCAGCTAAACATTAAATCTTGAATTTAGAAAATGCTAAAAGTGATGAAATACATACTGTTCCCCAATAGTCACTCACTTGTAGCTATGGCATTGTATTAAGATGACCAATATATAATAAATATCATGCCAATTCATTTACATTGATATAAATATGGCTTGAATAAGGAATCATTATTAATCTAGTTTGAAGTAAATGATCAAATTATTATTTTCTAGAGATCAGTTAGCAATAAGATCAAATTACCTAAGTGGACTTAATAACAGTAGTTATAATAAATACAGAATAACTCTTGGCTAGGAAAATGTGTGAGCAATCTATTCCTTAAACTAATAATGAAAAATTTAGTCCCTAAAGCCTACCTTCTATTTGATACAAATTGAGAAATGACTATGATACTGAGTATATTATTATTCTACAAGTTTAGATAATTACTGAAGACTTGCAAAAATAATTTAGTCCATTTATTTAGTGTTAGGAGAAACAAATTGCCCTCTAAGCATCTGCAATTTTTATGTGAGGTTGAAGTAATGTAAAAAGCTATTTTTGATTTATAAAACAATAATATTACAGTTTTGTCAAATAAAATGTTCCAAATCTTGTTTGAGAATAATAAATGTCAGTTTGTCAGCATATTTTAAAACTTAAATTTCTTTTTATTGCCTGCTTCTGAAGTTCTAATAGTTAGAAATGGGAAACATTTATGCCTTGCAATTTTAAAAGCTAGATTTATTAATGGATTATTAAAGATAATTGTGCATTTTGCTTTAGAGGATGATGGTATCACACTAAAAAGCCCAGTCTTTGGAGTTAGTACAGAAGTAAAACTATTGTTCCACCATTTTACTTGCTGTAGAACCTAAACCAAATTAGGCGATGTCTTTGGTAAGTTCCTCATGAGAAAAATTAGGTAACAATTTATATTCAAAGAATTAAATGAGGTAATGTCATCAAGGCCATAGGTTATTTAACTAATTAGAATTAGCCAATGAGCATGAAAACAAGTAAAAAAAAATACATCTGACATCCCCTACTGACTTACCAATAGTGGTACTTCCTAGTGCAATTGTTGAGTGAGGGAAATTTCCTGTGGAACCTGAGATTCAGAGTGGAAAGAGGTAAGCAGCACTCTTATTTTACTACAACACCACCCAGATATTTAGAAACAGAACCACCCTGAATGGAGGTGCTGTGGTTCTAGTACCTGATGTGAAAGGAGTGCTTCTGCCCCTCACACCTGTAGAAGTTGTAGCCAACACTCCAGTTGTACCTGAAATTAAAACAAATTAAAAAGGATTTTAGTAGCACAGATAATTTTCATTTGGACTTCTCCTTGATATCTCAAATTGAATTCATTCAAACCTGAATTTGGGACTTTCCTACCGTAAACTGCTATTCCTTTAACACTCCCTGTTTCAATAAATGATATTATCATCCTAAAAACTGAATGGGTCAGCTTGAAAATTACTGTTAACCAAATCCTTTTGATGGTACCTCCAAATTGTGAGGGTCTTTCCATTTCCTTGCACCAGCCACCTTAGTTTATTTGAAACTAGGGTCTCTATGGTGACTCAGCAGTACCCTCCTAACAAATCTCTGCTTCTGTTCTCACCTTAAGCCATCCTTCTTCACACTGTATTCTGATTAAAAAAAAAAAAATGTGTTCCTGGAGTCACTCTTCAATCTCAGACTTGTTCCTAAGAGCTAAGGGAAGCCATCAAAAGGTCTAAGATCCTTCACTAGGCCTGCAAGGATCTCATGATCAAGTTCCTTCTTTCTTCCATCATCCACCTTTTTCCTGCTTCCTAGATGGCCATATGAGGCATCAACCATCCTGGCTGCCTTCTGCCATCAACTCTCCAACAGCCTGTGATTTCCACCTAGAACTTCATTTCCATTTTCCTCTCTGTTTAACCTCTTTATCAGACTGGGGCCTACTCATTCTTTGGGACACCAGGTGGAATGTCAATTTTTAACACACTCACCGTATTCTCAGCAATTTACCTAATTCTAATCCTACTGCTGATGTACTTCTTTTCTTATTGCTAATCTTTCTCAAGAGAAGGGACCTTATCAAACTCATTCACCTCCGTATCCACCTACCTATGATGGTACTTGGCACACAGCTGGCAAATAATAAAAATTATTAAATGAAAAAATATGAATGGGATTATTTGAGAGAATCCTATTATTATGAAAAATTTCAAACTTTGTCCTTATGTATAGTTCTGGTATGGTAGCCTTTTTAAATCACCAAATTTTCTTTTAGAGTTTGAATTTGGTGTATCTAAGGATCCTCTGGGACTGTCCTTTGGGGAACACCTTTCTCTTCTGCACTAGTTGGCATCCATTGCCACAGGAGGGAGTATGGTACAGTAGGTCTGGTGCCAGACCTCGTAGCTTCACTTCTTCCTAACTTGCACCTGCTAAACTACTCCTTGACTTCCTCATGTGAAATGTTAACAAAAGCACTTATTTCACTGGTTGGTGTGCAAATTAATTACATGTTGTATAACTTAGAATAGTGCCAGGCTGTCCGATAGTATGCAATATTGTTTTAACTTAGTTTTAAAGTTCATTTAAGATTTGTCTCCTGATGGAATCAACATTGTGAAGACAATTCCTATTCTTCTGTTATAGTCCTAAACCACATAAAAAGATAAGTCTAGGAACTAGATGATTTTGATCTAATTTTCTGATTTCCTTACTTACAGAACACCCATTACCATAATTATCAGAAAACCTCATGTTGCACTACAGTCTAGGCCAATAGTGTCCCTTCTTGCTTGCCTGATTTTCCAGGTGTGGTTCCTGTGGTTCTGCTTTCTGCTCCAGTGGTGGATCCATATGGCTCTTCAGTTGTGCCTGGTTAAGGAAGTAATTGATTATGATTTTTACATGGTTAACTTTTATAAAAATAATAAAACTTTCTGATATTTAATTGTAAATTTAAAAGTTGATGAATCTAGATCATCTCTTGATCATTTTGCCTAAAATTGAAGTCCTTGGTTAAAATACTTATTATCATAGTTTGGGTCTTAGCCACGATTCTGTTGGGCCACCACCAGAGCACCAAGCAAGCCATGTATGCTTTGTTCCTGAAGTAGTAGCCCCAGAGCTTGGTGCTCCAACTGTGCTTCTTGGGACTGGACCTGTGGTAACGCTACCCTGCCCCACAACTTCTGGTTATACCTTTTATTTTAAAGGAGCAGGATGAAAAACTTCTCAAGAAGACTGAGAAATCCATTTAAAATCATAATGTTCTGTCATCTTCCCTCTCTACCTCATCTGCTGTTGTTTAATTCTCTCCCTTGTTTGATGTGACTCTACAATTTGTATTTGGGGTAAAAATGGGAGTTCATAACTCACTTGAATCAAATGTATGAAAGATGATATGTCATGAGCTTTGTAATGTTTTGAACAACCAATAAAAAAATAAAAAATTAAAAAGGTACTGAATGCAGAAAAAACAATAAAATAAAATAAAATAAAATCATAATGTTCTGAAAAGCTCCTATAAATATTCATCAATTTCAGTTCTCAATACCTTTTTAAATTGTGGTCCATATTTATACAGATTCAAGTACTGGGACTCTGACCAAATACTAAGTTATCCAATCTAATCAAACAAAGCCTTACTTTCTGGTTCTCTTGTAGTTCTTCCTGCCTCATAGGTGGTACCAGCTGATGATGCAGTTGTCCCTGTTCCTTCAGATGATGCACCAGTTAGCTCTGTCACTCCGGGTGACAGTGTGATCCTTTCAGTAACTCCAGCAGATGGTGAAATTGTCCCTGATGGACCAGATGTCTCTGTAACTCCAACAGACTGTACTGTTTGCCTAGATGCTGTGACTGATGGGCTACTTCTGACTGATCCTCTAGATGAGGGTCCAGTTGTCTCAGATCCTGTAAATGAAGGTCTGGTTGTTTCTGACCCTATAGTAGATGGTTCAGTTGTCTCTAATGGTCCACTTGTTCCGGATCCTGTAGCAGACAATCCTCTTGTCCCAGTCACCCCAAGTGATTGTCCAGTTGTTGGTGTCACTTTAACTGATGTTTCAGTTGTCTCTGTTACTCCTGATGATGATGCAGTTGTCTCTGTTACTCCAGTTCTTGTCACTCCAGATGACTGTCCAGATGTTCTTGTATGTCCAACTGATGATCCAGTTGTACCAGATTCTTCAACTAATGGTCTTGTTGTACCTGAGTCACCAGCTGATGATCTAGTTGTCACTCTTACTCCAGATGATTTTCCAGAACTCACTTCAACTGCAGTTGTTCCTGTCACTCCAGTTGATAGTATAGTTGTTTCTGATCCTGTAGTGGATGGCCCAGATGTTTCTGATTCTCTGACTGATGATTCAGTTTTCCTTGTCACTTCTGATGATAATCCAGAAGTCCCAGTCACTCTAGCTGATGATACTGTTGTTCCTGTAACTCCAGATGATTGTGAAGAACTCTCTGTCACTTTAGGCGATGGTCTTACTGTCTCTAATTCTGTAACAGATGGTTGAGTTGTCCCTGTCTCTCCAGCTGATGGTAGAGTTGTCTCAGTCACACCTGATGATTGTCCAGAGGTTCCTGTCACTCCAGCTGATGTTCCAATGATCTCTGTAAACAAGTAGTAAAAGTAATATGATGTCAACAGTTGGTTTGGTCTTTGGTTAATCGTAGTAAGGATTCATGTTGCTTTCTTTCTCCACTATTTCTTTCATACCTCATCTCCATAGCCACTGAGACCTCCTCTCATACTTTTCATTTTGCTACACTTAACATGTTCCTGTTTGGTTATTCCTTTAAGAATTAAATATTCAATATCTAATGTATATCAAAGAAATTCTCAGAGACTTAGAAATATGCCTTCATTTTATCATCAGCACAATCCTGAGAGATATGCAAAATTCCTTGTACTGAAATACCAAAATTTATTTCCTAATTTCACTCAAGTACCAGTTCAGTATTCCTCCAAGTTCTGACTGTAGTCTCCATTCAACAATGTTGTCTTTTACACACACATGCATATATAATGTGTACACTGTAAAACACATATGCATATGTACATATACCCCTTCTTTTCATAAGGCTACAAATTATATGCATGACCGTTGCTTGCTTTTTGTCACTTAATAAATTTTAGAAATAGAGCATCATGTAGATTTCTTTCTTACTTTTTTATTAGGATGACCTAATACAACTTTATAACATTTTATTCAGTGTGTTGTCTTTGATTGGAAGTGTTGTCTCTAATCTTTTAAAAAACAATGCTAATATGTATAGCTGGTCTATGTGTCATTTTGTACTTTGGTTGTACAACTTCACCATAGAGCCCTGGAAGTGCGATTTCTGAGTCAAAGTGTAAATTAATCTGTAATTCTTTTAGATTTTGCCAATCGGCCCTCCTTGGGGTTATAACATTTTGTGCTCCCACCTTCATCATACAGAGCACCACCTGTTTCATTCTAGACCTGTCAACAGGGCTATTGTCAAACTTTTGGATTTCTGCCAATCTAAAAAGTAAGAAATGATTTCTCAGTGTAGTTTAAATTTGCACTTTGTATTTATGTAAAGTTGATCATCTATTTCAAATTTCGTGGTTATAATTGCTATCTAATCCAGCTTCTTCATAACTTCAAAAAATGTTGAACAGTAAATGATAGTATCTATCCTTACTCTATGTCTACTATCAGTAGAATGGGTATAGTAATTCCGTTCATTCCAATGTTCTTAAGTGGGTATTTTTTATGCAAATAGTTTCTGAATGTTTTCCAAGTGCCATTTTAGCTTCTGTTTAGATTTTTTCATTTCTCTTAGGTGTATTAATATGAACTACATTAATGAATTTCCTAATTTTAAAAAATCTTCACTAATATTATTAGAAATTACTATTAAACATTATTTTCCTCCTGTTTGCTCATTTTTTCTTGTTTATCTAGTTATTCATTCACTGATGTGTCAATATTACTTTTGTTCTAGCGCTAGAGCTACAGTGAAAAATAGTCAGTGCTATAATCTTTTTGTTAAAAGTTTTTGAAACATCTTTTGTTTAACACTCATCCTCCAGTGAATTTATTAGGAGGGCCTCATGGGTACACAATTCTCCAAATTCCTTCATGTTTTAAATTATGTTTCTATTGATAATCACAGTGTGTTTTGTATTGAGACATAATGTTTGCACATCTTCATGAAGTGTACAATGGTAGTTTATATACAATGTGTAATAATCACATCAGGGTACTCCAAATTTCCATCTCTTCAAACATTAATCACTTATGTACTAGGAATTTATATTCTTTTTTCATTCATTTTATATCATGAATTGTTCTAACCTATAGCTCTCTCAGTATGCTAAAGAACCAGAAGTGATTCCTCACTCTGTTTCAGGGACCCTTATTGAGTTTCTTTCCCACCTCTCTCCCAATGCCCTTCCCAATCTTTAGTGGCCACTACTTCGTTCAATTATTTTTATTAGGTTGACCTATTAGTTTCCACAAATTGGAGAATGAATATGTAGTATTTCTTTCCATGCCTAGTTTATTCTACCTTACATAGTGAACCCCAGTTACATCCATGTTGCTGCAAATCACAGGATTTCATTCTTGCTGTGGCTGAATAGAATTCCATTTTTGTGTGTGTGTGGTGGCACCTTTTCTTTATCCATTCATCTACTGATGGGCATCTGGGTTTATTTCATATTTAACTATTGTGAATTATGCTACAATAATCATGGGAGTGCAAATATCTTTTAGGTACAATGATTTCATCTCCTTTAAGTATATAGCAAATAATGAAACTGATGAATCATAAAGTAATTCTATTTCTAGTTTTTGAGGACTCCCATACTCTTTTCCATGAAGGTTGAACTAATTTACATTCCCACCAACAGTGTGAAATAGTCCCCCCATTTTTCCATATCCTTGCCAGAATTTGGTGTTTTTGTTTGTTTGTTGTTGATAGTCACCAAATTGTGTTTAAGGGAATACTAACATCCTTGGCCCACATTTTCTTTCCTCCAGTATTGTACAGATGCCATTCTTCTTTTGACAGATCTGATACTAATCTGATTTTACTTCTTTGTTAATGAAGCTCCTTTTGCCTTGAGGTACAGATAGCTTATTTCTTTATCTTTTGAGTTACAGAAGTGATAAAGTTACTATTTAGGATCAACTCATCCAGAAGCAGGGAAGTGACCTTCAAATATGTAGAGGTAGTTGTTTTTTTATTTCTGAAATTTTTTCCTAATTTGCAAGTTTGAACATTATATTTAATTGATGTTTTCTCTAGAAATGCAATAATACATATGTTGGATTTTTTGTCTATTGTAATTTCCTTCTATAGTCCACTTTATCTTTGCTTAAAGTACAGTATCTAACATTTTGGAGGTAGGTGGCCTCTTTTCAATTCTACCCTCTAAGCCTCTTGCTGCACTTTTTGCTTTATTTATTCTTTGTTGGGCAGCTTGAGAGTTGGTCTTTACTTTTGACATAGATTTTATATTTCCTTCAATTTCTCTCCTCAGTTTTCAATTCCCATTTAACTTATTCCTGTTTTTATCTACTTTTACTCCAAATTCTCTAATTTATATTTTTGATATCTCTTGTCTGCATTTCCTTTGTTATTTTAAATTCATGTTAATGTTATATTCTAGTATTCTTGTGTTTCATGACTACATATTTAGAATTTGTCTAAGTTTTCAAATGAATTTCAACAATAGCAAAGATATAGCTATTGATCAACAGCATAAATATTAGAATTTTTTTTCTTCTTTTCTTTTTCACACTGGTTTTTCCTGGTCCTGCAATAGCTAAAGTTCTATGCAGTGAGTGGCAGTGGGCCCTTTGTAGGCTCCCCATATTTCTCAGATCAGGGGCTTCCTCTTATGCTCTTAGAGTGAGGTGAAGCTTCTTTTATAACTGGTACCTTTTCTTTGTAGTATTCATTATTATCCTATTTTATTACAACCCTTGTCTTTACAGCCTTCATTTTTTTTCCTTTGACACCAAAAATTCTTCTATCTTGCAAAACACCTCCCTCTCCTCTATAAGTGGTTGGTGCCTTCCAAAGACCTTTAGTTCTCATTCCATGCACTCTCCAGTACTTTTTCAGCTACACATTCATGAGTGCTCTGACCTGCCAAGTTTTGGGTCTTTTCTTGGTATTTTCCACTCAAGATGGGACCTTTCCTTCTGGAGCCAAATCCTAGCTGTATGTTCTATAGCCTTATGACTCTCTACAATTCCCTCTCTTCTGAAAGATCCTTGCCTGAATCTTAACTCCACTCTGAGCTACAGTTCTATCTTTCCTAGCCTTTGGAATCCTACTTTTCTCTGTCCACTCTAAACCCTCCAGGTGGCTACTCTATGTTGATCTTTAGGGTTTTGTAGGAAGACAGTATCTGTACATTCTAAATTATTCAGCCACCATTTTCCTGCTTTTTTTAAAACAACATTTTTTTCTGTTTCTTTGTGCTTAAACAAAGTTCTGTGAGTATCTGTACAAATTAAGGATCAAATTGATACAATGCAATTTAGTTACTCATGGTATTTGAGGGAATTTTTGTGTATTTGAATATTTAATGAGCTTATCAAATAATTACAACAGAGATATAATATTTAAGAGCTTGGATCAAGAAAACTTCTCCACAGATACAGCTGTGAACCCTTTACCCTACTGCATCATTCCCACAGGTGAATATAGTATGTTCATCAAATTGTGCTGCGAAGTCCTCTTACTTAAAAGCTATTATTAGTTGCACTGAAAACATGAATGTAAAGGGCTATATCAGCTTGGCTCTACAAGAGTGTTTTTTTCTATCCCTTAGCAGGCTGTGATAGCACTTCCTGTTTTATGCTTACCCAATAATAAGCCCGTTTTTTATTCTCTTCTTTGTGGAGAGAGTTTCTGGGTTTGGAGATTTTTTTTAAAAAATTCTAATCCCCAACAACTAATATCTTGTCAGTCCCTTATTCCACAGAAATTGACTATATCCCTAAAATTTTACCCGGCTTTCTTGGGTTGTGAGGTTTTATTCAAAGTTAAGGCATTTTGGCTCATATTACACAAAGCATAATAAGTACTTTTCAAAATAAAATTATTCTATTGTTTAAACCCCAACTAATCAGCTCCCTTATTAGAACTGATCTCAATTGCTATTTCAACACTTGTCATCAAATGATTCCTAGACTTTGAGTATCTTCTTCTTTGCCTGGTTTCTGTCTTTGGTATATTATAAATATACCTACTCAGAAATAAAGTTCTGTGAGATTTAGTGACTTCGTCTATTCCTCTCCTATCTTCTCTGGAGCACCTAGTACCTACACAACAAATATTTCTTGATGTATTTCTGATATTCTACAGTTTGACATTGTACAAATTACAATGACTAAACTCCCCAGAAATTTGTCTTGGACAAAATATTAAGAAACTACATTTCCTCTGTCTGAATTTATGCTGATATTGCTCTTTGCCTACCTGATGTTCCAGAAGCGTTTTCACCAGCAGTAGTGGAGATTATATTTTTTCCTCCTGTTGTTACTATTAGAAAAAAAAATGGTACTTAGAAAAGTCCACATGGGCTTCCCAGAATTAGCAAATAAAAGTACAGACCACCCAGTTAAAAGCAAACCCCAGATAAACAAACCACCATGTTCAAAATATTGCATGGAACATATTTATGTTGAAAAATTATTCCTTACTTAGGTGAAATTCAAATTTAACTGATATCCAGTTTTGTTTTGTTTTAACACTGGGAATCAAAACTAGGGCATCCAGCATGCTAAGCACATAATTTACTACTGAACCACATGTTCACCCTATATTTTTTTCTGCCAACCCTAATCTATATAGATGTTTTTGATAAATTGTTCTTGGAAGAAATTTCAGATGTTTTCATTCTAAGGGGGACTCCAGGATTTAACTCTCTATGATCATCTATTCTAAATTATAGACATGTTTAAATTTGCTTCCATATATGAGAAGTTGGGGTCCCAACTAAACTCACAATATACTGTGACTAAAGTGACAAGAGGACCTAGGTGTGCCCTGCTGAGTTCCAAGGTGAGCTAGAGCTAGATGCTCTAGCAGTGAGGCCACTGCAGGTTCCAGTGGCATTTCCAAAAGACTCGTGTATGACACCCGATAATAACACTGTTGGAACAACACACACATTATTGAGATAACTCAGCACTGTAGCGTATGTGAAGAGGAGATGTGGAGGAATCAGAAAAATAGAAAATTTCTTAATAATGCTAGTCACTTATATACCATTCTACATCTTTTATTGGATCTCATTTGATAATAAATATCAAGTGAAATCAGCAATACTTTCTGTTGAAAGTATCTTTTTCTGCAAAAGCTATGGCCTCTGAGTGGCATCCACTACTCCCCTGAGTTGCCTGCAGGTAGCCTTCTCTTCATTACTTGAGGCTCTCTGGATGTTTTAATAACTAATGCTCCAGTGCTCTCTTTCAAAGTGAAAAATGAATGTATCATGCTCTTCGATTAAGGGGAATAAATTATACTATTTTCTGCTTTCAAAGTATCTTAACACATATTTGTTTAAAATTTGTCATTTCAGGTTCAGTCTTTATAAATGCTGATCTTAAGAATCCTGTATGATTCTTAGAATCCCTGAGTATTTATTTACTTTTGTTCATTAATAGGATTGTTTATCATCTACGTGTGTAATATTCACATACTTGAAGCTAGGCTAACCCAGCTAAGAGTAAAACAACATTCAAACCAAACTACATGTACAAGACCAATGGTGAGGCTTAAAAAATTATGTATGATTGGGAGCTTCTTCCAGGGGACAGATTTGATGGATCTGTGAAGGACTCTTCAACAGTTATATTTAAAAATTCTCTTACTTCTCCTTTGCAGCTAGGATTGAAAACCAAAACCCCATGTTACACTCACACCCTCAGAAGTTAAAGGACAGAAGTTCTGGAACCAGTCTAGTTGTCCAGTAACAGATGAATAGATAGCTGAATAAAACTTCATTCAGATTACATTTTCTCTATCAAGAAGAATGAAATGTCATATTCAGGGAAATGAATGGATCTTGAGAGCATTAGTCAAGTGAAATAAGACTCAGAAATTCAAGGGTTTTATGTTTTCTCTCATATGTGAAAGCTAGAGAGGAAAAAGGAGGGGGAAAGGTTGTGAAGTCAAAAAGGAGACCAGTCGAGTAGAGGGGAGGGGGGAGGGGGGAGAGAAGAGGAGGGGATGGGAAGAAATGGGGGAGTGAAATTAACCAAATTATATTATGTGCATGTACAAGTATGTCATAATTTATCCCACTATCGTGTATAATTACAATGAAATAACAATTAATTGGAAAAAAGAGGCTTAAAGGGATTGCCGAAATCATTATAGCCATAAATATACTCAGAGGGCTACTATGAATTATACATGATTATAGAATACACCTTCTAATCAAGCTTTCCCATTACTATCTATAAATAGTCAGGAATGGATTCTCCTACTCTAATCTTAAACTAGTCCAACATTTCTTTACCATGTTCCAAATAAAGGGAAAGAGGATAGACAAAATATTCCATTTGTCCTCTCACACTCATGGATTCCTCCCTCTACTTTACCTGATTTGCTGCTAGCAGTTGTTGTGACTGGTCCAACTGAGGTCCCATGGCCAGAAGTAATGGAGCCTGTAGATACTCTTGTTGTCCCTAATAACAAGAATAGGTTTGGAAGGTATATTGAACATGCCTATTACTCTTGAGATTTCCAAACAAAGAAAGTGAAGGACACTATCCTTCCAACTTTCCTTAGGCCAACAATATAATTTTTTTTCTTCTTTTTGGTATCAGGAATGGAATCCAAGGGCACTCAAGCACTGAGTCACATCCCTAGCCCTTTTTATTTTTTATTTGGAGACAGGGTCTCACTAGGTTGCTTATAGCCTCCCTAAATAGCTAAGGCTGGCTTTGAACCTGCCTCAGCTTCCTGAGCTGCTGGGATTACAGGTGTGCACCATCAGGCCTGGCTTCTAATTGGATTTTGAGTCTGATATTTTAAACCAGCATGTTCTGGTTTAAACGGGCTCCAGTGCCCATTTCTCCAGGGGTACTGTCAGGGGTTGCTTCGGATGATACCCTAGCTATACCTGATATTTATCAGGGATAAAAAGCTATCAGACTAAGAAAATATAAAGCCAGAATGTTCTTTTGAAAATGTCCTGACTTCCATTTGTCATTTTACTTTTAAAAAAAAGTGGATGTACCTATGCTTTAAACTTCACTGACATGTTTAATCAGGGAACTATGTAGACTGATGCCATTTTTTTAATAAAATGCAATAATCATGTACCATACCCTTATGATCCAATTCACATATTTCCCCTACTTTATTTTGTCTTGATGATTGTTTATTAATTTTTTAAAACATTAATTTCTCTTTTTTCAAAATGAAATTGAGGGTGAAAATGTATATTGCCTTGTTCTTGTCCTGAATTCTACAGAGCAGGAAAGAAAATAATGGGTATATACAAATGTTTGTTTGGCATATTACTGATTCTTTGAATATTTGGCATCATATAACAAGGTTTAGTTTCCCCAGAAAACCCTGTCTTATTAGCAAACAGCTCTCATATCTACTGCCTGGATTTCACTTGCTTACGCTTGTACCTGTCCTTCCAGATGTGTTTTCACCAGCAGAGACAGTTGTGGCTGCATCAGTTCCTCCTCTCGTTGCTAAAAAGAAGAATGGTGCTTCAGACATATGGATAGTTATGAAGAAAACATTCCTTCAGGACATTTTGTGGTTTAATTCATGTCATTAGGTCCTACAACATTGTATTACCATTCCTTAATCTCACTCATTATTATGCCCTGAAGCTGCTGAAGTTGGTATTGGACCCTAGCACAACCCGTAAGGAGGCTCTGTCTTACCTGTGGGGCTTCCAGCACTGGTGGCCCCTGTGCCTGTTGGTCCAGGTGTGCTGCCTCTGACTGCTTCTGAGGTTGCTCCCAGGGACAGTCCTATTGTACCTGACAAACACAGTAGCAGTGCTTGCAACATATGCTAGTTCCTCTGAAGGAGGAGATTGCTTCCAATCAAGACAAAATTTCAATCTTGTGCATTCTCTAAGCCTACTGTTTTGATATTTGTACACAATAATCAGGACTCAGTGCACATCCTGACTTACCTGAACTTCCTGGGCTCGTTGCTCCAGTGCTGGATTCTCTGGATGTGCTGCCCTCCTCTTTGCTAGGTGTTGGTGCAGTAGGGCCTCCTGTTCCAACTGATAAAAAATTAACCTTTTTTTTTTTCAAATTGCCCTGGAAAAATCAACTTATTTAACTTTACAAAAGCCCTCTGAGATGGGTAATATTATTCTTCCCATTTATCAGACAAGGTTTAATGATTTCTCCAGCTCCATGCAATGGTTGACAGCAATCCTGGCGCCAAACTCAGTCTAGTGCCAGAATATATTCTCTGCTTCTCAAATAACCTGTGACAAAAATGGATTTGTAAAATTTCCAGTCTGTCCTAGTACATGCTTTGAAAAATGCCATTAAATTGAGTTATAAAATTTTCAAAAATACGACCATATAAAACACAAACCTTTATTCAATGGACATAAGATCACTGTGCCAAATTGTTGTTTATAAATGCTTGATCTCTGTTTCACTTCTTTCACAAAGGGTACCAAGGATTGAACCAGCAGCACTTTGCCACTGAGCAACATCTTAAGTCTCTTATTTTGAGACAAGGGCTTACTAAATTGCTGAAGACCTCGATAAAATGCTGAGACTAACTTGTAATCCTCCTTCCTCAGCCTCCTGAGGCTGGGATTACAAGCATGTGCCACCATGCCTGGCTATTCTATTTCACTTTGATGATTGCAAATCAAAAGACAGCTGATTTACTTATCTCCCAAGTACTTCTGATTTGGTAATCAATTCATACTAGATTATCACCCTAACATTTGTATCAGTTTAATGGTCTAATTAAAATTAAGCAGTTTCTTAATTTTGCTGCTTCATGTAGATTTTATCTTTCCATATGGTAATTTTAATGTAAACAATCTTATTCCAAAAAATATGTTGTAAATGTTAAATTTAGAAAATTGCTAGGTTTGAAGGTGTATCTCAGTGGTAGATATGTGCTTAACATGAGCACATATTAGCACAAACATAACATGAGCATTCAATCCCCAGAATTTAAAAAAAAAAAAATCAATCAGTCCATGGAATACTTAATAAATGTATGAAGAGAAGTTGATGCTTATATTAAAGAAATGGCTTTAATGGTATATAAAGGAATCTCTACCTATATTAAGCAATCAAACTACAGAAAACTTTTAAGTAGAGACAGGATGACTGTTATGGGGTTTTTGTGTTTGTTGTTATTGTTGTTGTTCTGGCATGGTATTAACTAAAGTATAATGGAGGGAAGTTGGGAAAGAGAAGAAATAGTGCTCATTAAAGTAGAGAATCACTTCTGTACTAATTGCCTAAAAATTTTGTTAGCACACTAACTGCTGGGCTTCACTCCACCAACTTCCACCACTAGGAAGGTGGGTCTAAAAATGTGTAGTTCTAACAAGTTCCCAGGAAATGCAGATGCTGCATGACTGTAACAATATTAGTGAGCTAAGAAGAGGACTATAGAGAATGGGTAGAAAATGAAAACACTTGAACCAAAGCCAAACCAAAGGAGATGAGTTTGAGAAGACAGTTCAGAGGTCATTAAAATTAATGTTTGCTGAAGTGGCAGATTTGAACTAAGGTATGTTTGTTTTCAATCCAATTATCTATGCTTAAGAATGTCAATAATATTTTTTTCATAAACTAACAATAGTTAAAATTTAGTCAATGATGGATGCATTTGGAGAACATCATGTTAAGCAAAATAATCTAGACTCAAAAAGATGAGTTCATATGTTTTCTCTTATATGTACAAGCTACAGCAGGGGAAAGAAAAAAAAAAAGGATGTCATGAAAGTACAAGTGTAGAGGAAGGAGACAAGCAGAAGAAAGGGAAACTGACCAAATTAGTTTATATGCATGTAAGACTGTGCCACAATAAAATGCAACACTGTATAATATTAACCAGTAAGTTTTTAAAAATAAAATAGAAAAAGATGTAGTCAATCATGTGTAAGGACAAGCATAATCACCTTGACTTTTGTTGGACATGAGTTCTTATACACCCATCACTACTACAAAAGCCAGAGATTGCCCGTGAGGTTTAGGAGTTGGAGTTCTACTCCTGCTTTTTCCAGTGTGGAGACTTTAATATAAATTCCTCATCTTGTGGGAATGATACATAATCGCCACAGTATTAATGTTGACTAAATTACAACATACATATTTGAACATGATTTAGAAATGTTAGTGTGCCAGATTAATATATTAATTAAAATATTATTTATCTTGAATTTTTTTTCAAACTCATCCAGTTGGCTTAGATAATTGACATTCTATTCTCTCAGGGTAAATGTACTGCAGAGCTGAAACAGAAGATTGCTTGTGGAAATATTCTGAGGAAGAGAGAAACTTTGACTCCTTGCTTTGCCTTACCATCTCGGAAGACTGCCTCACTTGTATTCCCATTGTTAGTGGTAGTCCCACCTGGTGACACTCCAGCTGTCTCTGATAAAGGTTAAAAAAAGAAAAGGGGAGCCAGTAAAAACCATGCATGTATACTACCAATTATGAAGGCAATGGGAGCATATAATTATAACGAGATTCATTAAGAAAGTAACTTGTAAGAAGGCTAAAGATTTGACATTTTAATTACATACAAGGAATAAGCAGCATTGCCTGAAAGAATACTGCTCCGCTAGAGCAGTATTCTTGGCTCTGAACTGGGATTACCTGCTGTGTCCCCAGGACTGGTGAAGCTAGGGCTCCGTTGGGCTGTGGTGCCTGCACTTCCAGCTGTGGAGGTGATGGGAACTGAAGTTCCAGTAGAGCCTGAGAAAAACCAAAGGAACTTCTCACCTAAAGTGTACCTGGACTTTATTATCAATGAGTAATCTAACTGTCCAATCACTCCTGCTATAGGGAATAGAATAGAGGAATTCATGACTTTCTGCCCAGACTTCACTAACATTTGTTCTAATATTATTTTCTTAAAGATCTTGGTTTAGTCATTAGATAATTGCTCTACAAATACATCTTTCTTCACCTTGTGCCACAGCAGGTCTTCATACATTTGTATCAACCACTCTGCTTTAAAATAAGAGCAGTTCTGATAAATGGCTCACCCTCTGACAGAAGCTGGGACCCCTGAACATCACCCTATACTCACCTGAGTGCCCTTCAGGTGATGTCACTTCACTGCTGGGGGCTCTGGTTGTTTTATCCACTGATGGTCCAGTAGTACCTTTCAAAGGAAATGGTAAATATATGTTATGATCTGTGGTTAAGTGGAATAAGTCAGCCATTCTCTGTTTTAAAAATATCTTGAGGTTGGGGATGTGGCTCAAGTGGTAATGCGCTCGCCTGGCATGTGCGGGGCGCTGGGTTGGATCCTTAGCACCACATAAAATAAAGATGTTGTGTCCACAGAAAACTGAAAAATATTAAAAAATTCTCTCTCACAAACAAAAAAACCCCACTATGTTCCAAATGCTTACTCTCTTGTTTCACTTCTTATCACATCACAGACCATTAATAAACAGTCTGGGAGCCACACATCTGGGCACCAAACTCTATTTCAAACACCTTATTTACTTTTTGATAGCAAAAGATGATCACTGAATGAGATGTCCTTATTACCCAAGTTATTTTGAGTCAGATTTTCTGAATATAAACAAAATGGTCAACACTTTAAATTTCAATAAGTTTACGGACCCAATGGGAATTACTAAGTTTCTTTATGTTCCTGCTATGTGTAAACTATATGATTTAGCCTAGTAATTTCAATGTAAACAGCAGCTTATTCAAAACAATATGTGTCACGTATTTTAAATAAAAATAGCTTATCAAAAATATTGTAGAAGAAACACAATCATGCAATAGATTCATTAATAAATTCAGAAGAAGTCCTACGCACACCTGAAACAAATGTCTCATAATGCTATATAAAGTTTTGATCTATCTAAGACACTAATTTAAAAAATAACTAAGTAAATAGGAGAAATATCAGTAGAGTAAAGTGAAGGGAACAGGGCAGGGATGGTAGGAAGGGAAAGTAAGGGGAAGCACTGGAGACTGAATTAGAACAAATTATATTCCATGCTTTTATAATTATGTCAAAGTAAATTCTTTTTATTTGTTCTTAGTTACATATGACAGTAGAATGTATTTTGACATATTATACATATATGGAGTATAACTTCCCATTCTTCTGATTGTTGTGGAATTACATTGGTTATGTATTCATACATGCATGTAAGACGTAACATCTGATTCATTCTATTAGCTTTCCTATTTCTAATCCCCCTTCCTTCTCTTTATTCCGCTTTGTCTAATCCAAAGTACTTATATTGTCATATATAACTCAAAAAGATGTCCAAAATTAAAAATTTTAAATTAAAAAAACAATCATCAGTATTTAATGACTTTAAATAGTACAGACACAGGATAAGAGTTGAGCTTTGGGGAAGTCATTCTGACATGACATTGTTGAAATGTAAACTGAGAAGGTGGTTGAAAAAGAGTGGGAATTGTGGAGAAGTGCTTTTCCACCTTGAGAATCAATTCCCTAAAAAGCTTACTAACATAGTCTGCTGGGCTCCACCCCAGCACTTGCTGATGACAGTCAGGTGGACCCAGAAATGTGCCCTGCTAACAAGATCTCACAGGATTTCGATGCTGCTGGTCCAGGAACCACATTGTGAGCATCATGGTGTTAGAGGAGGAAGATAACTAAGGCAGAGGAATGCAGGGACTGGGGGAAAAGGTTTAACAGCTGAATGCAAGAGGACACTTCAGAGGTCTTTAAAATTTGTAACTGATGGTATCTGGGACAGTTGTAAATTTTTAGTCATGCTTATTTCCAGTGTAAATCATCTGTATTTAATATTATCAATGATATTGTATTCCTGGTCCTAACACTGACTGAATTTAATGAATAATGCACAAGCACAAGCTTATTCTCTTGGGTTTTTGTTGGATGAGCTCTTATGCAGAGGTTATAGAACTGAGGGGCTAGCCAATGCAAAATGAGGCTTTTCAGTACAGGTTCTAAACCAGAATTTCCAGCTTGGAAATTTTTATTATTTTCTTATCTCATGGGAATAATGACATATAATGGTGTAAAGGTTGACTATATTACAAACAATACACTTGAGCATAAGTCAGACAATTTAATGGGCCATAGAACAAGGTCATTAATGTTTTATATAACTGCAAATACTAACTGTAAAATATTTCCCAAAGTCATAGATAAATTGCCCAATTAAGAATTATTCCTGTCAATTCTAAGGCTCTACTCAAAGGAGAGATTGCTCAGGCAAAACATCATTGGTTGTATAAATATCAGATTTTTCCTTATATCTTTGTTTCACCTGCTCAGAAGCTCTGTCACTTGTACATCCCCTACGGGGTCTTAAATTTATATCTGGTAGCACTCTGCCTATCCTTGATGAAGGTTGGACTATACCCTCTAACTACCTGATTTGCTGCTAGCATAAGTTGTGACTATTCTAGCTGAGTGCCCATGGCTAGTACTAGTGGGGCCTTCAGAAACTCCTATGGTTTATAGAGCCAAGACCAGTATATGGGGTTTGGAGAATACATATTATTCCTGCAAACCCTATGAGTCATTGAGAGTCTCCAGATTTAGAAAATGAAGAAAATGATCCTCATAAATTTTCTTGCTCCACCAATGAAATCCAAGTTAGGGCCTGATTTTACAAAAGGAGGGCATGGATCATAAATGCATATGCATCAAAACCAATAGAGTGGACCTTACCTGAACCAGTGGATGCAGTCTCTGCCTCTCCAGGTGTGCTGCCACTTTGAGCTTCAGGGGTTACTCCAGATGATGCTCCAGGGGTGCCTGAGATTTATCAGGGAAAAAAATAAGTCAGCTTAAGAAACCTAAAGGAGGGACTTCTTATCAACAATGATCTGGAATATATTTTAAAATAACAGATGGATTTACCCTATAAAATTCACTGGCATCAGATATTCTTTCTCAGGGTAAATCAATTAATTCTGAGAATGTACTCTTTGAATTAAGTTATTATTGTTAAAAATAGTGTAATCATGTCAATAAATCATGATTAAAGCTTGATATCCTTTTCCTTGTACACTAGATCTTATGATCCAATTTGCATCTTTTCCCCTCTTGATTGCTATCTTACTTATTGTCTTCATTGCTATCTTACTGTGCTCTTAAACGTATTACTTATTGCAACTAGATGGTTGTTAATTTCTGTTTCCCACTTGGCACTGGGTGACATCAGTTAGATTTCCCTAATCTTTCACCATATTCCACAGTGACTCTAAGATGTATTAAGAACAAAACTCAGACTTGATATATTCATGATTTTCTGGAGAATTGGCTACACCTCAACCATAATGGTCAGATTCCCCAGGTAACACTGTCTCTGAATAGGTTTGGGGCAGAAAGCTCTCACATCTACTGCCTGGATTTCACCTGATTATGCTCCTTCAGTACCTGTGGTTCCAGATGTGATATCACCAGCAGAGACAGTGGTTGTTGCATCAGCTCCTCCTTTTGTTGCTAATGGAAAAAGAATGGTGCTTAGTCTACACAGAGAGCTAGGAAGAAAACACTCTTTGAAGGACACTGCATACTTTCAATTTTGTCATAATTTGCTATTCCTATTGTTACTTTTCTTATATCTCATTCTCACATTTGAGGATCTCATACAACTTGTATTTGACTCCACCACAAGCCCCTTGGAAGTGTGTCTCATACCTGTTGGGCTTCCAGTGCTGGTGGCCCCAGTGCCCGATTGTCCAGTTGTGTTGCCCCTGCCTGCTCCTGAGGTTGTTCCCAGAGACTCTCCTGTTGTACCTGACAAACACAGTAACAGTGCTTGCAATATATGCTTTCTCCTCTGAAGCAGGAGATAGGAAGATCCAGGCAAAATATAATATTTTTGTACATTTTTGTGGTTTACCCAACAACCTACATGCTTTGTTATTGTTTCCACTCCATAGACACTAAGCACACATCCTGACTTACCTGAAGTTCCTGGGCTTGTAGCTCCATTGCTGGGTTTGCTGGCTGTGGTGCCCTCCTCCCCAATAGGTGGTGTTGTACTAGGGCTTCTCGTGCCTCCTGATTTTTTAAAAAAGCATTTCATATTACCTTATGCATAAATCAAACTTTTAAATCTCATAAACATCCTCTCAAAGCAGCTACATTATTCTTCTCACTTATCAAAAATGGTTAAGTGATGTGCTCTTGTCACCCAGTTGGAAGCTACAATTTCAGACAGCCAAACTTCAATCACCTATCCCTAATTTCATGCTGTAACCAGTGCTGCTCAAAAGATCTCTGACAACAGGACAAGTTTTATTATTCTAATCTCTGCCAAAAGCATGGGTTTCATAGTGTTATAAAATGAATGCTAATATAAAATCTAAGTAAATAAGACCATATAATATACAAATTTTTATTCAACAATAACATACTATTATGTTAAAATTCTCTGTTTCCAAATGCTTGCTCTGTGTTTCACTTCTGATCACATCATGGGCTGTTAACAAACACAATAAGCCACACATTCATGGACCAATGTTGAGCAGCCTTGTTCAAATACTTTACTGTCTGATAATTGGGAAATATCTCTGAATGAGACAACCTTATTAACCAAGTAATTCTGAGTCAGACTTTTGGAATATAAACAAATGGTCAACACTTTAAATTTCAATAAATTTACTGATCCAGTGGGAAGTGCTAAGTTTCTTTTTTATTATTTTTATGCATAAGCTATATCATTTAAATCAGTAATTTCAAAAACTATAGCTTATGCAAAAGACTATTCATCATAAATTTTAAATCAAAACAATAGCTAACCAAAAATGAGTGTGTGAGAAACACAACAGGCCCATAGATTCTTGAATACATTTATAAGATCTAATATGCATACATGAGACAAAGGCCTCCTAATGCTACATAAATTTCTGAGTTATCTTAAAAGAAATCAGAACTATTTAAGTACTCTAAATAATTCAGACACAGGGTGAGAGGTGAGCTTTGGAAAAGCCATTCTGACATGACATTTATGGAGTGTAAACTGGGAATGAATTTGGGAAAGAGTGGGAACTGTGGAGATGTGTTTCTCTACCTTGAGCATCAATTCCCTAAACAAATTGAGTGGCTCCACCCACCCAGTAGACTTTCCAATTCTCTGCTGGTGGACCAGAAAATGTGCACTTTTAATAAAATCCCAAAGGATTCCAATGCTGCTGGTCCAGGAACCACACTGTGAGCACCATGGAGTTAGAGGAGGACAGTAAGAAAGGCAGAGGAATGCAGGGACTGTGTGTAAGAAAGGCAGAGGAATGCAGGGACTGTGTAAAAAGACTTACCATGTGAATAAAACACAGAAAATGGGCTACAAGGGAAGACACCTCAGAGGTCCTGAAGATTTGTAACTGATGGCATCAGAGAGAGTTTGAAATTGAATCATGTTTGATTTCAATCTAAATTATCTATGTCCAATATTGTCAATAGTATTGTATTCCTGGTCCTACACTGGCTAAATTTAATCAATGCACATCCACAAGCATATTCTGCTTGGTTTTTGTGGAAATGAGCTCTATTACACTGGTCACAACATTGAGAAGGCAGCTATTGCCCATCAGGTTCAGAGTTCATGTTCTAACCAGACTTTGTAAGCTTAGGAACTTTTATTTTCTTATCTCATGACAATAAACACCTATAACATGTTAAGCCTGACTATGTCAACAAAGAATATACTTGAAAGCAAATCAGATATTTTAAAGGACAAAAATGTGTATCATTAATGTTTCATATGCAAGTGCAAATACTTACATGATTTGTACAAAGTCATGGAATTGACTTGTGTAACTGGTAAAATGGCCTCTTTGTTTTAGACTGTTCTCAGAGTGGTGATTGCTATAGTTAAACGTGTTGACTGGAATATTGTGTTTAACTCATATCTTTGTTCCACCTGATTGGAAGCTGTGTCACTTAGACATTCCTATGGGTTCTTAAAGTTACAACTGGTGACTTGCTGGTTGTTCCTTAGGAAGCTTGAAAAAAATTGATACAACTGTACAAATGGCAAAAAACAAACAAACCTGCATGAGGCCTGCAACAATCAGTGGTAGCATGTACTTGTAAGATAATATGGTAAAAGGAAGCAACATGTTGAAAGTTTAATTATTTAGATTTTAATTATATATTAAAGCTAATGATATCAAAAGGCTAATAATACTAAATTTTAATTATATATGAGAAATATCACCTAAGTCAGGTATTTGATTTGGAAAAATATTGCCTGAGAAGCATGCCTGAAACCATTTTATTGGCTGAGGCCAATATACTTACTCTGAACTGGGCTTACCTGATGTACCACCAAGACTGGTAATGCTGGGGCTCAGTCCTCCTGTGGTGCCTGCACTTTCAGCTGTGGAGGCGATGGGAATTGAAGTTCCAGTAGTGCCTGAGCAGTACATCAAAGGAACTTCTCACCTACAGTCTACTTGGACTTTATTTCCAATGGGTAATCTAACTGTCCATTCACACCTTAGAGTTAAAATTTTAATAAATGCATCCAGTGACATAGTACCCAGAGTTGCTTTTGACTTTGGGATTTAATGTTTCCTTAAATGTTTCAAATTAGTTACTGCATTTTCTTTTTAAACAAAGACATCTTTCTTTGTATTGAGTTGAGTCAACTAGGTCTCCTTAGATTCATCTCAACTACTTTGATTCAAAACAGGACCAAAATCAGAACCACTGAAATCATTCTCTACTAACCTGAATGCCGTTCAGGTGATGTCAATTCATTGTTTGAGGCTCTGGTTGTTGTGTCAAGTGATGGTTCAGTGGTACCTTTCAAAGCAAAAAAAAATGAATAATATCAAGGTTTTTGATTAAGTAGATCATGCTGATATGTTTTTAAAATACACTTCACTTTTTCAATAAAAATTATCTTTTTCTGTTCCAATGATTCCAAATTAGATCATAAAACCTGTATGAGAGAATCCTTTAGTGAGATTAACTATACTGGCTTGCAATTAGGATACCTTATTATCTGACGTTTTTTTTCTCATACCCATGATTGAACTCAGGGGCACTAGACCTGTGAGCCACATCCCCACCTGATTGTGTATTTTATTTAGGGACAGGATCTCACTGAGTTGCTTGGTGCCTCACTTTTGTTAAGGCTGGCTTTGAATTCGCAATTCTCTTGCCTCAGCATCCCAAGCTGCTAGGATTACAGGCATGGACCACAGCACCAGCTATCTACATTTTTACTGTTCTCTTATTTGAGTAGTGATTCTGACTGAATGCTGAATATTAGAAGCAACTAAGGTTTTAAAATATATTTATATATGAATTTTTTTCCAAGGTTTCATGTTCAATGAGTCTGTGATGGACAATTTTCTCAACTCAAATATGACTTTTTAACCACCATAGCAATCTACGTCATTGCTACAGACTCACAGCATCAAAAGATCAAGATCAAGGATTCCACAAACATTATGGAGCATAGGCACTTACAGGGACAATTGTATGATACTATAGAAAGACCATCTAATCCAGCTGACACACCGTTACCTGAGAAATTCTTGGTGAATTGTTTTGGCCTCTCATGCTTCAATTCCTACTACCTCTTTCTACACTTTTCCACAAAGAACTGGGACACACTTACCCACTCCATCTTACTCTGATGAAAGAATAGACTACGCTCTCTACCTACCTGATTTGCTGCTAGATGAAACTGTAGCTATTCTAGCTTAGTGTCTGTGGCTAGTACTGGTGGGGCCTTGACAAACTCCTATGGTTCTTAGAGCCAAGACCAGTATATGAGTTTTGGAGAATACATATTATTCCTGCAAGCCCTACAAATAACTGAGAGTCTCCAGATTTAGAAAATGAAGAAAAATATCCACATAACTTTTCTTGGTCCAACAATATAATCCAACTTAGGGCCTGATTTTACAAGTCTGCATAGGCTACAGGAGGGCATGGGTCATAAATGCTTATGCAACAAACATGAACGGTGGACCTCACCTGAACTAGTGGCTCCAGTCCCTGCCTCTCCAGGTGTGCTGCCACTTTGAGCTTCAGGGGTTGCTCTAGATGATGCTCCAGGGGTGCCTGAGATTTATCAAGAACAAAAAAGAAATCAGGGGCTGGGATTGTGGCTCAGCGGTAGAGCACTCGCCTAGCACATGCAGGGCCCTGGGTTCGATCCTCAGCATCACATAGGATAAATAAGGAAAATAAAGATTGTGTCCAACTACAACTAAAAAATAAATATTAAAAAAAAGAAATCAGCTTAAGAAACCTAAAGGAGGGACGTCCTATCAACATGATCTGGAATATGCATTAAAATAACAGCTGGATTTACCCTATAAAATTCACTGGCATTTGACATTCTTTCTCAGGGTAAATATGGTAAATCAGGTAATTCTAATAATGTACTGTTTCAAGTAAGTTATTGCTGTTAAAAATAGGGTAATCATGTCAAAAAAACATGATTAAACTTTGATATGTTTTTTCTTATACACTAGAACTGTCTTATGATCCAGTTTGCATCATTCCCCTCTTGATTGCCATCTTACTATTCTCTTAAAGTTATTACTTATTGCACCTAGATGGTTGTTAATTTCTCTGTTTCCCACTTGGCACTGGGTGACATCAGTTAGATTTCCCTAATCTTTCCCCATATTCCACAGAGATTCTAAAATGTATTAAGAACAAATCTTAGACTTGATATATTCACGCTTTTCTGAAGAATTGCAACACCTCAACCATAATGTTCAGATTCCCCAGGTAACATTGTCTCTGAATAGGTTTGGGGCAAAAAGCTCTCATGTCTACTGACTGCCTGGATTTCACCTGCTTATGTTCCTTCAGTACCTGTGGTTCCAGATGTGTTCTCACCAGCAGAGACAGTGGTGGTTGCATCGGCTCCTCCTTTTGTTGCTAATGGGAAAAACAATGGTGCTTAGTCTATACAGAGCGCTAGGAAGAAAACACTCTTTGAAGGACAATGCATAGTTTTAATTTTGTCATCATTTCCTTCAATATTCTCCATGGTTACCTTCACTGTATCTCATTCTCACATTTGGAGATCTTACACAACTTGTATTTGACTCCACCACAAGCCCCTTGGAAGTGTGTCTCATACCTGTTGGGCTTCCAGTGCTGGTGGCCCCAGTGCTGGATTGTCCAGTTGAGTTGCCCCTGCCTGCTCCTGAGGTTGTTCTCAGCAACTCTCCTGTTGTACCTGACAAACACAGTAACAGTGCATGCAATGTATGCTAGCTCCTCTGAAGGAGGAGATGGAGAGATCAAGGCAAAATTTTGGTCTTTTTGTACATTTTCATGATTTACCCAACAATCTACATGCTTTGATATTTGTATGCATTTCATAGACACTAAGCACACATCCTGACTTACCTAAAGTTCCTGTGCTTGTAGCTCCAGTGCTGGGTTTGCTGGCTGTGCTGCCCTCCTCCCCAATAGGTGTTGGTGTAATTGGCCTTCTCGTGCCTCCTGATTTTTTTTAAAAAAGCATTTCATATTGCCTTATGCATAAAACAAACTGTTAAATTTCATAAACATCCTCTCAAAGCAGCTACATTATTCATCTCACTTATCAAAAATGGTTAAGCGATGTACTCTCATCATCCAGTTGGAAGCTAGAAAACAAGAGAGCCAAACTTCAATCACCTATTTCTAATTTTATTCTGTACCCAGTGTTTCTCAAAAGATTTCTGACAACAGGCCAAATTTTATTATTCTCATCTCTGCTAGAGGTATGGTTTTCAAAATGTTATAAAATAAATACTAATAAAAAATCTAAGTAAATAAGACCATATAGCATACTAATTTTTATTCAACAGTAAAATACTATTATGTTAAAATACTCTGTTTGCAAATGCTTGCTCTGTGTTTCACTTCTGATCACATCATGGGCTGTTAACAAACAATGAGCCACACATTCAAGGACCAATGTTGAGTAGCCCTGTTCAAATACCTTACTGTCTGATAATTGCAGAAGATATCTGAACAAGACAACCTTATTAACCAAGTAATTCTGTATCAAACTTTTGGAATATAAACAGAATGGTCAACACTTTATATTTCAATAAATTTACTGATCCAATGGGAATTGCCTAGTTTCATTTTTATCCTTTAATGCATAAACTATATCGTTTAAGTCAGTAATTTAAAAAACTACAGCTTATTCAAAAGACTATTCATCATAAATATTAAATCAAAACAATAGCTAACCAAAATTGAGAGAGAAACACAACCAGCTCATAGATTCTTAAATTCCTAAGACCTCCTATGCATACATGACACAAAGGCCTCCGAATGCTATATAAATTTTTTAATTATCTTAAAAGATATCAGATCTCTTTAAGAACTCTAAGTAATACAAACACAGGATGAGAGGTGAGCTTTAAAAAAGCCCTCTGACATGACATTTTTGGAGTGTAAACTGGCAGTGAAGTTGGGAAAGAGTGGGAACTGTGGAGATTTGTTTCTCTACCTTGAACATCAATTCCCTAAAAAAAAAAAAAAAATTGTGGATTCCACCCACCCAATAGAATTTCCAATTCTCTGCTGGTGGACCAGAAAATGTGCACTTTTAATAAAATCCCAAAGGATTCCAATGCTGCTGGTCCAGGAACCACACTGTGAGCACCATGGAGTTAGAGGAGGACAGTAAGAAAGGCAGAGGAATGCAGGGACTGCGTAAAAAGACTTACCATGTGAATAAAACACAGAAAATGGGCTACAAGGGAAGACACCTCAGAGGTCCTGAAAATTTGTAACTGATGGCATCAGAGAGAGTTTGAAATTGAGTCATGTTTGTTTTCAACCTTAATTATCTATGTCCAATATTGTCAATAGTATTGTATTCCTGGTCCTACACTGGCTAAATTTAATCAATGCACATCCACAATCATATTCTGCTTGGTTTTTGTGGAAATGAGCTCTATTACACTGGTCACACCATTGAGAAGGCAGCTATTGCCCATCAGGTTCAGAGTTCATGTTCTAACCAGACTTTGTAAACTTAGGAACTTTTATTTTCTATCTTATGACAATAAACATTTATAATGTGTTAAGCCTGACTATTTTTACAAAGTATATACTTGAAAGTAAATCAGATATTTTAAAGGACAAAAATGTGTATCATTAATGTTTCATATGCAAATGCAAATACTTACATGAAATTGCACAAAGTCATGGAATTCACTTGTAAAACTATTAAATTGGCCTGTTTGTTTTAGGCTATACTCAGAGTGGTGATTGCTATAGTTAAACGTGTTGGTTAGAATATTGTGTTTGATTCATATCTTTGTTTCACCTGATTAAAAACTGTGTCATTCCTATGGGTTCTTAAAGTTACACCTGGTGACACTGTAGTTGTTCCTTAGGAAGCTTGAAAAAAACTGATACAACTGTACAAATGGCAAAAAAGCAAACAAACAAACCTGCATGAAGCCTGCAACAATCAGTGGGTGCATGTACTTGTAAAGTAACATTGCATAAGGAAGCAACATGTTGAAAGTTTAATGATATTAGATTTTAATATATTTTAAATCTAATGATATCAAAAGGCTAATGATATTAAATTTTAATTTTACATGAGAAAAATCACCTAAGTCAGTTATTTGATTTAGAAAAATATTGTCCGAGAAGCATGCCTGAAAACATTTTCTTGGCCAAGGCCAATAAACTTGCTCTAAACTGGGCTTACCTGATGTACCCCCAGGACTGGTAATGCTGGGGCTCAGTCCTCCTGTGGTGCCTGCACTTCCAGCTGTGGAGGTGATGGGAATTGAAGTTCCAGTAGAGCCTGAGAAGAACATCAAAGGAACTTCTCACCTACAGTCTACTTGGACTTTATTACCAATGGGTAATCTCACTGTCCATTCACACCTAAGAGTTGAAAATTTTAATAAATGCATCCGGTGGCACAGTATCTAGAGATGCTTATGACTTTGTGCTTTAATGTTTTCTTAAACCTTTCAAATTAGTTACTGCACTTTTTTTTAACAAAGACATCTTCCTTGTCTTGAGTTGAGTCAACTAGGTCTCCTTAGATTCAGCTCAACTACTTTGATTCAAACCAGGACCAAAATCAGGACTACTGAAATCATTCTCTACTAACCCGAGTTCCCTTCAGGTGATGTCACTTCATTGTTTGAGGCTCTGGTTGTTGTGTCAACTGGTGGTTCAGTGGTACCTTTCAAAACAAACAATAATTTGAAGATTTTTAATTAAGTAGATCATGCTGATCTGTTTTTAAAATACATTTCACTCTTTTCTAGAAAATTCTCTTTTTTGTTAATAACTCTAAATGACAGACTCCTTTTATGAGATTAATTATATAAGCTTACGATTAGGATACATTTTTATCTACCTTTTTTTTTATATATATATATACCGGGGATTGAACTCAGGGGCACTCAACCACATCCCCAGCCCTATTGTGTATTTTATTTAGAGACAGGATCTCATTGAGTTGCTTAGTGCCTCACTTTTGCTGAGGCTGACTTTGCACTCCCAATCCTCCTGCCTCAGCTTCTAGAGCTGATGAGATTTCAGGCATGGACCACAGCACCATCTATCTGCATTTCTACTATTCACTTATTTGAGTAGTGGTTCTGACCTAAAGCTGAACATAGAAGCAACTGTGGCTTTAAAATATATGTGTATATATATGTATATGCTCTTTTGTCCAAGGTTTCATGTTCAATGAGTCTGTGTTGAAAAATTTTCTCTACTCAAATATGATTTTGAACCACTACCTCACACTATGTCTTTGCTACAGACTCACAGCATCAGAAGCTTCAAGTCAAGGATCCCACAAACATTATGCACCATAGCATAGGCACATACAGGGACAATTGTGTGATACTTTAGAAAGATCATCTAATCCATAGGACACACTGCTACCTCAGAAATTCTTGGTGAAGTGTTTTGGCCTTGCATGCTTTACTCTTCACCAGAAAGAAATGGGACACACTTACACACTCCGCCTAACTCTGATGAAAGCATGGACTACACCCTCTAGGTTAACTGATTTGCTGCTAGCAGAACATGTGTCTACTCTAGCTAATTCTCCATGGCTAGTATTGGTAAAGACTTCAGAAACTCCTATGGTTTTTAAGAGTCAAGACCAGTATATGGGGTTTGGAGAATACATATTATTCCTGCAAAACTTGCACATCATTGAGATTCTCCAGATTTAGAAAATGAAGGAAATGATCCTCCTAACTTTTCTTGGTACAACAATCTAATCCAAGTTAGGGCCTGATTTTACAAGTCTGCATCTGCTGTAGGAGGGCATGGATCATAAATGCATATGCATCACAACCAGAACAGTGGACCTTACCTGAACCAGTGGCTCCAGTCTCTGCCTCTCCAGGGGTGCTACCACTGTGAGCTTCAGGGGTTGCTCCAGATGATGATCCAGGTATGCCTGAGATTTATCAGGGAAAAAAATAAGTCAGCTTAAGAATCCTAAAGGAGGGACTTCTTATCAACAATGATCTGGAATATGCTTTAAAATAACAGATGGATTTACCCTATAAAATTCACTGGCATCAGATATTCTTTCTCGGGGTAAATAAGGTAAATCATTTAATTCTGAGAATGAACTCTTTCAATTAAGTTATTGTTGTTAAAAATAGGGTAATCATGTCAAAAATCATGATTAAAGCTTGACATCCTTTTCCTTGTACACTAGAACTATCTTATGATCCAATTTGCATCTTTTCCCCTCTTGATTGCTATCTTACTTGTTGTCTTCATTGCTATCTTACTATCCTCTTAAACTTATTACTTATTGCAACTAGATGGTTGTTAATTTCTGTTTCTCATTTGGCACTGGGTGACAGATTTTTCTAGTCTTTCACGATAATCCACAGTGACTCTAAAATGTATTAAGAACAAAATTCAGACTTGATATATTCATGCTTTTCTGAAGAATTGGCAACACCTCGACCATAATGGTCAGATTCCCCAGGTAACATTGTCTCTGAATAGGTTTGGGGCAAAAAGCTTTCACATCTATTGCCTGGATTTCACCTGCTTATGTTCCTTTAGTACCTGTGGTTCCAGATGTGTTCTCACCAGCAGAGACAGTGGTGGTTGCATCAGCTCCTCCTCTTGTTGCTATGGGGAGAAGAATGGTGCTTAGTCTACACAGAGAGCTAGGAAGAAAACACTCTTTGAAGGACACTGCATACTTTCAATTTTGTCATAATTTCCTTCAATATTCTCCATTGTTACCTTTCCTATATCTCATTCTCACATTTGGGGATCTAATACAACTTGAATTTGACTCCACCATAAGCCCCTTGGAAGTATGTCTCATACCTGTTGGTCTTCCAGGGCTGGTGGTCCCAGTGCTGGATTGTCCAGTTGTGTTGCCCCTGCCTGCTCCTAAAGTTGTTCCCAGTGACTCTCCTGTTGTACCTGACAAACACAATAACAGTGCTTGCAATGTATGCTAGTTCCTCTGAAGGAGGAGATGGAGAGATGAAGGCAAAATTTTTGATCTTTTTGCACATTTTCATGATTTACCCAACAACCTACATGCTTTGATATTTGTATGCATTTCATAGACACTAAGCACGCATCCTGACTTACCTGAAGTTCCTGTGCTTATAGCTCCAGTGCTGGGTTTGCTAGCTGTGCTGGCCTCCTCCCCAATAGGTGTTGTTGTACTAGGGCTTGTGGTTCCTCCTAAGTTTTTTTTTTAAAAAGCATTTCATATTTTCTTATGCATAAATCAAACCTTTAAATCTCATAAACATCCTCTCAAAGCGGCTACATTATTCTTCTCACTTATCAAAAATGGTTAAGCGATGTGCTCTCGTCATCCAGTTGGAAGCTAGAAAACCAGACAGCCAAACTTGAATCACCTATCCCTAATTTTATGCTGTAACCAGTGCTGCTCCAAAGATCTCTGGCAACAGGCCAAGTTACTATTCTCATCTCTGCTAGAGGCATGGTTTTCAAAATGTTATAAAATAAATACTAATATAAAATTTAAGTAAATAAGACCATATTCCATACAAGATTTTTATTCAACAATAAAATACTATTATGTTAAAATTCTCTGTTTGCAAATGCTTGCTCTCTGTTTCACTTCTTTTTACATCATGGGCTGTTAACAAACATAATGAGCCACAGATTCAAGGACCATTGTTGAGTTGCCCTGCTCCAAATACCTTATTGTCTGATAATTACAGAATGTCTCTGAATGAGACAACCTTATTAACCAAGTAATTCTGAGTCAGACTTTTGGAATATAAAAAAAAAAAATGGTCAACACTTTATATTTCAAATAAACTTATTGATCCAATGGGAATTGCCAAGTTTCATTTTCATACTTTTATGCATAAACTATATCATTTAAGTCAGTAATTTCAAAAACTACAGCTTATTCAAAAGACTATTTATCATGAATTTTAAATCAAAACAATAGCTAACCAAAAATGAGTGTATGAGAAACACAACCAGCTCATAGATTCTTTAATAAATTTATAAGACCTAATATGCATATATGAGACAAAGGCCTCCTAATACTATGTAAATTTCTGAATTATCTTAAAAGAAATAAGAACTATTTAAGCACTCTAAGTAATACAGACACAGGATGACAGTTGAGCTTTAAAAAAGCCATTCTGACTTGACATTTATGGAGTGTAAACTGGGAGTCAAGTTGGGAAAGAGTGGGAACTGTGGAGATATGTTTCTCTACCTTGAGCATCAATTCCCTTAAAATTTGGAGGGCTCCACCCACCCAATAGAATTTCCAATTCTTTGCTGGTGGACTTTTAATAAGATCCCACAGGATTCCAGGAACCCTACTGTGAGCACCATGGTGTTAGAGGAGGAAGGCAAGCAAAGCAGAGGAATGCAGGGACTGGGTTAAAGGGCTTACCACAGGAATAAAAGACAGGAAAATGGGCTACAAGGGAAGATACTTTAGAGGTCCTTAAAATTTGTAACTGATGGCATCAGAGAGAGTTTGAAATTGAGTCATGTTTGTTTTCAATCTAAATTATCTATGTCCAATATTGCCAATAGTATTTTATTCCTGGTCCTACACCGGCTGAATTTAATCAATGCACATCCACAAGCATATTCTGCTTGGCTTTTATGGAAATGAGCTCTATTACACTGGTCACACCATTGAGAAGGGAGCTATTGCACAACAGGATTCAGTGTTCATGTTCTAACCAGACTTTGTAAGCTTAGGAACTTTTATTTTCTCATGTCATGACAATAAACACATATAATGTGTTAAGCCTGACTATGTTACTAAAGAATATACTTGAAAGTAAATCAGATATTTTAAAGTACCAAAATGTGTATCATTAATGTTTCATATGCAAATGCTTACATAAATTGCACAAAGTCATGGAATTCACTTGTGTAACTATTAAATTGGCCTCTTTGTTTTAGACTGTACTCAGAGTGGTGATTGCTATAGTTAAACGTGTTGACTGGATTATGGTGTTTGACTCATATCTTTGTTTCACCTGATTGGAAGCTGTGTCACTTAGACATTCCTATGGGTTCTTAAAGTCACACTTGGTGACAGTCTAATTGTCCCTGATGAAGCTTGAAAGTCATTGATACAACTGTACAAATGGCAAAAATCAAACCAAACTGCATGAGGCCTGTAATAATCAGTGGGAACATGTACTTGTAAGGTAATATAGTATAAGGAAGCAACATGTTGAAAGTTTAATGATATTATATTCTAATTATATATTAATTCTAATATCAAAACGCTAATGATATTAAATTTTAATTATATATGAGAAAAATCAACTAAGTCAGGTATTTGTTTAGGAAAAATATTGTCTGAGCAGCACTTCCTGAAACCATTTGCTTGGCCAAAGCCAATATACTTGCTCTGAACTGGGCTTACCTGATGTACCCCCAGGACTGGTAATGCTGGGGCTCAGTCCTCCTGTGGTGCCTGCACTTCCAGCTGTGGAGGTGATGGGAACTGAAGTTCCAGTAGAGCCTGGGAAGAATACCAAAGGAACTTCTCACCTACAGTCTACTTGGACTTTATTACCAATGGGTAATTTAACTGTCTGTTCACACCTAAGAGTTAAAAATTTTAATAAATGCATCCAGTGACATAGTACCCACAGTTGCTTATTACTTTAATGTTTTCTTAAACCTTTCAAATTAGTTACTGCTTTTTTTTTTTTTTTTAACAAAGACTTCTTTATCTTGAGTTGACTCAACTAGGTCTCCTTACGTTCATCTGAACTACTTTGATTCAAAACAGGACCAAAATCAGGACCACTGAAACCATTCTCTACTAACCTGAGTTCCCTTCAGGTGATGTCACTTCATTGTTTGAGGCTCTGGTTGTTTTGTCAAATCCTGGTTCAAATGTACCTTTCAAAACAAACAATGAAAAATATGAAGATTTTTAATTAAGTAGATGATGCTGATCAGTTTCTAAAAGACCTTTCACTCTTGTCTATATATTTCTCTTTTTCTGTTCCAATAATTCTAAATTTGAACATAAAACCTATATGACAGACTTCTTTAGTGAGATTAATTATATTAGCTTACAATTAGGATACATTTTTATCTACTTTTTTTTTTTTTTTTTTTTTGATACCAGGGATTGAACTCAGGGGCACTCAGCCACATCCCCAGTCCCATTGTGTATTTTATTTAGAGACAGGGTCTCACTGATTTGCTTAGTGCCTCACTTTTGCTGAGGCTGACTTTGAACTCCCAATCCCCCTGCCTCAGCTTCCAGAGCTGATGGGATTACAGGCATGGACAATAGCACCAGCTATGTGCATTTTTGCTATTCACTTATTTGAGTAGTGGTTCTGACCTAATTTTGAACATGGAAGCAACTGTGGCTTTAAAATATATGTATATATATGGTCTTTTGTCCAAGGTTCCATGTTCAATGAGTCTGTGATGAAAAATTTTCTCTACTCAAATATGATTTTGAACCACAACAGCACACTATGTCTTTGCTACAGACTCACAGCATCAGAAGCTTCAAATCAAGGATTCCACGAACATTATGGACCATAGGCACATAGAGGGACAATTTTGTTATGCTTTAGAAAGATCATCTAATCCAGGTGACACACTGCTACCTCAGAAATTCTTGGTGAGGTGTTTTGGCCTTGTATGCTTTATTCTTCACCACAAAGAACTGGGACACACTTACACCCTCCATTTGACTCTGATGAAAGCCTGGGCTACACCCTCTAGGTTACCTGATTTGCTGCTAGCAGAATTTATGGCTACTTTAGCTAATTCTCTGTGGATAGTATTGGTGAGAACTTCAGAAACTCCTATGGTTTTTAGGGCCAAGAGCAGAATATGGGGTTTGCAGAATACATATTATTTCTGCAAAACCTAAACATCATTGAGAGTCTCCAGATTTAGAAAATGAAGGAAAAAATCCTCATAACTTTTCTTGGTACAACAATCTAATCCAAGTTAGGTCCTGATTTTACAAATCTGCATCTGCTGCAGAAGAGAAGATCATAAATGCATATGCATCACAACCAGAACAGTGGACCTTACCTGAACCAGTGGTTGCAGTCCCTGCCTCTCTAGGTGTGCTACCACCTTGAGCTTCAGGGGTTGTTCCAGATGATGCTCCAGGTGTGCCTGAGATTTATCAGGGAAAAAAAAAAAAAAAAGTCAGCTTAAGAAACCTAAAGGCGGGACTTCTTATCAACAATGATCTGGAATATGCTTTAAAATAACAGATGGATTTACCCTATAAAATTCTCTGGCATTTGACACTGTTTCTCTGGGTAAATAAGACAAATCAGTTAATTCTGAGAATGTACTCTTTCAATTAAGTTATTGTTGTTAAAAATAGGTTAATCATGTCAAAAAATCATGATTAAAGTTTGATATCCTTTTCCTTGTACACTAGAACTATCTTAAACCAATTTGCATCTTTTCCCCTCTTGATTGCTTTCCTTCTTATTGTCTTAATTACTATCTTACTATCCTCTTAAACTTATTACTTATTGCACCTAGATGGTTGTTAATTTCTCTGTTTCCCACTTGGCACTGTGTAACATCAGTTAGATTTCCCTAATCTTTCAAGATAATCCACAGTGATTCTAAAATGTTTTAAGAACAAAACTCAGACTTGATATATTCATGCTTTTCTGGAAATTGGCAACACCTCTACCATAATGGTCAGATTCCTAGATAACACTGTCTCTGAATAGGTTTGGGAAAAAAAGCTCTCATGTCTACTGACTGCCTGGATTTCACCTGCTTATGCTCCTTCAGTACCTGTGGTTCCAGATGTGTTCTCACCAGCAGAGACAGTGGTGGTTGCATCAGCTCCTCCTCTTGTTGCTATGGGGAGAAGAATGGTGCTTAGGTCTATACAGAGAGCTAGGAAGAAAACACTCTTTGAAGGACACTGCATACTTTCAATTTTGTCATCATTGCCTTCAATATTCTCCATTGTTACCTTTCCTATATCTCATTCTCACATTTGGAGATCTTACACAACTTGTATTGGATCCCAGCACAAGTCCCTTGGAAGTGTCTCTCATACCTGTTGGGCTTCCAGTGCCAGTGGCCCCAGTGCTGGATTGCCCAGCTGTGTTGTCTCTGACTGCTCCTGAAGTGGTTCCCGGCAACTCTCCTGTTGTACCTGACAAATGCATTAACAGTGCTTGCAATAAATGCTAGTTTCTCTGAAGGTAGAAATTGGGAGGTCAATGCAAAAATGTAATCTTTTTGTATGTGTTCATGATTTACCCAACAACCTACATGCTTTGATATTTTTATGCATTTCATAGACACTAAGCACACATCCTGATTTACCTGAAGTTCCTGTGCTTGTAGCTCTAGTGCTGGGTTTGCTGGGTGTCCCAATCTCCTTCCCACTAGTTGTTGGTGCACTAGGGCCTTCTGTTCCTACTGAAGAAAGACAGCATTTCAAATTGCCTTATGCATAAATCAAATCTTTTAACCTCATAAACATACTCTGAAAGAGCCAACATTATTCTTCTCATTCATGTAAAATGTTTAAGTGATATATTCTAGTATTACAGGTTGCAGATAGAAAAATCAAAGAATCAACCTACAGCCCTCAACCTCTGATTTATAGTCAAATCAGTGCTTTTATCCAATCTATGGCAATCAACCAACTTGTAATATTTCAATATATGCTAGAGACATTCTTTTTTTTAAGAGAGAGAGAGAGAAAATTTTTTTAAATATTTATTTTTTTAAAATTTTTGGTGGATACATCTTTTTATTTTTTTTATTTTTATGTGATGCTGAAGATCAAACCCAGTGCCCCACGCATGCCAGGCAAGCACACTACCACTTGAGCCACATCCCCAGCCCATAGAGACATTCTTGTAAAAAAAAAAATCCCATAGTATTAATATAGAATTAAAATTTTAATAAACAAGGTCATATATTATCCAAGCTTTTATTCAACAGTTAAATGATTTTTGTGACAAGATGCTATATTTTCAAATGTTTGCCCTTAGTTTCACTTCTCATCACATCACAAAATTTGAGCCCACACTCTGGAGCCACACATTTGTGCACCAAATTTTGAGTAGCCCTTTTGCAAATCATTGTACTTACTTACTGTATGATAACCAGGAGATTACTCATTGAGACCTCATTATTACCCAAGTATATTTGATTCAGATTTTTGTGAATATAATCTAATTGGTTGAATGTTTTCTCTGATATAAGGAGGCTGACTCATAGTGGGGTAGGGAGGGGGAGCATGGCAGAAATAGATGAATTCTAGATAGGGAAGAGGGGAGGGAGAGAAAGGGAGGGGGCAGGGGATTAGCAAGGGCGTGGAATGTAATGGACATCATTATCCAAAGTAGATGTATGAAGACTCAAATTGGGTGTCAACATACTTTATATATAAACAGAGATATAAAAAATTGTGGTTTATATGTGTAATAAGAATTGTAATGCAAAAAAATAAAAAGCAAAGTACATGTATAAAGGCATGAATTGGTATGAACATATTCTATATATAAAGATATGAAAAAGTGTACTCTATGTGTAATAAGAGTTGTAATGCATTCCACTCTAATGTATTTAAAAAAATAAAATCAATAACACAAAAAACCTTTTTAAATTAAAAAAAAACCTAATTGTAATGGGGTGTTATTGGTGGGGTTCTAGAATAAAAAAGGATCTTATGTAATAATCTAAGGAAATATGAAGAAACTGTGTATTTTAGTCAATAAAAAAAAAATTTAAAAATAAACTAACTGGTCCAGTCTAATTTCAATAATTTTACAGACCTAATTGGATTAACCGATTTTTTAAATACCCCTGTAATATATAAATTATATATTTTAATCCAGTAACTATAATTGAAAATGCAGTATATTTAAAACATAATTTAATTCATAAAATTTAAATCAAAACAATAGCTTGGAAAAAATAGAGGAACTATAGAACAATGGTGTGTTCAAATTAATAAATGCATAAAAGAACATCAGGGCAATCATAAAAAAAATGCCTCTTGACAATAATAACATTTTGATTTACATTGAATGCAATCAGAACTATTGAAGCATTTTAAATAGATCAGAGAGAAGCTGATTCTTGAGATTTTGGAATGTCATTCTGAGATGACATTGATGTGCATAGAAACTGGAAAGGAAGTTGGAAAAGAGGGGGAAATGTGGAGAAGTGCTTCTGCAACTGAGCATCGATCCCCAAAATACTTGTTAACAAAGTCTGCTGGGCTCCACCGGATACTTTCTGATTCTAGGTTGGTGAACCCAGAAATGTGCACTTTTAACAAGTTTCCACAGGATTCTGATGCTGCTGGACCAGAAACCACACTGTGAGCACCATCGTATTAGAGGAAGAAGGAAAGCTAGGCAGAGGACTGAAAGGACTGGTGAAAAGGGTTTAACAGTTGAATAAAACACAGGAAAATGGAATGCAAGGAAAAGGCACATTGAAGTCTAAATGAGTTTAACCAATGGCATGAAAGACATTTGTAAAATTTAGTTGTTTCAGTTTTCAATCTGAATTATCTACCTTAAATACTGTTAATAATATTATATTCCTGGACCCAACAGTGATTGAATTTAATCAAGGATGCACAGGCATATTCCTTGTTTTTTGTTGGGAGTGAGCTCTTACATATAGGTCACAGAATTGGGGAGCCAGCTAATGCCCAATCCACATTTGAACTAGGCTTTGCAAGCTTGAGAACTTTTGTTATTTTTCCATCTCATGGAAATAACAACAAATAAAATCAATGGTGTTAAATTTGACTAAATTACAAAGAAAATATTTGAGAGTCAATCAAACAATTTAATGGGCCACAAAACTACATCATTGATGTTTCACGTAACTGCAAATACTAACTACTGAATATTTCCAAAATCATGGAATTGACCAATTTATCTAAGGCTGGACTCAGAGAAGAGTTATTGCTGAGGTGAAATGTTAAGTGCCAACATGGAATATAGGCTCTGTCTCATATCTTTGTTTTACCTGCTTGGAAGCTGTGTCACTTCTAAGTCTCTTGTTGGTTCCCGAAGTTATACCTGGTGACATTCTAGTTATCCTTGATGAAGTTCAAAAAAATTGAAATACCTATCTAAAAAAGCTTCACTGGGGCTTCCAGCTATCAGATAGTGGGAACATGTAACTGTAACATGATATTATTTAAGAAAATAACTTGTTAAAAGACTAATGGTATTAAATTTTAAATAAAAAGATCACCTAAGTCTGGTAATCGATTTGGCAAAACATTATCTGAACAGCAATGTCTGAAACTAGTTTTTTAGCTGGGGTCAGTATAATTGCTCTGAACTGAGCTTACCTGATGTATCCCCAGGACTGGTAAAGCTGGTGCTCAGCTGGGGTGTGGTTTTTGTACTTCCAGCTGTGGAGGTGATGGGAACTGAAGTTCCAGTAGTACCTGAGAAAAACCAAAGGAACTTCTCACCTAAAGTCTACTTGAACCTTATTATAATTGGGTAATCCAACAGTTCTTTTACTTCTAATATGTAAAAACTGAATAAATGAATCCTGTAACTTATTGCCCATAGTTGCATATGATTTTGTTCTATGATTATTTTCTTGAACATTTGGTTTACTTATTGCATTTTTTAAACAAAAATATCTTCCTACATCTAGAATTAGGTCAAATAGGTTTTCATATTTTTATCTCAACTACTTTGCATTAAAATAAGCAGGATTCCCACAAATTACTCTTCATTTTGACCAAAGCCAGGACCTCTGAACACCATCCTCCGCTCACCTGAGTGTACTTCAGGTGATGTCTCTTCATTGCTTTGGGCTCTGGTTGTTGTACCAACTGATGGTCCAGTAGTGCCTTTAAAAATAAACAATAAATAATATCATTATCTTTGATGAAGTGGTATAGAACATGCTGCTTCCTACTTTTAAAATATCTTTCACTTATTTGTATATGTTTCTCCATTTATGTTTCAATCTTTTTAAAAGTTATCATAAACCTTTTATGACTAGAATCGTTAGGTGAGGTAAATCACTTTAGTTGCAAATGATATTGCTTATTATCTACTTGTTCAATGTTCATATATTTGAGCCCAGTTATTCTGATCTAGTCTGTGTATTAGCACCAACTGAGGCTTTCCAATGTATGTATGCTTGGGCCCTTTCTCTGATTCTACATTCAATGAGTCTGAGAAGGAAAAGTGTTAAAAATTTCTGTATTCAATTCTAATTTGTAGCCAGTAGAGTAAACCTTGGCCCCACTCAAAAATCACAGCCTCAGAGGCTCCAGATCAGAGGTCCTACAATTATTATGAAATGTAAGCACAAGCAGGGATTCTTACAATTATAATTCAGTATAGAAAGATCATCTAATCCACTCAGTACACTGCAACCTGATAAACTGTTGGTCAAGAATTGCCCTCCCATTCTTCATTCCCTTCCTACTTCTTTCTACTCAACCACACTCCATAGAAAAGAACTGGGACATATAAACACATTCCATTTTATACCTGCACACTCATGGACTTCTCCCTCTAACTTACCTGATTTGCTGCTAGCAGAGGTTGAGAAAGGTCTAGCTGAGTCCTCATGACTGGCAGTGGTGGAGCCTGCAGACACTCCTGTGGTCCCTGGAAACAAGACTAGGTGCATGAGGGGGAAGTATATTATTCCTGTAAACTTGAATGATTGAGTCTCCAGAATTAAAAAAAAAATGAAGAAAATATCCTCATAACCTTTCTAGGCCAGCAACATAATTCCAATTCAAGCCTGATTTACAGACCTGCACCTGCTACAGGAGGGTATGGATCATAGCTGCTGATATATCATATCCAATCTGGTGGACCTCACCTGAACCTGTGGCTCCAGTGCCTGCTTGATTAGGGGTACTGGCACCTTGAGCTTTTGGGGTTGTTCCAGATGATGCTCCAGGGGTGCCTGATATTTAATGAGAGGAAAAAAGGTGAAAAATTAAAAGAGGGTCTTACAAATATGTCTTGAAATATGCTTTCTTGTTAAATGCACTCATCTATCCTATAATCCTCACTAATCTCTTAAATTCTTTATCAAGATAAATCAGGTAACTCCAATAATGCACTGTCCCATTAACATATTTGTCATTAACCAATACAATAATCATATAGAAAAATTATGAGTAAACATTGGTGTTCTTGTCTCTATTTCCTACCATTTTCTTATGATTCAGTGTGCATCTTTTCTTATTGATTGTTGTCCTACTTATTTATTGTCTTCTATATCTCCATGGTTGTTAATTTCACCCTTCACAGATTGACTTGTGTGGGATCAGTTGTAGTCTACATTTCATTAATTTCACAGTGGACTCTAAAAATATATTGAACACTACAGACCTGCTTATCAATATATTTCTGAGATTTGGCATCATCTAAATGATAATTGATTCCCCTAGAAACCTTGTCTCTGACTAAATTTGAGCACAAAGCTCACATGTCTACTGTCTGTATTTCACACTGGTTATGCTCCTTCAGTACCTGTTCTTCCAGAAGTGTTCTCAACAGCAGAGGCAGTGGTCGTTGCTAATGGGAAGGAGAATGGTGCTTATTAATGTATGAAGAGTCTAGGAAGAAAACACTCTTTGAAGGACACTTTGTAGTTTTATTCTAGTCATTAGTTCCTTCAATGTTCTCCATGGTTACCTTTCCTTCATCTCAATCTCACATTAAGGGATATTGACAAAACTTGCATTAGATCCCACCATAACACCTTAAGTAGGCCCTTTCTTACCTGCTGGACTTCCAGCACTGGTGGCTGCAGTGCCTGATGGTCCAGGTGTGCTCACACTGCCTGCTCCTGAGGTCACTCCCAAGGATTCTCCTGTTGTACCTGATAAACACAGTAGCAATGCTTGCAACATATGCTAGTTCCTCTGAAGGGAAAATTTGGGATATCCTAGATAAAATTTCAATCTTTCTGAACATTTCCATCATTTATCCAGCAGTTTCATGCCCTAACATTTGTACTTTCTGTTTGTTAACCCAATCCAGAGAATATAAATTGGGACATACTTACACTCTCCATTTTACAGTTTACTTATAGACTTTGCTTTCATATCTTACCTGATTTGCTACTAGCAGAGGTTGAGAAAGGTGTAGCTGAGTCTTCAGGGCTGGCAGTAGTGGGTGAACCAGAAGACACCCCTGTGGTTCCTGAAACAAGAACCAGTTGGGAGCAGGGGGTCCACATTATTTCTGCCCTTTGTATGGATATTTGGTTCTTCCCAGGAAAAAGAAAATGAATGATATGATGTTTTCATCTTTCAGCTGTATAATCCCAGTTGGGACCTGATAACTAGAGATCTGTATGCACTACAAGAGAGCATGGATAGGAGCTCCTAAGGAATTACATCCAAACTGGTGGGCCTCACCTGAACCTGTGGCTCTAGTGCTTGATTCTTCAGGGGTGCTACCTCCTTGGGCTTCTGGGGTTGTTCCAGATGATGCTCCAGGTGTGCCTGATATTTATCAGGGGGAAAAAAGTCAGCTTAAGAAAACAAAAAGGAGGGTCTTTATGAATAGGGACTGAAGTATACTTATTGCTGTTAAAAGAATGGATATGTGTACCCTATTAATTTCACAGACATCTTAAGTGTTTCTCCAGGTAAATAAGGTAGATCAGCTAACTTTGATAATGCACTAATTTGGTTAAGATACTCATTATTAATAAAATGTAACATTTATGTAGAAAATTCAAGGTTAAACATCCAAGTCCTTATCTCTCATTATTAGAATTGTCCAATAATAAGATCATATTTCCACTTTCCCCTCTTCATTGCTGTGCTACTTATTCTTTGAACACCTATGCTTCCCAATCATATCCTATTTTCCACAAAGTTTCTAATACAATGGTAAGTACAAAACAAATATCTAATAGTCTATTTCTGATCTTCTGGACACTTGGCATCATATAAATAATGAAGATCAGATCCCTAAGAAACCCTGTCTCTGACTAGGTTTTGAGCAAACAGCTCTTATGTCTACTGCCTGGCTTTCATGATGCTCATGCTCTTTCATTACCTGTTCCTGCAGATGTGTTCTCACCAGCAGAGATGGTGGCAGATGTTTCTGTTCTTCTACTTGTTGCTAATGGGAAGAATGGTGCTTAGTATACAGAAAGTCTAAGAAGGAAATGCACTTTGAAGGACACTTCATAGTTTTATGAAGTTCTCTATTTTTAAACGTTCTCTATTTTTAAACTTTCCTCCATCCCATTCTAACACTCAGGGATCCTGACAAAGCACACAACAGACCCACCATAAACCCCTAAGTAGTTTCTGTCTTACCTGCTGGGCTTCCAGCACTGATGGCCCCAGTGCCTGGTGGTCCAGATGTTCTGTCCCTGACTACTCCTGAGGTCACTTCCAGGGCCTCTCCTGTTGTACCTGATAAACACAGTAGCATTGCTTGCAACATATGCTAGTTCCTCTAAAGAAGGAGATTGGGAGATCAAGGCAAAATTTTGATCTTTTTTGAACATTTTCATGATTTATCCAACAGTCTAGATGTTTTCAAATTTGTACCCATTTCATAGGCATTAAGAGCACATCCTGGCTTACCTGAACTTCCTGTGCTTGTAGCTCCAGTGCTGGGTTCCCTGGGTGTGCTGACCTCCCCCCTACTGGGTGTTGTTGTTCTTGGGCCTTCTGTTCCCACTGATAAAAAAATAGCATTTCAAATTGCCTTATGCATCAATCAAATCTTTTAAATCATAAATTTTCTTATACTCTAACTGATGCTTCTCAACAGATGTGGCAAGACACCCATCTCTATTGTTTTCCATCTGTGCTAGAGGCTTTCTTTTAAAAATGCCCAATATTATATATAATTACAATGTATTAATAAATACCTAGAAGTACTATGAAATAAATCCATGTATAAGATTTTAAAAAGGTATCATAAAATATAAAAGCCTTGTTGAGCTGTTAAAAGACTATGATGTTTAAATGCTACATTTCTATATAATTGATCTCTATTTCACTTGGTCTGAGAATTTCAGACATTCAATAAGCTGTTCCAAATCACCAGACTTACTGTCTGATAACAAAATATATCATCTATTGAGATGTCATTGTTAGCATGTAATTCTGATTCAGATTTTTGTGAATATAAACTAAACGGTAAACATTCTAAAATTAAAATAAGTTTTTTGATCCAATGAGAATTACCCAGTTTATTTTCCTGCTATGGATAAACTATATCTTTTAATTCAGTATTTTTAATTTAAAAAGCTTATTCAACAACTATTTGAGTCATGCATTTTATTTTTTATTTTTTTTTTTTTATTTTATTTTTTTTTTTTATTGTTGGTTGTTCAAAACATTACATAGTTCTTGATATATCATATTTCACATTTTGATTCAAGTGGGTTATGAACTCCCATTTTTACCCCGTATACAGATTGCAGAATCACATCGGTTACACATCCACTGATTTACATATTGCCATACTAGTGTCTGTTGTATTCTGCTGCCTTTCCTATCCTCTACTATCCCCCCTCCCCTCCCCTCCCCTCTTCTCTCTCTACCCCATCTACTGTAATTCATTTCTCCCCCTTGTTTTTTTTTCCCTTTCCCCTCACTTCCTCTTGTATGTAATTTTGTATAACCCTAAGGGTCTCCTTCCTCAAGGAGCTTGATATCAAATCAGAGACACGCCGTCTGATAGAAGAAAAAGTTGGCTACGATCTACATACTGTGGGGTCGGGCTCCAAATTCCTCAATAGGACACCCATAGCACAAGAGTTAATAACTAGAATCAACAAATGGGACTTACTCAAACTAAAAAGTTTTTTCTCTGCATTTTAAATTAAAACAATAGCTAAGCAAATAAGTGTAGGAAAAACACAATGAGGCGATGAATTTGTTAATAATAGCATGAAGAAGAAAAGTCCTGTTCATATAAAGTTTTGATTTATCTTAAAAACAATCAGAAATACTTTAGTAGTTCATAGTGCAAAAAATATTTGAAAACTTGAGTTTTGGGAAAGTCATTCTGACATGACATTGATGAAGTGTAAAATGGGAAGGTTGGAAAAGAGTGGGAATTGTGGAGAACTGCTTCTCCAACATGAGTATTGATTCCCTAAAACACTGTTAACTCAATCTTCTGAGCTCCACCCCAGCACTTTCTGAATATAGGCAGATGGACCCAAAATGTGCCCTTCTAACAGGATCACACAGGATTTAAATGATGCTGGTCATTGAAATCACACTGGGAGGACCATGGTGTTAGAGGAGAAAGGTAAGCTAGGGAGAGGACTGCAGAGACTGGGGAAAGGATTTCACACCCGAATAAAACACAGGCAACTTGCTAAAAGGCTAAAAATATTAAATGGTAATTGCATATGAAGAACTATCTCCTGAGTCTGATATTTGATTTGGAAAAATCCTGGGCAACATTGCTGAAAATAGTTCCTTGGTCTGGCCTATAAAATTAGCTCTGAATTGGGCCTACCTGATGTGTCCCCAGGACTGGTGAAGTTGGGGTTCAGTCGGGCTGTGGTGCCTGCACTTCTAGCTGTGGAGGTGAGGAGAACTGACGTTCCAGTAGCACCTTGAGAAAAGGTCAAAGGAATCTCTCACCTAAAGTCTACTTGAACTTTGCTACTAATGGGTGATCTAACTATCCAATTCCTTCTAATTAGTGATTGGATAAGTCAGATCACCCATTGGTAAAAATTGATTAAAAGAATTCAGCCACATAGTATACAGAGTTGCCCATGATACTTGTTTTAATGTTAATTTCCTAAAGGTTTTTTTTTTTTTTTAAGACATCTTTCTATTGGTTGAACTGGGTCTCCGTACATTCATCTCAACTACTTTGCTTTAAAATAAGCAGGATTCCTACAAATGACTTTTCATATTGACCAAAGCTAGTACCTCTGAACTCATCCTCTACTCACCTGAGTTGCCTTCAGGTGATGTCACTGCATTACTTTGGGCTTTGGTTGTTGTGACAACTGATGATCCAGTAATGCCTGTCAAACAAACAACAAATAATATAATCTTTGATTAAATGATACAGATCATACTGAACTCTGCTTTAAAATTATCTCAACCTTTCATACATCCTTGTCAATCTCTGTTTCAATCACTAGAAAAATTTAACATAAATCTTGCATGACTTAGATTCCATATTGATTCTTAAAACTAACACTGCTTATTATCTATTTCTTTAATAGTCACGATGTTGAACCTCATAATTATAAATGAAGCTGCATATTGAAATGAATTGTGGCTTTAAAATATCTGAGTGCACAGGCCTGTTTTTTCCATAGTTACACCCTCCATGGGACTGGGAAGGAAAAATCCCAAAGGTTTCTATAGTTGATTTTAATTTCTAGCCAGAATTGCAAACTATGGTCTCACTCCAGACCACAGCCTCAGATACTCCAAAACAGTGGTCTTCCAACTATTAAGGCCCATAAACACATGCAGGCATTCTCAAAATTGTATTAGATTATAGAAAGATTATCTAATCCAGTGGGTACACAGCTACCTGATAAACCATTTGTTGGTCAGGAATTGGGCTCACTTCCTCAAGTAACTTACTAGATTTTCCTGTTCTTTACAACACTCCAGAAAATAGAAATTGGGATGTGCTTACACTCTCCATTTGATATCTTACTCATGGACTTCTTCCTTACACTTACCTGATGTGCTGCTAGCAGAGGTTGAGAAAGGTCTAGCTGAATCCCCAGGGCTGGCAGTGGTAGATGCAGCTGCAGACACTCCTGTTGTCCCGGGAAACAAAAATGAGTGCATTGTGGGGGATGGTACACATTATCCCTTCCCTTCATATGGGTATTTGGGTTTCTCAGAATAAAGAAAATGAAGGATATTATCCTTTCATCTTTTTTTACTTCAATAATGTAATCCCAGTCAGTGCCTGATTTTATAGACCTGCCTCTGCTGCAGAAGGGCATGGATGGGAGTCCCTGATGCATCGCATCCAACCTGGTGGACCTCACCTGAGACTGTGGCTCCAGGGTTTGCTCCTCCAGGAGTGCTGCCACCTTGAGATTCAGGGGTTGCTCCAGATGATGACCCAAGTGTGCCTGTTACTTATAGGGAGAAAATGGCAGCTTATGAAAATCAAAAGGAGTGTCTTTGTGAATATGAAATGAAATATATTTTCTTTAGCCTTTAAAAGAATGGATGTATCTATCCTGTAAACTTCACTCATATCAAAAGGTCATGCTAAAGGTTAAATTATGTAAATTAGATAACTCTTATAATGTGCTGATTCAATTAGGATATTTATTACTCATAAAATATAATAACCCTGTAGATATTACAAGGTTCAACATTGATGTCCTTGTCTCTGTTTACTAGAATTGTCTTATGATCCAAATTTACAAAGTTTCTGCTCTTAATTGTTGTCATTCTTTACTTCCCTTTCTACATGGTTGTTAATTTTACACTTTCTTAATTGACATTGGGTGATATCAGTTATAAGCCCCCATTCTTTCACTATAGTAAAATATACTTCACTATATTTTGTGTTCCAAAAATATTTTAAAAACATCACATACACTTTTTGATATATTCATACTCTTCTGGAGATTTGGCATTACCTAAATCATATGATCAAATTCTCCCAGGAAAACCTTTCTTTGACTAGGTTTTGCGCAAAAAGCTCCCACATTACTGCCTGAATTTCATGCTGCTTATGCTCCTTCAATACCTGTTCTTCCAGATGTATTTTCACCAGAAGAGACAGTGGTAGCTGCATCAGTTGCTCCTCTTGTTGCTAATGGGGAAAAAATTGTGCTTCGTGCACATAGAGCTTGTAAACAAAAAAAAAAAAAAAACAACCCTCTTCCCAGGACATTCCATAGTTTTATTCTAGTCATCAGTTCCTTTATTGTTCTCATTGTTCCTTTCCTTGATCTCATTTTCACACTTGGGGTTCTTAAAAAAATGCATTGGACCCTATCACCATGCTCTATGGAGGCTCTGTCCTACCTGCTGGGCTTCCAGTGCCTGTGACCCCAGTGCCTGATGGTTGACTTGTTGTACCGCTGACTCCTCCTGAGGTCACACCCAGGGACTCTCCTGTTGTACCTGATAAACAGAGTAGCAGTGCTTGAAACATATGCTAGTTTCTTTGAAGGAAGATATTGAGAGATCAAGACAAAATTTCAATCTTTGGCACATTTTCATGATTTATCCAGCAGCCTACATGGTTTCATCTTTGTGCCCACTTAACAAGCACTCAGTGCACATCCTGACTTACCTGAACTTCCTGTGCTTGTAGCTCCAGTGCTGGGTTCCCCAGATGAGCTACCCTCTTCCCTCCCAGGTGTTGTTGCACTAGGGCTTCGTGTTCCTGGTGAAAAAAATAATCACTTAAGAAATTCCTTTAAAAACAACCAAGTCTTTTAACCTCATAAACATCCTCTTTTAACAGGTAACACTATTCTTTACAATTATCTAATATGTTTAAATGATGTGCTCTGAGTCACCCAATTTGTAGACAGAAAATGAAGACACCAAAATCTAGCCATCTAGCCCTGATTTTATACTGTAACTGCTGCTTCTCAAGTGATTTGTGGTAAAAGAATCAACTTGTAATGTTTCCAATCTCTGCTAGAGACATTCTTTTAAAAATGCCATAACATAAGTACAGATGTAAGGTTCAAATAAATAAGATCATATAATGTAAAAGACTTTATTTAAAAGTTTATGGATTATGATGTTAAAATTCTATATTTACAAATGTTTCACTTGTTATCACATCACTGGCCTTTACCAAATAGTCTGGGGATTTATATTCATGCACCAAGTTTTTAGTAGTCTTGTCACAAATCATTGCACTTACTGTCTCAAAAGAGATTACTCCTTGAGATCTCATTATTACTCAAGTATTTCTACTTCAGATTTTTGTAATGATAAACTAGTTATTATTTTAAGGTTTCAATAAGTTATTCTGTAATTGGAATTAATTTTTTTTATTTTTCTGCAATATGTAAATCTTATCTCCTAATTCAGTAATATTAATATAAAGAATAGCATATATAAGCACTATGTATGCTATAAACTTAATTACAATCGCTAAGCCAAACCAAGAGTAGGAAAAACAAAAACAGGCCATGGATTCATTAATTCATCCATAAACAGAATCCAGTGCATTCATGAGCAAAAGTACTCTTAATGGTAACAAAGTTTTCACGTATCTTCAAAGCAATCCATACTGTTAAAAGTATTTTAAAAGGAGCATAGACAGGATCATAGCTGAGCTTTGGAAATGACCTACTGACATGGCAGACATGTCATTGACTCCTGTGTGAAGAGGGAGTGAAGCTGGAAAAGAGGGAGTGAAGCTGGAAAAGACTGGAAGTTGTAAAGAAGTTGTTCTCTAACTTGAGCATTGATTTGCTAAAACACTTGTTATGTTAACAAGCTAACAGTCTGCTGGCTTCCCCTTCAATACTTTCTGATTCTAGGCTGCTGGACCCCCAAGACACCAACTGTAACAAGTTCCCACAGTGTTCAGATGCTACTGGCCAGGAACATACCCTGAGCACCATGGTGTTAGAGGAAGGAGGCAAGCTAAGCAAAGGACTGCAGGGACTGGGGAAAGGGACCACAAGAAGAAGACCCTTCAGAGATCCTTATGATTGTAACTGATGGTTTGAAGGACAGTTGTAAATTAGACTGAAAAGAAGCAAGATAAAATTTTATCTGTGCTTAAGTATGTCAATAATTTTTTATTCCTGAATCTAACACTGAGCTGAGTAAATGATGAACAGGTCAAGTATATTCTCCTTGGCTTTTGTTGGTTGTGAGCTCTAGACACAGGGCACAGACCCTTGGGCATTAGCTATTGCCCATGAGGCTCAGTACTCTGTACTCTATCCCTGCCTTGCCAGCTTGGAAACTGTCTTATCTCATGGGAACAATGCCACATTAACACAATAGTAGTATGATTCATTGCCTTAAAATGAAAATATTTGAGAGGAAATCAGACATTTAATTGTCATAAAATACATCACTAATATTTTCTATACCACAATATTAATTGTGAAGTGTATCCCAAAGTCATTCAACAGATCTATGTAACCCGTAAATTGACCTTTTTTCCTAAGGCTCTCTTCTGGAGGGTTATTACCAAGGTGAAACACAAGACTGACTGAATATAGGATTTTGTTGTTGTTGTTGTTTCACCTGACTGGAAGCTGTGCCATTTGTAATTCCTTTACTATAATTCCCATACTGTCAAAACTATTTCAGTATCTACATTTAATATTATCAAAACCAGAGCTGGCAGTGGTATAGTCTGCACATAACCAATGTGGTCCCTGGAAACAAGAACCAGTGCATTGTGGAGGTATATGTTACTCCTGTACCTCACTATGAGTAAATGGATGTCTCCAGAATAAAGAAAAAAAGGATATGATTCTTTGATCTTTCCTTGGTCTGGCAATATAATCCCAGTGAAGGCCTGATTTTACAGACCTGCTGCAGGAGGACACCGATGACCATCACATCCAAACTGGTGGACCTCACCTGAACCTGTGGCTCCAGTGCCTGCTTCCCCAGGGGTGCTGTCTCCTCTAGCTTCAGGGGTAGCTCCAGATGATGTTGCATGCGAACCTGATATTTATTGGGGGAAAATGTCAGTTTAAGAAAATCAAAAAAGTGTCCTTCAAAATATTTAATAGAATAAACTTTTAAAGAACTATTTCTTTTAAAGAATAGATGGATCTACACTGTGAAATACAGAGATCTTAATTTCTCAATCCAGGTAAATAAGGCAAATTAGATAACCCTAAGAATGTATTCACTTTATTAAAATACTCATTATGAATAAATTATAACAATTTGTGATTTAACTTCCCAGTACTTGTCTCTTGTAATTAGAATTGTCTTATGGTGCTGTTTGCAACCTATCCCTTGTTCATTGCTCTGCTGCATATTCTTGGAAAATGTATACTTCCCATACTTTTCCTACTTTCCACAAATTTATAACCCAATGGTAGGTACACAATAAATATAGAGTAATCTATTTCTGATCCTCTTTATACTCAGAATCATATTAATCACAAAGTTAAGATTCTCAGAAAACACAGTCTATGACTAAATTTGAGCACAGGGCTCACATGTCTACTGCCTGGATTTCATGTTCCTTAAGCTCCATCAGTACCTGTCCTTCCAGATGTGTTTTCACCAGCAGAGACAGTGGTGGCTTTGTCAGTTGCTCCTCCTGTTGCTAATGGGAGAAAAAAAGTAGTGCTTAGTGTACAGAGAGGAAGGAAGAAAAGCTCCTGCCAGCACATTCCATGGTTTTATTCTAGTCATCAGTTCCTTCCATGCTCTCTATTGTTTCATTCCTTGTGCTCATTTTCACACTCAAAGATCTTGACAAAACTTGCAGTAGACCCCACCACAGTCCCTAAGGAGGCTCTGTCTTACCTGCTGGGCTTCCAGTGCTGGTGGCCCCAGTGCCTGAAGTTGCAGGTGTACTTGCACTGCCTGCTCCTGAGGTTGATCTCAAGGACTCTCCTGTTGTACCTGATAAACACAGTAGCAGTGTTTGCAACTTATCCTCGGAAGCAGGAGATTGGGAGATTAAGACAAACTTCAATCTTCATATACATTTTCTTGCCTAGATTCTTTCATATTTGAACCCAATAATATTCACTTAGTGTACCTCCTAACTTACCCGAGTTCTCTCGGCTGGTAGCTCCAGTGCTGGTTTCCCTGGGTGTGCTGCCCTTCTCCACACTGGGGGTTGTTCCACTTGGGCCTCCTGTTCCTACTGATGGAAAACACCATTTCATGTTGCCTTATGCATCAATCAAATCTTTTAATATTATAAACTTCCTTTCAGTCTAACTGATGCAGGAAAAGACCAAACTCTACTTATTTGGCAAATCCACTGTATGGTTTCCCATCTATGGTAGAGGTTTCTTTGACAATTACCCAATATTATATATAACTACAATATAATCATAAACAAAAAACATGAAAAAGCCACAGGTAAAATAATAATAGTGAAGATCATATAATCTGTACATCTTTATTTAGCAGTTAAAAGATGACAATGTTAAAATGCTATATTTACAAATGTTTGTTTCATTCAGTCTGCGTACACACATTTGGAAACCAAACTTTCAATAACCTTTTCAGATCTAAGGGGCTTACTGTCTGCTAACAAGAGATCACCTATTGAGATATCATTGTTAGCATGTAATATTCTGAATCTTATTTTTGTGAATACAAACTAAATGTTCACTCTAAAATTTTAATAAGTTTACTGATCCAATAAGTATCACCCAGTTTATTTTCCCCTATGTATAAACTACATCATTGAACCCTGTTGTTTTAATGTTAAATAAAGTTTATTCTAATGACTCTTTGTCATATATTACAAATCACTTAATCAAAAAACTGTAGAATAAAACTAAAAGAAGCCCATGCATTTGTTAATAAACACATGAAAAGATACCCATTGTACATGAGAAAAACCCTCTTAATAGCAAAAATGTGTGATTTATTTTTTTAAAAAATCAGAAGTATTTAAGTATTTTAAATACTGCAGAAACTGGCTGAAAACTGATCCATGAGAAAGGCATTCACATATGACCTTGATGGAGTGCAACCTGGGAGGAAAGTTGGGAAAAATTGTGAATTGTGGAAAGGTACCTCTCCAACTGGATCACTGATAGCCTAAAAACCTTGTTAAGAAGTCTGCTGGGCTCCACCCAACGCTGTGGATTCTACGCTGGTAGACCCAGAAATGTGGCCATCTAATAGGATCCTACAGGATACCAGCACTGCTTATAAAGAAACCAAACTTTGAGCAGAGCACCATGGTGTTGGAGGAAAGAGGTGATCTAGGCAGAGGACTGCAGGGACTGGGGCAAAGGGTAGAACACCTGAATAAAGCACAGGCTAAGGTAATGCAAGGAGAAGATATTCAGACGTCCCTGTGAGTTTTAACTGATGATATGAGGATCATTTCAAATTTAGTCTTGCTTGGTTTTAATCAAAATTATCTATGTATCATATTGTCAAAAAAATAATTTCATTCCTGTATCTAACTGTGATAATACTGAGCCAACAATGAAAAACACATTCTCTTTGGCTTTGTTGGATAGGAGCTCCCAACACAGGTCCCAGAACTGGGGCCAGCCAGTGCCCATGAGGCTCAGCAGTCTGTATCCTACCCCTGTCTTGCCAGCTCGAGGCCATTCATATTTTCCCATCTGATAGAAATAATAACATGTAACTTAAAGGGATTTAAGTGTGACTTAATCACAAATTACATATTAAAAATATTTAATATGCCATAAAAATATATCATTAACTTTTTACTTAACTACAAATATTAAATACTGATTATGTCCCAAAGTCATCCCACTGGCCTGTGTTACTCCTAGACTTGGCCCCTGTAGCTATGGCTCTACTCAGAGTGGAGGTATTCTGGAGGGGAACCCGGGACAGCCTGTGTACAGTTTAGGATGTGCCTCATAGCTTTGATCCACCTCTTTGTAAGCTGTGTCTCTTATAATTCCATTATTGGTTCCTGATATTCTATCTGCTGACCTTCTTGTTCTCAGTGATGAGACATATAGTTATAACATGCTATGTTTTACAAAAGTGAGTTGATAAAAGGCTGTTACATTTTAATTACAAAAGATTGATTTGGAAACATATTGTGTTGAGCAGCATTGCTTGATATCAGATCCTTGTTTGTAACCAGTGTAATCTGCTCTGAACTGAATACCCAATGTGTCCCCAAAATTGGTCAAGCAGGGACTTCTAACAATTTGGTTTCAGTATTTCCAAAAAGAGATCATAATATTGTCTAAGACTTAGAATCTTTATTGAAGTACATTCATTTTGCTTGCAAATAAGAATGCTTATTACCAACTTCTTTATGGTGCACATATTTGAACCTAGTGTATCTGACCCAGGTTGGCTGCTGAAATTGACTGAGGCTTGAAAATACATGCACACATTCAATGATTCTCACAACAAACAATCTAAAACTTTTGGTAGTTGGTTAAAATTTACAGCCAGCTTAGGAAACCAAGGGCCCATTCCAGATTCAATGCTTCACAAGGTCCAGGAAAAGAGTTCTGACACTATTGTGGCTCACAGAAAATCTGACAACTTCATAAGTTTATAGAAAGAACATCTACTTCACTCAGCACACTCCTACTTGCTAAACTGTTGGCCGAAAGTTGAACTCACTCTCTCAAGTCTCTGACTAGTTCTTTCTGTTCTTCACCACACTCTAGAGTATAGAAATTGAGACATGAACTCACTCACCATTTTATACTTTCAAACTCATGAATTTTTCCGTGTACGTACCTGGTTTACTGCTGGCAGAGGTGGAGGAAGGTCTAGCAGAGCCTCCAGAGCTGGCAGTAGTGGAGCCTGCAGACTCTCCTGTGATCCCTGGAAACAAGCACCAGTGCTTGGGTGGGGGGGTGCATGTCATTCCTGCTCTCCATGTGAGTATTTGGGTGTTTCCCAAAAAATGAAACAAGGGATCCCTTCATCTTTCCCTAGTCTTGCCATATAATCCCAGTCAGTGCCCAATATTGTAGACCTGCCTCTGCTACAGGAGAACACAGATGGGGAGGTCCTGATGCATCACATCCAACCTGGTAAACCTCACCTGAAACACTGGTTCCAGTGGCTGCTTCTCCAGGGGTGCTGCCATCTCTAGCTTCAGGGGTAGCTTCTGATGATGCCGCAGGTGTGCCTGATTATTTATTGGGGGGAAATATCAGCTTAGGAAAATCAAAAAAAGTGTCCTTCTTATTATGAACTGGAATGGATGTATCTATATTGTGAATTTCATAGACATCTTAATTTCTCTAAATGAGATAACATAGGAACTTTATTAAAATATTCATTATGAATAATATGTAACAATCACATAGACCATTTATGATTTACCATCTAAGTCCTTATCTCTTGTTATTACAATTATATTATGATCCAGTTTGCAAATTTCCCCTTCTTCATTGCTGTGCTGCTTATCCTTTGAAAATGGATGCTTCCCAAACTTTGCCTAGATTCGACAAAGTTTATAACACCACAGTAAGTACATAACAAATACCTAGCAGTCTACTTCTGAAACTCTGTATACTTGGCATCATATAAATAACAATGGTCAGACTCCCAGGAAACCCCCTCTCTGACTAAATTTGAGCACAGGGCTCACATGTCTACTGCCTGGATTTCATGTTCCTTAAGCTCCATCAGTACCTGTCCTTCCAGATGTGTTTTCACCAGCAGAGACAGTGGTGGCTTTGTCAGTTGCTCCTCCTGTTGCTAATGGGAGAAAAAAAGTAGTGCTTAGTGTACAGAGAGGAAGGAAGAAAAGCTCCTGCCAGCACATTCCATGGTTTTATTCTAGTCATCAGTTCCTTCCATGCTCTCTATTGTTTCATTCCTTGTGCTCATTTTCACACTCAAAGATCTTGACAAAACTTGCAGTAGACCCCACCACAGTCCCTAAGGAGGCTCTGTCTTACCTGCTGGGCTTCCAGTGCTGGTGGCCCCAGTGCCTGAAGTTGCAGGTGTACTTGCACTGCCTGCTCCTGAGGTTGATCTCAAGGACTCTCCTGTTGTACCTGATAAACACAGTAGCAGTGTTTGCAACTTATCCTCGGAAGCAGGAGATTGGGAGATTAAGACAAACTTCAATCTTCATATACATTTTCTTGCCTAGATTCTTTCATATTTGAACCCAATAATATTCACTTAGTGTACCTCCTAACTTACCCGAGTTCTCTCGGCTGGTAGCTCCAGTGCTGGTTTCCCTGGGTGTGCTGCCCTTCTCCACACTGGGGGTTGTTCCACTTGGGCCTCCTGTTCCTACTGATGGAAAACACCATTTCATGTTGCCTTATGCATCAATCAAATCTTTTAATATTATAAACTTCCTTTCAGTCTAACTGATGCAGGAAAAGACCAAACTCTACTTATTTGGCAAATCCACTGTATGGTTTCCCATCTATGGTAGAGGTTTCTTTGACAATTACCCAATATTATATATAACTACAATATAATCATAAACAAAAAACATGAAAAAGCCACAGGTAAAATAATAATAGTGAAGATCATATAATCTGTACATCTTTATTTAGCAGTTAAAAGATGACAATGTTAAAATGCTATATTTACAAATGTTTGTTTCATTCAGTCTGCGTACACACATTTGGAAACCAAACTTTCAATAACCTTTTCAGATCTAAGGGGCTTACTGTCTGCTAACAAGAGATCACCTATTGAGATATCATTGTTAGCATGTAATATTCTGAATCTTATTTTTGTGAATACAAACTAAATGTTCACTCTAAAATTTTAATAAGTTTACTGATCCAATAAGTATCACCCAGTTTATTTTCCCCTATGTATAAACTACATCATTGAACCCTGTTGTTTTAATGTTAAATAAAGTTTATTCTAATGACTCTTTGTCATATATTACAAATCACTTAATCAAAAAACTGTAGAATAAAACTAAAAGAAGCCCATGCATTTGTTAATAAACACATGAAAAGATACCCATTGTACATGAGAAAAACCCTCTTAATAGCAAAAATGTGTGATTTATTTTTTTAAAAAATCAGAAGTATTTAAGTATTTTAAATACTGCAGAAACTGGCTGAAAACTGATCCATGAGAAAGGCATTCACATATGACCTTGATGGAGTGCAACCTGGGAGGAAAGTTGGGAAAAATTGTGAATTGTGGAAAGGTACCTCTCCAACTGGATCACTGATAGCCTAAAAACCTTGTTAAGAAGTCTGCTGGGCTCCACCCAACGCTGTGGATTCTACGCTGGTAGACCCAGAAATGTGGCCATCTAATAGGATCCTACAGGATACCAGCACTGCTTATAAAGAAACCAAACTTTGAGCAGAGCACCATGGTGTTGGAGGAAAGAGGTGATCTAGGCAGAGGACTGCAGGGACTGGGGCAAAGGGTAGAACACCTGAATAAAGCACAGGCTAAGGTAATGCAAGGAGAAGATATTCAGACGTCCCTGTGAGTTTTAACTGATGATATGAGGATCATTTCAAATTTAGTCTTGCTTGGTTTTAATCAAAATTATCTATGTATCATATTGTCAAAAAAATAATTTCATTCCTGTATCTAACTGTGATAATACTGAGCCAACAATGAAAAACACATTCTCTTTGGCTTTGTTGGATAGGAGCTCCCAACACAGGTCCCAGAACTGGGGCCAGCCAGTGCCCATGAGGCTCAGCAGTCTGTATCCTACCCCTGTCTTGCCAGCTCGAGGCCATTCATATTTTCCCATCTGATAGAAATAATAACATGTAACTTAAAGGGATTTAAGTGTGACTTAATCACAAATTACATATTAAAAATATTTAATATGCCATAAAAATATATCATTAACTTTTTACTTAACTACAAATATTAAATACTGATTATGTCCCAAAGTCATCCCACTGGCCTGTGTTACTCCTAGACTTGGCCCCTGTAGCTATGGCTCTACTCAGAGTGGAGGTATTCTGGAGGGGAACCCGGGACAGCCTGTGTACAGTTTAGGATGTGCCTCATAGCTTTGATCCACCTCTTTGTAAGCTGTGTCTCTTATAATTCCATTATTGGTTCCTGATATTCTATCTGCTGACCTTCTTGTTCTCAGTGATGAGACATATAGTTATAACATGCTATGTTTTACAAAAGTGAGTTGATAAAAGGCTGTTACATTTTAATTACAAAAGATTGATTTGGAAACATATTGTGTTGAGCAGCATTGCTTGATATCAGATCCTTGTTTGTAACCAGTGTAATCTGCTCTGAACTGAATACCCAATGTGTCCCCAAAATTGGTCAAGCAGGGACTTCTAACAATTTGGTTTCAGTATTTCCAAAAAGAGATCATAATATTGTCTAAGACTTAGAATCTTTATTGAAGTACATTCATTTTGCTTGCAAATAAGAATGCTTATTACCAACTTCTTTATGGTGCACATATTTGAACCTAGTGTATCTGACCCAGGTTGGCTGCTGAAATTGACTGAGGCTTGAAAATACATGCACACATTCAATGATTCTCACAACAAACAATCTAAAACTTTTGGTAGTTGGTTAAAATTTATAGCCAGCTTAGGAAACCAAGGGCCCATTCCAGATTCAATGCTTCACAAGGTCCAGGAAAAGAGTTCTGACACTATTGTGGCTCACAGAAAATCTGACAACTTCATAAGTTTATAGAAAGAACATCTACTTCACTCAGCACACTCCTCCTTGCTAAACTGTTGGCCAAAAGTTGAACTCACTCTCTCAAATCTCTGACTAGTTCTTTCTGTTCTTCACCACACTCTAGAGTATAGAAATTGAGACATGAACTCACTCACCATTTTATACTTTCAAACTCATGAATTTTTCCGTGTACGTACCTGGTTTACTGCTGGCAGAGGTGGAGGAAGGTCTAGCAGAGCCTCCAGAGCTGGCAGTAGTGGAGCCTGCAGACTCTCCTGTGATCCCTGGAAACAAGCACCAGTGCTTGGGTGGGGGGGTGCATGTCATTCCTGCTCTCCATGTGAGTATTTGGGTGTTTCCCAAAAAATGAAACAAGGGATCCCTTCACCTTTCCTTAGTCTAGCTATATAATCCCAGGCAGTGCCTGATATTGTAGACCTGCATCTGTTACAGGAAAACAGATGGGGAGCTCCTGATGCATCACATCCAACCTGGTAAACCTCACCTGAAACAGTGGTTCCAGTGGCTGCTCCTTCAGGGGTGCTGCCATCTCTAGCTTCAGGGGTAGCTCCTGATGATGTCGCAGGTGTGCCTGATTATTTATTGGGGGACAATGTCAGCTTAGGAAAATCAAAATAATTGTCCTTCTTAACATGAACTAGAATGGATATATCTACATTGTGAATTTCATAGACATCTTAATTTCTCTCTCCAGGTAAATAAGGGAACTCATCTAACACTGATAACATAGCAATTTTATTAAAACATTCATTATGAATAAAATGTAACAATCAGAACATTTATGAACATTTATGATTTACCATTTAAATCCTTGTCTCTTGTTATTACAATTATATTTTGATCCAGTTTGCAAATTTCCCCTTCTTCATTGCTGTGCTGCTTACCCTTTGAAAATGGATGCTTCCCAAACTTGGCCTACTTTCCACAAAGTTTCTAACACTACAGTAGGAATAAGTATCAAACAGTCTACTTCTGATCATCTGTATACTTGGCATCATATAAGTAACAATGGTCAGACTCCCAGGAAACCTCATCTCTCACTCATTTTGAGCACAGGGCTCACATGTCTACTGCATGGATTTCAGGCTGCTTAAGCTCCATCAGTACCTGTCCTTCCAGATGTGTTGTCACCAGCAGAGACAGTGGTGGCTTTGTCAGTTGCTCCTCTTGTTGCTAATTGGAGAAAAAAATAGTGCTTAGTGTACAGAGAGGAAGGAAGAAAAGCTCCTGCCAGCACATTCCATGGTTTTATTCTAGTCATCAGTTCCTTCCATATTCTCCATTGTTTCAGTCCCTGTGCTCATTTTCACACTCGGAGATCTTGACAAAACTTGCAGTAGACCCCACCACAGTCCCTAAGGAGGCTCTGTCTTACCTGCTGGGCTTCCAGTGCTGGTGGCCCCAGTGCCTGAAGTTGCAGGTGTACTTGCACTGCCTGCTCCTGAGGTTGATCTCAAGGACTCTCCTGTTGTACCTGATAAACACAGTAGCAGTGCTTGCAACTTATGCTAGTTCCTCAGAAGAAGGAGATTGGGAGATTAAGACAAATTTCAGACTTCTTATACATTTTCATGCCTAGATGCTTTCATATTTGTACCCAATAATATTCACTTAGTGTACCTCCTAACTTACCTGAGTTCTCTCCGCTGGTAGCTCCAGTGCTGGGTTCCCTGGGTGTGCTGCCCTTCTCCACACTGGGTGTTGTTGAACTTGGGCCTCCTGTTCCTATTGATGGAAAACACCATTTCATGTTGCCTTATGCATCAATCAAATCTTTTAATGTCATAAACTTCCTTATACTTTGATACAGAAAAAGACCTACCTCTAACTTATTTGGTCAAATCAACTGTATGGTTTCCCATCTATGGTAGAGGCTTTCTTTTAAAATTACCCAATATTAAGTATAACTACAATGGAATCATTAAAAAAACATGAAATAAAGCCAGAGGTAAAACTTAAATACTGACGGTAAAATAATCTGTACATCTTTATTTAGCAGTTAAAAGATGATAGTGTTAAAGTGCTATATTTACAATTGTTTGTTTTTTTTTTTTTTTCATTCAGACTGGGAGCACACACTTGGGCACCAAACTTTCAATAACCTGTTCTAGATCTATGGAACTTACTGTCTGATAACAACAAGAGATCACCTATTTAGATATCATTCTTAGCATCTAATTCTGAATTAGATTTTTATGAATATAAACTAAATGCTCATCACTCTAAAATTTTAATAAGTTTACTGATCCAAAGAGAATCACCCAGGTTATTTTCCTCCTATATATAAACTGCATTATTGAGCTCTGTAGTTTTAATGTTAAATAAAGTTTATTCAAATGACTCTTTGTCACAAATTATAAATCAAATCATCAGCTAATCAAAAAACTCTAGAATAAACCCAAATAGGTCCATGGATTTGTTAATAAATACATGGAAAGACATCCTAGCTTTAGATGAGAAAAAGGCTTCTTAATAGCAAAAATGTGTGATTTATCTTAAAAACATCAGAAATATGTGAGTACTTTAAATACTGCAAAAAAGGTTGAAAACCAATCTATGAGAAAGTCATTCACATTTGACGTTGATGGAGTGCAACCTCGGAGGGAAGTTGGGAAAAAGTGTCACTCGTGGAAAGGAACTTCTCCAACTGAAACACTGATTCCCTAAAATCTTGTTAAGAAGTGTGTTGGGCTCCACTCCAATACTTTTGATGCTAGGCTGGTGGACCCAGAAATGTGGCCATCTAACAAGATCCCACAGCATTCCTAGAAACCTCACTTTGAGCAGAGCACCTTGGTTATAGAGGAAAGAGGTGACCTAGGCAGAGGACTGCAGGGACTGGGGCAAAGGGTGCAACACCTGAATAAAACACAGGCTAAGGGAATGCAAGGAGAAGACACTGCAGAATTCCCTATAATTTTTAACTGATGACATGATGATCATTGCAAATTTAGTCTTGCTTGTTTTTAATCAAAATTTTCTATGTTTAATATCATAAAAACTTTTCATTCCTAGATTTAACTATGATAATACTGAGCCAACAATGAACAAACAGAGGCATGTTCTCCTTGGGTTTTGTTGGATGGGAGCTCCCAATGCAGGTCTCAGAACTGGAGCCAGCTAGTGCCCATGAGGCTCAGTAGTCTGTACTCTACCCGTGCCTTGCCAGCTTGAGGCCATTTGTATTTTCTATCTGACAGGAATAATGGCATGTAACTTCAAGGGGTTTAAGTTTGACTTAATCACAAACAATATATGAACAAATTTAATATTCCATAAAAAATATATCATTAACTTTTTACTGAACTACAAATATTAAATATTGAATATTTCCCAAATCATCCCACTGGCCTGTGATATTCCTGTACTTGGCCCCTGTAGATAAGGCTCTATTCAGAGTGAGGTATTGTGAAGGGGAACCCAGGACTGCCTGGGTAGACTATAGGATCTGCCTCATATCTTTGGTATGCCTGTTTGTAAGCTGTGTCTCTTGTAATTCCATATTGGTTCCTGCTGTTTTATCTGCTGACCTTCTTGTTCTCAGTGATGAAGGATTAAAAAAAATTAAACCTGGCTAAAAATAACTGTATATGAGCTACCTATTACTAGGTAGTGGGGACATATAGTTATAACATGGTATGTTTTATAGAAGTAACTTTATAAAAGGCTATTACATTTAATTATGTAAGAAAAACTACCCTTTGAATCCGATTATTGATTTGGAAAAATACTGTGTTGTGCAGCATTGCTTGAAATCGATCCTTGTTTGTAGCCAGTATAATCTGCTCTGAATTGAGTACCCAATGCGTCCCCTAAACTGGTCAAGCTGGGACAAACCAGTTTTGTTTTAATATTTCCAAAAAGCAATCATAATATCATGTAAGACTTGGAATCATTTAGTGAAATGCATTCATTTTGCTTGCAAATAAGACTGCTTATTACCAACTTCTTTATGGTTCACTTATTTGAACCTAGTGTATCTGCCCCAGGCTGCCTATGGCAATAAACTGAGGCTTTAAAATACATGCATGCATTCAATGACACTCTCAAGAAACAATCCAATTTTTTTGGAAGTTGGTTAAAATTTATAGCCAGCTTAGCAAACTATGGGCCCATTCCACACTCACTGCTTTAGAAGTTCCAGGAACAGAGTTCTGACACTACTGTGGCCCACAGAAAACCTGACAACTTCATAAGATTACAGCAAGAACATCTAAGTCAGTCAGCACACTCATACTTGCTGAACTGTTGGTCAAAAGTTGGGCTCACTCTCTCAAATCTCTGACTAGTTCTTTCTGTTCTTCCCACACTCTAGAGTATAGAAATTGAGACATGCATTCACTCACCATTTTATACCTGCAAACTCATGGAATTCTACCTTGTACATACCCGATTTACTGCTAGCAGAGGTGGAGGAAGGTCTAGCAGAGTCTCCAGAGCTGGCAGTGGTGGAGCCTGCCGATACTCCTGTGGTCCCTGGAAACAAGAACCAGTGCTTAGGTGGGGGGGTACATGTCATTCCTGCTCTCCATACGAGTATTTGGGCATTTCTCAAAAAATGAAACAAGTGATCCCTTCACCTTTCCTTCGTCCTACTATATAATCCCAGTCAGTGCCCAATATTGTAGACCTGCCTCTGCTACAGGAGAGCACAGATGCGGAGCTCCTGATGCATCATATTCAACCTGGTAAACCTCACCTGAAACAGTGGTTCCAGTGGCTGCTCCTTCAGGGGTGCTGCCATCTCTAGCTTCAGGGGTAGCTCCTGATGATGTCGCAGGTGTGCCTGATTATTTATTGGGGGAAAATGTCAGCTCAAGAAAATAAAAAAAAAAAAAGTGTCTTTCTTTATATGAACTAGAATGGATGTATCTACATTATGAATTTCATGGACACCAGTTTCTCTCTCCAGGTAAGTAAGTGAACTCATCTAACTGAGATAACATAGGAACTTTTAAAAAATATTATGAATAAAATGTAACAATCATGTAGACCATTTATGATTTACCATCTAAGTCCTTGCCTCTTGCTATTAGAATTATGATTATGTTTGCAGATTTCTCCTTTTTCATTGCTGTACTACTTATCCTTTGAAAAATGAATGCTTCTCAAACTTTTCCTACTTTCCCCAAATATTCCAACACCATAGTAGATACATAACAAATACCTAATAGTCTCCCCATCTGTGTTCTCCTGTAGCTGATGCAGGTCTACCTCTCTCTCTCTCTCTCTCTCACACACACACACACACACACACACACACACACACACACACACTCTGTTTTTTTTTGGTATCATATAAATAACAATGGTGAGACTCCCAGGAAACCCTATCTCTGACTAAATTTGAGCCCAGGGCTCACATGTCTACTGCATGGATTTCATGCTCCTTAATCTCCCTCAGTACCTGTCCTTCCAGGTGTGTTTTCACCAGCAGAGACAGTGGTGGCTTTGTCAGTTGCTCCTCTTGTTGCTAATGGGAGAAAAAATAGTGCTTAGTGTACAGAGAGGAAGGAAGAAAAGCTCATGCCAGCACATTCCATGGTTTTATTCTAGTCATCAGTTCCTTCCATATTCTCCATTGTTTCAGTCCCTGTGCTTATTTTCACACTCGGAGATCTTGACAAAACTTGCAGTAGACCCCACCACAGTCCCTAAGGAGGCTCTGTCTTACCTGCTGGGCTTCCAGTGCTGGTGGCCCCAGTGCCTGAAGTTGCAGGTGTACTTGCATCACCTGCTCCTGAGGTTGATCTCAAGGACTCTCCTGTTGTACCTGATAAACAGAGTAGCAATTCTTGCAATTTATGCTAGTTCCTTAGAAGCAGGAGATTGGGAGATTAAGACAAATTTCAATCTCCATGTATATTTCCATGCCTACATGCTTCCATATTTCTACCCAATAATATTCACTAAGTGCACATCCTAACTTACCTGAGTTCTCTTGGCTGGTAGCTCCAGTGCTGGATTCCCTGGGTGTACTGCCCTCCTTCCCACTGGGGGTTGTTGCCAAACTTTGGCTTCCTGTTCCTACTGATGAAAAATAGCATTTCAAATTGCATCAATCACATCATTTAACCTCATAAACTTCCTTTAGTCAGATGCTTCTCAACTAATGATGCAAAGACTAATTTTACTGTTTCTTCTATGCTAGAAGCTTTCTTTTAAAAACAATCATTTATAAAGGACAATTACAATAAAATAATTATAAATCTAGATCTTCTTAAACAAAGATCATGTAATATGTACAACTCTGTTCAGCAGTTAGAAGATGATAGTGCTAAAATGCTACATTTACCAAATTTTATTCTGTTTCACGTGGTCTGAGAATATGTATTAGGGCACCAAACTTTCAGTAACCTCTTTCTGATCATGGGACTTATTCTGTGATGACAAAGAGACCACTTATTGAGATGTCATCAATGCCATTTAATTCTGATTCAAAATTTTCTGAATATAAACTAAATTGTTATACTCCAAAAATTTGATAAGTTTAGTGATCGAATGTGAATTACCCAGTTTATTTTCCTGCTATGTGTAAACTAAATCATTTAACCCTGTATTTATAATATAAAAAACCCATTTTTTTTGGGGCTGGGGATGTGGCTCAAGCGGTAGCGCGCTCGCCTGGCATGCGTGCGGCCCGGGTTCGATCCTCAGCACCACATACAAACAAAGATGTTGTGTCCACCGAGAACTAAAAAATAAATAAATTTAAAAAAAAAAAAAAAAAAAAAAAAAAAAAAAAAAAAAAAACCCATTTTTTTCAAATAACTATTTGCCATAAATTTTATATCAAAGCTAACCAAAAACTGTAGGAAAAAAACAAAGTAAGCCCATGGATGTGATGATAAAATCATGGCAAACATCCTGTGAATACATGTGAAGAATGCCTCTAAATAATATGAAGTTTTGATTTATCTTAAAAAATTAGAAATATTTAAGCACTTTAAATACTGCAGAAATTGGTTGACAATTGAGCAATGGGAAATGGGTAGGTGACATAGGTGCAGTGAAACCTGGGCGGAAAGTTGGAAGAGTGGGAATTATGGAAAGCTACTTCTCCAACTGGATTATTGATTCCCTATAATACTTGTTAAAACAGTCTTCTGGGTTCTGCCCCAACACTTTCTGATTCTAGGCAGTTGGACCCAGAAATGTATCCTTCTAACAGGATCCCACAGCATTCTGAGGCTGCTAGTCCAGATACCACACTGTTGAGCACCATGGTATTAGAGGAAGTAGGTGAGCTAGGCAGATGACTGCAAGGACTGGAGGAAAGGGTTTAACACCCTAAATAAAACACAGGAAAATGGAATGCAAGGAGCAGACACTTTAAATTCTTTAAAATGTTTAACTAACTGACAGCAAGAGGGACAGTTGTTAATTTAGTTGTGTTTGTATTCAATATAATCATATATGCTTTAATATTTTTAATAATATTTTATTGCTGGACCTAATTTAGCAACTGATATACAAGCAGCAGCATATTTTCTTGGTTTTTATTGGGTGTGAGCTCTTGCACACTGGTCAGACTACTGAGCTACCAGCTAATGCCCTCAGGCCCCAGTAGTCTTTTAAACCAAACTTGCCACCATGGACATTTTAATTATATTCTGATATTATGGAAAGAATGACTCATAAACATGATGGTGTGAAGTTTGTTCAATACAAGAAAATATTTGAGAGTAAATAAGAAATTTAAATGTGCCTTACAAATATAATATCAATGCTTTATAAAACTGCAAAGATTAATTATTGACTGTTTCCCAAAGTCATGGAATTGATCTGTATAACTCTTCAACTGCCCCTTTGTCTAAGTTCTATTCAGAGTGGAGTAACTGCTGAGGTGAAACGTAGGATCTACCTCGTGTCTTTATTTAACCTGTTTGGAAGACGTAGCTCTCGTAATTTCATTGTTGCTTCCTACTATTATACCAGGTAACATTCTAGCTGTCCTGATGAAGTTCAAAACTATTTTAAAACTATAACAAACAATTGGATGGAGTCTTACAGTTATCAGACAGTGGGAATGGGTAATTGTAACATAATTTAAGAAAGCAACTTGCTAAAAGTCTAAAGACATTAATTGCATGTGAAGAACTGTCTCCTAAATCTGATATTTGATTTGGAAAAATCCTGAGCAACATTGCTAAAAATAGTTCCTTGACTCTGGCCAGTGAAATTAGCTCTGAACTGGGCTTACCTGATGTGTCCGCAGGACTGGTGAAGCTGGGGCTCAGTTGGGCTGTGGTGCCTGCACTTCCAGCTGTGGAGGTGATGAGAAGTGATTTTCCAGTAGCACCTGAGAAAAACATCAAAGGAACCTCTCACCTAAAGTCTATTTGAACCTTGCTACCAGTGCGTGATTTAACTATCCAATCCCTTCTAATGTATAAAAATTGAGTAAAAGAATTCAGCCACTTAGTACCCAGAGTTGCCCATGATATTTGTTTTAATGTTAATTATTTGAAGATTTTGGTTTAGTTGTTTTATTTTATTTAACAAAGATATCTTTCTGAAGCTTGAAAAGGGTCAAGTGGGTCTTCATCTAAAATACTTTCATCTAAAATACTTTACTTTAAATGAGCAGGGTTCCCAAAAATGACGGTTCATTTTGACCAAAGCCAGGACTTCTAAATGCCATCCTCTATGCACCTGAGTTCCCTTTAGGTGATGTCACTTTATTGCTTTGGGATCTGGCTGTGTGCCAACTCATGGTCCATTAGTGTGTATCAAATCAAACAATAAATAATATGATCTTTGATTAAGTGGTACAGTTCATGCTAATCTCTCCTTTCAAAATATCTCAAATTTTCATACATACTGCTTTATTTCTGTTTGAATCATTGGAAAAACTGATCATAATTTTTCCAGGGTTACATATTCAATGGGACTGGGAAGGAAAAATCCCAAAGGTTTCTGTAGTTGATTCTAATTTCTAGCCAGAATTACAAACTATGGTCTCACTCCAGACTCACAGCCTCAGAAACTCCAAATCAGTGGTTATGCAACTATTAAGGCCCATAAACACACGCAGGCATCCTCAAAATTGCATTAGATTATAGAAAGACCATCTAATCCAGTGGGTACACAGCTACCTGATAAACCATTGGTCAGGAATTGGGCTCACTTCCTCAAGTCACTTATTAGATTTTCCTATTCTTTATCACATTCCAGAGAATAGAATTTGAGATGTACATACACTCTCCATTTTACAATTTACTCATGGACTTGTCCTTCACACTTACCTGATGTGCTGCTAGCAGAGGTTGAGAAAGGTCTAGCCGAGTCCCCAGGGCTGGCAGTGGTGGATGCAGCTGCAGACACTCCTGTGGTTCCTGGAAACAAGAACCAGGGCATGGGGTGTGGGTGGGGGATGCATGTTTTCCCACCTTCTATGTTAGTATTTGAGTGTCTCCAGAATAAGGAAATTGAAGGTTATGATCCTTTCATCTTTTCTTAGTTCGATAATGTAATACCAGTCAGTGCCTGATTTTACAGACCTGCATCTGCTGCAGAAGGGCATGGATGGGAGCTCCTGATGCATCACATCCAACCTGGTGGACCTCACCTGAAACTGTGGATCCAAGGCCTGCTCCTCCAGGGGTGCTGCCACCTCGAGATTCAGGGGTTGCTCCAGATGATGACCCAAATGCACCTGTTACTTATAGGGAGAAAATGGCAGCTTATGAAAATCAAAAGGAATGTCTTTGTGAATATGAACTGAAATACATTTTCTTTAGCCTTTAAAAAGAATGGATGTATCTATCCTGTAATTTTCACTGATATCTTAAGATATGGCTGAAGGTAAATTGATGTAAATAAGGTAATTCTAATAATGTGTTCATTCCATTAAGACATTCAAGGTTCAACATCAATGTCCTTGTGCCTATTCACTAGAATTGTCTTATAATCCAAATTACAATGTTTCCTCTCTTGATATCAGTTATATGCCCCATTCTTTCACCATAATTGAGTATAGTGAAATATGTCACTAATATTTTTTCCAAAAATATATTAAATACTTCACATATACTTGTTGATATATTTCTGACCTTCTGTAGATTTGACTACATAATGGTCAGATTTCCCAGGAAACTGTGTCTTTGACTAGTTTTAAGCAGTCAGCTGTCATGTTACTGTCTGGATTTCATCCTTTAAATGCTCCTTCTGTACCTGTTCTTCCAGATGTGTTTTCTGCAGAAGAGACAGTGGTAGCTGTGTCAGTTCCTCCTCTTGTTGCTAATGGTAAGAAAAATGGTTCTGAGTGTACAGAGAGCTAGGAAGAAAACTGTCTTGTGATTTTATTCTAGTCATAGGTTCCTTTAATATTCTCCATTGTTCTTTTCCTTGACCTTATTTTACACTCAGTGTTCTTGACAAAACATGGATTAGACTCTGCTACAATCACTAAGGAGGCTCTGTTTTACTGCTGGGCTTCCAGCACTGGTAGTTCTAGTGCCTGACTGCTCCTGAGGTCATACCCAGGGACTCTCCTATTGTACCTGATAAACAGAGTAGCAGTGCTTGAAACATATGCTAGTTCCTCTGAAGGAGGAGATTGGGAGATCAAGACAAAATTTCAGTCTTTTGCATATTTTCATGATTTATCCAGCAGCCTAGATGCTTTCATCTTTGTGCCCACTTAACAAGCACTCAGTGCACATCCTGACTTACCTGAACTTCCTGTGCTTGTAGCTCCAGTGCTGGGTTCCCCAGATGAGCTACCCTCTTCCCTCCCAGGTGTTGTTGCACTAGGGCTTCGTGTTCCTGGTGAAAAAAATAATCATTTAAAAAATTCCTTTAAAAATAACCAAGTCTTTTAACCTCATAAACATCTTCTTTACTAGGTAAAACTATTCTTTACAATTATCGAATATGGTTAAATGATGTGCTCTGAGTCACTCAATTTATAGACAGAAAATGAAGACAGCAAAATCTAGCCATCTAGCCCTGATTTTATACTGTAACTGCTGCTTCTCAAGTGATTTGTGATAAAAGGATCAATTTGTAATGTTTCCAATCTCTGCTAGAGGCATTCTTTTAAAAATGCCAAAAGTGCAGATGTAAAATTTAAATAAGATCAGATAATATACAAGCCTTTATTTAGCAGTTTATGGATTATGATGTTAAAATGCTATATTTCCAAATGTTTGTTCTCTGTTTCACTTTTTATCATATCACCAATCTTTAACAGTCTGGGAACTCATATTTGTGTACCAAGTTTTGAGTTCGTCACAAATCATTGTATTTACTGTCTCAAATAAAAAGAGATTACTCCTTGAGATCTTATTATTACTCAGGTATTTCTACTTCAGATTTTTGTAATGATAAACTATTCATTATTTTAAGGTTTCAATAAGTTACTAATTTAATTGGAATCAATCTTTTTTATTTTTCTGCAATATGTAAATCTTATCTCCTAATTCAGTTATATTAATATAAAGAATAGCATATATAAGCACTATGTATGCTATAAACTTAATTACAATTGCTAAGCCAAATCAAGAGTAGGAAAAACAAAAATAGGCCATGGATTCATTAATTCATCCATAAACAGAATCCAGTGCATTCATGAGCAAAAGTACTCTTAATGGTAACAAAGTTTTCATGTATCTTCAAAGAATCCATTAAAAGTATTTTAAAAAGGAGCATAGATAGGATCATAGCTGAGCTTTGGAAATGATCTACTGACATGGAAGACATGGCACTGACTCCTGGGTAAAGAGGGAGGGAAGTTGGAAAAGACTGGAAGTTGTAAAGAAGCTGTTCTCTAACTTGAGCATTGATTTGCTAGAATACTTGTTATGTTAACAAGTTAACAGTCTGCTGGCTTCCCCTTCAACACTTTCTGATTCTGGGCTGCTGGACCCCCAAGTCACCAACTGTAACAAGTTCCCACAAGGTTCAGCTGCTACTGGCCAGGAACCGTACCGTGAGCACCGTGGTGTTAGAGGAAGGAGGCAAGCTAAGCAAAGGACTGCAGGGACTGAGGAAAGGGCTTAACACTTGAATAAAACACAGGAAATGGAACACAAGGAGAAGACCCTTCAGAGATCTTATGATTGTAACTGATGGTTTGAAGGACAGTTGTAAATTTTGTCTTGCTGGTTTTCAATCTCATTCAGCTATGCTTCAATGTTGTCAATAATAGTTTATTCCTGGATCTAACACTGACCTGAGTAAATAATGGACAAACCAGAGTATATTCTGCTTAGCTTTTGTTGGTTGTGAGCTCTAGACACAGTTCACAGACCCTCGGGCACCAGCTATTGCCCATGAGGCTCAGCACTCTGTGCTCTATCCCTGCCTTTCCAGCTTGGAGGCTTTTTATCTCATGGGAATGACGACACAAACACAGTGATGGTAAGATTCACTGCCCTACATTGAAAATTTTGAGCATAAATCAGACATTTTAAATTGCCATAAAATATATCACTAATGTTTTTGTAACCACAGTATTAATTGTGGAATATTTCCCAAAGTCATCCAACTGATGTGTAATTCTTAAATTGGCCCCTTTATGTAAGGCTCTACTCAGTAAGATTATCACTGCCAGGAAATAAAAAAAAGACTGACTCTATATAATATAGGATATTCCTCACTACTTGGTTTCACCCGATTTAAAGCTGTGTCATTTTTAATTCCCTTATTGGTTTCTAAAGTTATACCTGGCGACTTTCTAATTATCCTGAATATAGTTTAAAAAATTTTAAAAACCGGATTAAAAAAAAATTTATGGGCAACCGATGTGACTATATGTCATGTACAACCAGAAGAATGAGAAATTATACTCCATTATATATGATGTATCAAAGTGCATTCTACTGTCATGTATAAATAAAACAAATTTTTAAAAAATTAAAAGAATAAAACTTTGTAAATTTTACATTAAAAATTTCATGGAGATCTTCAAATTATCATTTAGTGATAGCATATAATTTGCATGATACACTTTAAGAAGCAACATGCTGAAAAGGTAAAAATACTGTATTTTAATTTTACATATATGTATAATCACCCAAGCCTGATATTTGGTTTGAAAATATATTGTCTAATTAGCATTATGTGAACCAATTAATTGGCTGTAAGTAGTATAAATTGCTGAACTGGACTTACCTGATGCGTCCCCAGGGCTGGTGAAGCTGGGGCTCAGTCCTGCCGTGGTGCCTGCACTTCCAGCTGAGGAGGTGATAGGGCCTGAAGTTCCAATAGAGCCTGAGAAGAACAAAGGAACTTCTCACCTAAAGTCTACTTTGGACATTATTACCAATGGACGATGTAACTGTCCAATCACTCCTACTATAGGAAATAGAATACATGAATCAAATTACTTATTACCCATAAGTACCTATGGTATTTGTGCTAATATGAATTTCTTGAAAATTCTGATTTACTTATTGCATTTTTCTTTACAAAGACATCTTTCTTTGAATTGGTTCAACTGGGTATTGATATATTCATCTCGATTATTTTGCTTTAAATAAGCAGGGTTCCCATGAATAACTCTTCATATTGACAAAAGCCAGGACTTTGACTGCCATCCTCTACTCACCTGATTTCCCTTCAGGTGATGTCACTGCATTGCTTTGGGCTCTGGTTGTTGTGCCAACTGATGGTCCAGTGGTGCCTTTTAAAACAAATAGCAAATGATATCCTGACCCTTGAAGAAGTTGTACAGATGATGCGATGCTGATCTCTGCTTTTAAAATATCTCTCATTAGCAGAATACAACAGACACTAGTATGGCAATATGTAAATCAATGGATGTGTAACTGATGTGATTCTGCAATCTGTATACGGGGTAAAAATGGGAGTTCATAACCCACTTGAATCAAAGTGTGAAATATGATATATCAAGAACTATGTAATGTTTTGAACAACCAACAATAAAATTTTTTAAAAAAATAAAATAAAATATCTCTCATTTATTTCTTTATACTTTTATTTATACATTTATTTCTGTTTTAATCATTCCAAAAATCGATCATAAAATCTTGTACAAATTAGCATCCTTCAGTGAAGTAAATTAATTTTGCTTGCAAGTAAGATTGCTTCTCATCTACTTCAATAGTGTTCTCATATTTGAGCCTAGTGGTTCTGACTTAGGCTGCATATTGCAACCAACTGAGGCTTTAAAATATATACCAACATAGGCCTTTTTCAAGGGTCATAAATTCAATGGGTCTGTGATGGAAAAATTCCAAACTTTTCTTGGAGTTAATCGTAATTTATAGCCAGGATAGAAAACTATGGTCCACTTCACATTCACAATCTCAAAAGTTCCAGGGTAGGGTGCTTAAAACCATTAAGGCACATAGGCAGCACATTTGTGGACTCTCACAATTGCATAAGATTATAGAAAGACGATTGAATCGATTCCAATTGCCCCACAGCTACCTGCTGAAATGTTGGTCTGTAATTAGGCTCACTATGCAAGCCTCTAACTAGTTCTTTCTACTCTTCACTACATTTCAGAGAACAGAAATTCGGACATGCTTACCCTCTCTATTTTATACCTGCAAACTTTTGGACTTCTCTAATTTACCTGATTTGCTGCTACCAGAAGTTGAAGAAGGTGTAGCTGAGTCCTTAGGGCTGGCAGTGGTGGAGCCTGGAGACACTCCCAAGGTCTCTGAAAATACGAAAGCTATATTTAGCATGTGTGGGGGGGTGTTATTACTTATTGCCACCCCCATGAGTATTTGAGTGTCTCCAGAAGAAGAGAAAATTAAGGATATTATCTTTTTAATTTTCATAGACTAACAATCTGATCTAAGTGATGGCCTAATTTTGCAGACCTACATCTGCTGCAGAAGGGCATGGATGGAAACTCCTAATGCATCACATCCAACCTGGTGGACCTCACTTGTACCTGTGGCTCCAGTGCCTCCTCCTCCAGGGGTACTGCTACCTCGAGCTTCAGGGGTTGTTCCAGCTGATGTCCCAGATGTACCTGATATTTATCATGAAAAAAAAAAAAGTCACATTAGAAAACTTAAAGGAAAATCTTCTTATGAATATGTCCCAAAATATTGTTTCTTTTTCTTAAAAAGAATGAATGTATGTTTTCTGTAAGCTTTGATGATATCTTAATTTCTACCTGAAGGTAAAGTGGGGTAAATCAGGTAACTGATAATGCACTGATCCCTTAAGACAACTGTATTTACTAAAATAAAATAATCACATAGAAAATTTATGGTTAAACATTTAGGTTCTTGTCTCTGTTTCCTAGATGTGTCTTATATTCCAATTTTCAAGTTTTCTTCTCTTGATTGCCGTCTTATTTATTCTTTACTTCTTTACCTACAATGTTAATTTTCCACTATCCCAGTATCATTGGGTGAGATGTTATATGCCCCTATTCTTTTACTACATGGCACAGTCACTCTAAAAATACTAAGTACCACAGGTATTCTTGTTGATATATTTCTCATCTTCTAAAGTGTTGACATCAACACAATGATAATGGTAGGATTTCCCAGGAAACTTTGTCTCTGACTAGGCTTTGAGCCAACAGCTCTCACATGTGCTGCCTGGATTTTATGCTCCTTATTCTCCTTCAGTACCTGCCCTTCCAGAAGTGTTTTCACCAGCAGAGACAGTGGTGGCTGTGTCAGCTCTTCCACTTGTTCCTAATTAGAACAAACATGGTACCTAATGTACAGAGAGCTCTGAAGAACTATTTCAGGGCCTTTTTTTTTTTTTAAGTTTTATTCTAGTCATTAGTTCTTCAATGTTCTCCATGGTTACCTTTCCTTCTTCTCATTGTCACACTCGGGGATCCTGACAAAAACTATCATTGAACCCTGTCATCACCCGTAAGGAGGCTCTGTCCTACCTGCTGGGCTTTCAGCACTGGTGGCCCCAGTGCCTGATGGTCCAGATGTGCTGGCCCTGACTGCTCCTGAGGTGACTCCCAGGGACTTTCCTGTTGTACCTAATAAACACAGTAGCAGTAGTTGCAAATTATGCTAGTTCCTCTAAAGGAGGAGATTGGGAGATTAAAGGCAAAATTTCAACCTTCTTGTACATTTTCATGATTTATCCAACGGCATAGGTTTTTATATTTGTACCTATTTCATAGGCACTAAGTGCACATCCTGACTACCCAAGTCTCCTGGGCTTATAGGTCCAGTCCTGGGCTCCCCAGGTGAGCTGCCCTTTCCCCTCCTCCTCCCTATTAGGTATTTGGCCTTCTTTTCCTCCTTAAATTAAAAAAAAAAAAAGAATTTCAAATTGCTTTAGGAATTAACTGAATTCATTTTCCTCATAAGCATCCTTTGAGGCAGTCAACATGTTCCTCCTATTTATCAGATATGGTTAAATAATCCTACTGGGTACTCACAGGTAAAGGAGTCCAACTCAAGCACTCTGTCCCTGACTATTCACTCCCACAAGTACTCCCAAACCATCTGAGGTAACAGACCTATTGTAGTGTTCAGTGTATGATAGATGAATACTTAGAACAATTTAGAACAATGCTATTACATAAATTCAGATATGAAATGAAAAGACCATATATAGTCACCCAACAGTTAAACCTTGTTGTGCTAAACTACTACATTTCCAAGTACTTGTTGTGTGTTTTACTTTTTACCATATCATGGACTTTTAATAGTCTGGGAGTCACACATTTCTGGACCTAACTTTAGGTAACCCTATTAAAATTACCATACTCAATGCCTGGTAACCCAAAGTGATCACAGTTTAACATGTCATTATTACCCAAGTAATTCAGATACAGATTTTTATGATTGGAAACCAAATGGTCATCACTCTAAAATTTCAATTAGTCGCTGGTCTAATTGGAATCACCCACTTTCTTGATTTTCCTACTAGGTATAAACCATATTATTTAATGCAGTAATTTGAATGTAAGTAATAGCTTATTCAAAACATTATTTAATAAGTTCTAAACTACAACAGTAACTAAGTAAAATAAGTGAAGGGAAAACACAATGAGGCCATGGACTTGTTCATAGCATGAAGAGAAGTCCTGTGCATACATGAAAAAATACCTATTAATGCTATATAAAGATTTCATTAATCTTAAAAGCAATTAGAAATATTTAAGTGTGGGGCTGGGATTGTAGCTCTGCAGTAGAGCACTAGCCTAGCATGTGAGAAGTGCTGGGTTCGATCCTTAGCACCACATAAAGATAAATAAATTAAATGAAGGTATTATGTCCAACTACACCTAAAAAATAAATATTAAAGAAATATTTAAGTACTTTATATGTATAGTCAAAGGTGAATTGAGCTTTGGGAAAGTCATTCTGATATGACATTGATGGAGTGTAGACTCAAAGGAAGGTTAAAAAGAATGGGAATTGTAGAGAGATGCTTCTCCAAGTTGAGCATCAATTGCCTAAACAACTTAACACAGTCTGCTGGTCTCCACCCCAGGACTTCTGATTCTAGCCATGTGGACCTAGACATATGACCATCTAACAGGATCCCACAGGATTTCTATACTACTGGCCCAGAAACCACGCTTTGAGTACCATGTTGTTAGAGGAGATAGGCAAGCTAGAGAGGACTCTGTCACTCTTATACCTGGTCCCTTTAGCAAAGGTTTTACTCAGAGTACAGTTATTATTGATGTGAATCCCAGAACTGCCTATATGGAGTATATATCTTCTTCATATCTTTGTTACACCTGCTTAAAAACTCTATCATTTGTTATTCCATTGTTGGATTCAGCTGTTAGATCTGGTAACATTCTAGTTCTTCCTGATGAAGGACAAAAAAATGTAAATAATTGGTTGTAACTAGTGCACAGAGGCTACCAACTATCAGATAGTGGGATTATATAATTACAACGTGAAAATTTTACAAAAGCAACATGATGAAAAGCATAATTACATTTAAAAAGTAATAACTCTGATATTTAATTTAAAAAATATATTTGCTGCACAAAATTGATCGACACCGGTTGATTGGTATAAACATATAATTTACTCTGAACCAAGTTTACCTGCTGTGACCCCAGTACTAGTGAAGCCAGGGCTCAGTTTTGTTGTGGTGCCTTCACTTCCAGCTGTGGAAGAGATTGTAACTGAAGTTTCAGCAGTGCCTGCAAAACACAAAGGAACTTCTCACCTACAGTCTACTTGAACTGTATTACCAATGGGTAATCTAACAGTCCATTCTCTTCTAAAAGGAACAAATTGAATAGATGCATCCAGTGACTTACTACACAGAGTTGCCTATGACATTTTTCTAATATTAATTTCTTGAAGATTTTGATTGACTTAATACACTTTTTTAAAAGACATCTTTCTACATCTTCAATTGGGTCAACTAGGTCTTCATACTTTCATCTCAACTACTTTGCTTTAAAATAAGCAGGGTTCCCATGAATAACTCTTCATTTTGAGTAAAACCAGGACCTCTAAACACCATCCTCTGCTCACCTGAGTGCTCTTTAGGTGATGTCACTTCAGTGCTTGGGGATCTAGTTGTTTCACCAACTGATGGTCCACTAGTTCCTTTTAAAACCAAAAAATATCATGATCTTAATAAAGTGGTACAGGTAATGTTACTCCCTATTTTCAAAATATCTTTCATTTATTTGTATATGCTTCTCCATTTCTATTTCAATGGTTCCAAACATTGATCATATAATCTTATACAACTTAGCATCCTTTATTAAGTTTATTATTTTGCTTATCAATAAGATCCCTTATTATCTGCTTCTTTAATGTTCACATATTAGAACCTAGTAGTTCTCACTTAGGCTGCATTTTAGAACCAACTGAGTCTTTAAAACACATGCATGAATGAATCCTTTTCCCAAGGTTCCACATTCAATGATTATATGAAGGAAAATTTTCAAATTTTTCTGCAGTCAATTCTAATTTGTAGTTAGAATTATAGCAAATTATGGCCCCACTACAGACTTATAGTCTCAGAAGGTCCAGATCAGAGGTCTTCGATGTCCTATAAACATACTCAAAGGCCCACAACATTGCATAAGATTGTTGAAAGACCATCTGATCCAGTGGGACAACTGCCACCTGTTAAAGTATTGGTTAGGAATTGGGCTCCCTCTCTCCCTAATAGTTCTTTCTATTCTTCAGCATACTTCAGAGAAAAGATATTGGGATTTACTTTTACTCTCCATTTTATACCTGAAAATGCATGGAATTCTCCCTCATACTTACCTAATTTGCTGACAGCAGAGGTTGAGTGTCAGAACAGTGTCATTTACAAAATATCTTAGAAATAATTGAGGATTAAAAATTCTATGATACAGGAAACATTCTTAAATCATTGTCTGGTCACACTGTATGGACGAAATACCCAGAAGCCAAATACCTGAGTCTCTAGGGCTGGCAGTGGTAGAGGCTACAGGCATTCCTGTGGTCCCTGGAAACAAAAAAGGTGCATATTGGGGGTGCATGTTATCCCTGCCATCCCTATGAGTATCTGTGATTCTCCAGAATAAAATAAAATAAAGCATATGATCCCTTTAATTTCCCTAGGCCAGAAATCTAACCCCAGTAAGGACCTGATTTCACAGACCTGCATCTGATGCAGGAGGGTTTGGGTATAGACAATGACTCCTGACACATCATATCCAACCTGGTGGATCTCACCTGAACTTGTGGCTCCAGTGCCTGCTTCTCTAGGAGTGCTGCCACCTTGGGCTTCAGGGATTACTCCAGATGATGTCCCAGATGTTCCTGATGTTTATGGGGAAAAAAATGTCAGCTTAAGAAAACCTAAAGGAAAATCTTCTTATGAATAGGACCTCAACTATGCTTTCTTGTTCATTTAAAATGATGCATTTATCTACCCTATGGACTTCTTGGAAATCTGAAGTTTGTTTTTCAAAGTAAATGAGGCAACTGTGAGAATGTACTGATTCCATTTAGGTATTATTTATTAATAAAATATAATGATCATATAGATAATTCAAGGTTAAACATCAATGTCCTTGACTCTGTTCACTGAAATTGTCCTGGGATCCAGTTTGCATATTTTCCCCTCTTGATCTCCATCTAACTTTTGTCTTGTCTGTGTGGTTGTTAATTTCACCCTTTCCCAATTGGCACTGGGTGAGACCAGTTTGTTCTTTCACCATATTGCACATTGCCTCTAAAAATATACTAACTGTTACACATATACTTGTTGATACATTTCTGATCTTCTGGAGATTTGGCACCACCTAAATAATAGATTCCCCAAGAAACCTTTCCTCTGACTAAATTTGAGCACAAAGCTCACATGTCTACTATCTGGAATTTTATACTGCTAATGCTCCTTCAGTACCTGTTCTTCCAGAAGTGTTTTCATCAACAGAGATGGTAGTGGACGTATCTGCTTCTCTACTTGTTGCTAATGAGAAAAACAGTTATTCAGTATAGATAGGTATAAAGAAAATACTATTTTAGGATTTTTTTTGTTTTATTCTTGGCATTATTTCTTTCAATGTTGTCCATGGTGACCTTTCCTTAACTCATTATCACAATCTAGGATCTTGCTGAAGTTTGAATTGGACCTCATCACATCCCCCAGGTTCTCTCTTCTGTGGCACAGTGCCTGATGGTCTATGTGGGCTGCCCTTGCCTGCTTCCAAGGTCGCTCCCAGGGATTCTCCTGTTATACCTGATAAACACAGTAGCTGTGCTTGCAACACATGCTAGTTCCTCTGAAGGAGGAGACTGGGAGATTCAATACAAAATTTCAGTCATCTTGTACATTTTCATCATTTATCAAACCAACTACTTGCTTTGACATTCATAGTAAAATGTATGTCCTGACTACCTGAATCTCCTGGATTTACAGCTGTACTGCTCAGTTCCCTTGGTGTGCTGCCTTCCACCCCACCAGATTTTTGTGTTATTAGACTTGAAGTTCCTCCTAATAAGAGCAGTGTCATTTACAAAATATCTTAGAAATAATTGGGGATTAAAAATTCTATGATACAGGAAACATTCTTAAATCATTGTCTGGTCACACTGTATGGACGAAATACCCAGAAGCCAAACACAAGCAATCTAACCCCCAAACTATACTGTATTCCTTGCTTCTCAATGTTCTGTGCAAAATAGATTTCTAACATGTGCTAGATGAATTCTTTGGAAAAAAGTCACAAAAGTGAATCTAGAATTATAATTTTAAAAATTCACAAAACACAAGCGTTTATTCAACAGATATAAGGCATTATGTCAAAAAGATATAAGGTCATTGTTTCTAAATGTTTGCTTTCTGTTCTTATTACATCATGGAACAGTAACAAATACCTCTGATGGCACCAATCTGAGAACCAAGGTTTGAGTATCCCACTCACAACCACAGTGTGTACTGCCTGATAGATAACAGACAGACGGCTGATTGTCATTACGCAAAGTTCTACTGGTGCAGAATTTAGAAAACATAAGCTCAGTGACTATCACACTAAAATTTCTATCAGTTTAAATCTCATTGGAATCGACAAGTCTCTTAATGCTTGCTGAAATCAATTATCTTTCACCCCAAGTCGAGAAAACTGCTATGGGGAAATAAATATAGGAAAATAAAATAAAGCCATCAACTAAATAATATATATGTAAAGAAAAGTCCCATTTATACACTAATGAAATGGCTTTTAATGGTATATAAAGAAGATTTCATTTATCTTAATAGCAATCAGGATAATTGGGTTTTATGTAGTGGAAAGACATGATGATAGTTGAACACGGGGAACGACATTCTCGAATGGTATCCATTGGAGTGTAGAGTGGGAGGGAAGTTGGAAAAGAATAGAAATGGTAGAGAAGTGGTTCCCTACTGAGATCAGAATAAATTGTCTAAAGCACTTGTTAGTATACTGTTTTGAGGGTTCCATTCCAACAGCTTCTGATTCTGATGTGGGCCCTGAAATGTGTTCTAGTTACAAGTTCCCCTGCAAGGCGGATGCTGGAACAGGAACCATACTCGGCAAGGGAAGATTCACTATATAAAGGACTGCAGAGACCAGATGGAAATGTTTTACCCTGAATCAGAGAGAAGGCCAATGTGAAGCAAATGAGAAGACACTTTTGATGTCCTTAAAATTATAGACTAATTGCTTATGTTCAGGGATAAAATAGAGCTTGTTTTTTCTTTTAATTTTCATTTTTTTAGTTGTAGTTGGACACAATATCTTTATTTTATTTATTTATTTTTTATGTGGTGCTGAGGATTGAACCCAGGGCCTCGAACGTGCTAGGTGAGCACTCTACCACTAAGCCACAATCCCAGCCTATTTGTTTTTAATCAAATTACCTGTGGTTAAAGAATGTCAGTCCTTCACTGATGAAACTAAAAATAGTTAAAATTTAGTCAATAATGTACGAGGACAAGCATGCTTTTCTTAGCTTTTGACAGACATGAACTCTTATATGCAAGTCACAGAACTGGGGAGTCAACAAATGCCATGAGATTTAGCAGTCTAACACTGCATTGACCGCTAATTTTTCCCAAGGAGCCGTCAATTGGCTTGGTGTCGTGGCATTTCTGTATCCTCCCTTCTGCTAGTGATGGTCTAAAATTTGGGGGACAATGGCTTATGCTGGACCGGTAGTCAGTGACGGGTATGATCCAATTGCAGTGGTATCAACCTAAGACAGGAGGCTGACACCTAAAGGTCAGTATTCCGATGACAGGTAAGAACCATATGTTGAATTGGACAACCTACCAGGCACGGTCCTTAAGCCACATTAACCTCACTCCCCCACTGGCACCAAGGCCAAATTTGGGGGCCAACAGAGGTGAGGCAAAGAACCTCACCCCCCCACTGGTGCATAGACCTATCCACAAGTATGGCTGTATGCTGGACCGGTAGTCAGTGACGGGTATGATTCAATTGCAGTGGTATCAACCTAAGACAGGAGGCTGACGCCTAAAGGTCAGTTTTCCGATGACGGGTAAGAACCATATGTTGAATTGGACAACCTACCAGGCACGGTCCTTAAGCCACATTGCTTGTTGTTTAATTAATCAGAAGGGGGGAGATGCTGGGAGCCATTAGCCAAGTAGGTATGACAATTTCCTTGCCAGCGTACCCCATGTTGCAGTGACATTGAATGTAGGTGACCTTGCTCAAGGACCAAGGCGGATTAGGGCGTTCCCGGTTTAGGTTCCAGGTTTAAGGTTTAAGATTATTCCTGCTGGGAATAGGGCGTATCCTGCTGCCCGAGTTCCCCTTGAGTTCTCAAGGGATTCAGACAGTATATTTTGGGAGACAGAAACCCAGTGGAGGTGGATTTGGGCAGAGAACGTGGATTTGGGCAGATAACATGGATTTCCCCAGAACGTGATTGTAGACGGCTGGTGTGAGTTTGGGAATAAAGAGTTGCTGTTTGAATCTACAAGCTGTGTGGTGGCTAGTGATTGTGTGCCCAGCCAGACTGCAGCAGTCTAACACTGCATTGACAGCTTAGAGGCTTTTATTATTTTCATACCCCAAAGAAATAATGATATGTAACCACCATGATGAAGGTTGAAAAATTTACATATTATGTGAGTATAATTTGAAGTTTTACTAAGGCATAATGCTTATCATTTTATTCATATCTAAATTTAATTATTAATTTTTCACAAAGTCATCTGTAAGTAACTCTGGTACCTGGTCCCTCTTACCTAAAACTGCACTCAGGGTAATTTGTTGCTGAGTAGAAACAGATGACTGTGGACGTACACTTGGAATAAAGTATTTGAGTTATTTTCTATCTCATCTTCTTTGTAGTCTGACTCCATTAAAATAACTTATTTATTATTGCAATATTTTATTCCAACAGACTAAATTAATCTGGTTAAACCTGCCCGAGTTCACCTAAGATTGTGACATATTATTGTCTCCAATATTTTGGTTTACTTACTGCTTTGAAGAGGGGCATGGTTCTCATAAAAACACCCTTCTCAATTTTGATAGATTCATTCTGCATCCTCATTCATTTTCTCAACTACTTTGCTTCAAAATAAGTAGAGTTCCCATAAATGACTCTCCCATTTGACAAAAACCTGGATCTTGAACATCATTCTCTGCCCACCTGACTTATCTCCAGGTGATGTCAGTTCACTGTTTTGGGCTCTAGATGTTTCAGTAACTAGTGGTCCAGTAGTGCCTTTCAAAGTAAATGATACACATACATTAGGACCTTTAATAAAATAGAATGGCAGAACATGGTTCTTGCTCTCTGCTTTCAAAACGTCTTTTGTATATTCATTCATACTTCTGTTTCTGATTCACTCTTTCTAAAAATTGATCATACAATATTGTGTGATCATTAGAATTCCTATGTGTGCCTATTTATTTGTTGACTTCAGAAAAACTTGTTTACTTATACAATAGTAAGATATTGGAGCCCAGTGCTTTATAACTCAGGATGCTTATTGGAACCAACTATGAAGCTTTCATGAATACTTACATTTGGGCCCTTCTGCCAGGAAAAAAAAAAATGAGAGTCAATTAACTTGAAGAACCTGGTACCTATTTCAAACTTTTCTCTAATTGATTCTAATTTGAAATCAGGATTTCTAGACCCCATTCAAGACTCAAAGCATTAGTATTTCCATGATTGGAGCCCTAGTATCATTATGATCTAATACTCAGGAATCCCATGATTTCTCAAGATATTAGAAATATCATTTAATTCAGACATTGTATCGCTACCTATAGTACATTGCATTACTACCAGTACTGTTGGTAAGGGACTGAGTTCCCTATTTCAAGTCTCTTACTAGTTCCTCTATTCTTTGCCATAGTCCAGAGAAAAGAAATGGGGAAGTACTTACACTCCCCCATTTTACCCCTGAAAACTCATGAACTTCTTCCTCTAACTTACCTGAGGTTAAGCTTGCAGAGGTTGAAGCTCCTGTAGCTGAGGCTGAAGGACTGGCAGTGGTAGAGCCTGTGGTCACTCCTGTGGTCCCTGGAACCAAGAACAGATTTGGAGGCAGGGAAGTGTGCATGTGACTCCTGCCATTACCATGAGCATCAAGTTCATATCTTTTCCCCACTTTTTTACCCTTTTGTCTTCTATGTCTGCATGTATTAATCCCTCCCTTTAGATGTGAACTGGAGTGGGAAAATGTATGTTTCCCAGTGTTTTTGTACTTTTCACAAAGATTCTAACACAATGGTAGGTACACAACAAATATCTAATGTCCATTTCTGATCTTCTGGATACATGGCATTATACGATCTTGTTAAAGTTTGAATTGGACCCCACCACATCCCCTAAGAGGCTCTGTCTTGCTTGCTGGGCTTTCAGTGCTGGTGGCCCCAGTGCCTGATGGTTCATAAGTGCTGTCCCTGCCTGCCACTGAGTTTGCTCCCAGGGACCCTCTTATAGCAGTAGCAGTGCTTCAACATATGCTAATTCCTCTGAAGGAGGAGATTGGGAGATTAAAATATAAATTTTAATCTATTTTCACATTTTTATCATTCATTCAACAGTCTACACATTTTGGTATTCGTACATTTTTAATAGGCACTAATTGCACATATTTACTTACCTGAGTTTCCTGGGCTTGTAGACTCAGTGCTATGTTCCCCAGGTGTGCTACCTTCCTTCCCACTAAGTGTTGATGCAGTTGGGCTTCCTGCTCCTCCTACATTAAAAAAACAAACAAACAAAAAACACCATTTAACAAAATGCTTTAGACATCAATCCATTCATTTAGCCTTGTTAAAAAAAAAAAATCCTCTGAGGCAAGTAGCATTATACTTATTTCTGAAATGAGTATAAGTGACTTGGTCCAAGGGCACCCAGTTGGCTCATATCAGATCCAGAGGGCAAACTCATGCAGTCTATATCCAGACTACATCTCTGTACTTCTCAATCTGTAACTCAAAACAAAATTCCCAGTCTCTCTTGTCTTGATATTTTGAAAATGGTATTAGAATAGAGAAATGAAATTATTGAAAATAAGTGATGCAAAACAGATTTACCCTGTAGTAATAAGAACATTTTGTTGACTATCTATTTCTCTAAATGCTTGCTCTCTATTTTAGTTCCCATCACATCAAACACCAGTACCTCATTTCTGGGGATGCCACCCGCTGAGCACTAACTACTATTCCAAACAATTATACATGGTGACTGAAAACAAAAATACATAGCTGATAGACTTGTCATTATTACCCAAGGGTTTCTGATTCTGATTTTAGGGGCTTTAAAGTAAATGATCATCACTCTAAAATTTCAATAGTTTAATGATAAGTTTCTTATTTTATACTTCTCTATGTAGATTATATATTTCAACTATTTTTAATGTGAATTATCTTATTTTAAACATTTATCATAAATTGAAGTCAAAATAATTCCTCCTAGAAAATAATGTAGAAAAATAAGGCCAGGGATTGTTTAATAAATACATAAAAAGAACCCTCATGCACACACCAAATAAATGGCATTTAGTGGTGTATAAAAGAGTTTTAAAAGATTTATCTTCAAAGCAACAGCACAATTAAAGAATTTTAATTAACGTGATGATAGCCGAGTTTTGTAAATTTCATTCTATTGTTCATTTACAGCAGAGTGCAAGCTGGACATGAATTTGGGAAAGAATGGAAATGATAAAGCAGTGGTCCTCTATTTCCATGAGCAACAACTGCCCAAAGGACTTATTAACACAATGCTGAGCCTTTGCCACTTGGGTACTGTTGTTAGTTTCTCAGCCCATGAGATCAATGGCGCTGAAATACCTGGGTGTTGATGTTGGCTAATTTACCTAAGCTTAATTCAGAAACTTTAGTGTGCTAGAGAATTATATCATTGGTATGGTTTGGATATTCCCCATGGTGTACATGTTAGATGCTGGTCTTCAGGGTGGCAGTACTGGGAGGTGGTATGTACCCTGTTAGAGGCAGAGCCTGGGGGTAGGTCCTTAGGTCGACAAAGGAAGATGCTGTTAGGAAGGGATTAAAGTAGTTCTCCTGAAAGCTGGTTATGGAAACCTGAACCACCATGATCTTTGTCTTTATGTTATGTTGCTCCTGGGTGGGCTCCACCATTGACATTTACCATAAGTCACCCAGCTGAGAGGAACCTCACCAGAACTGAGACTGTGCAGGCATGGAATATTTGAACCCCCAAAGCTGTTATGTAAATATACCTTTTTACTTCATAAATTCTCCTGTCTCAGTATTTCAACCAAGAGTTGACTAATAAAATCACTATCTTATTAATATGTCAATATTATCATTAAATTTTCCCAAAGTATTCCAGTAGACTTATCAGATATTATCCACCCATTATCTAAGATTCTATTCAGGGCAGAGCTGTTGCTGATAGCAACAAAGGACTAGTTGTGGAAATACACTGTGTAATAGAACATTTGATCCATTTCTTGATCTCACCTGTTGTGAAGGCTGTCTCACTTGTACTCCCATTGCCAGCTGCTGTGGTTACAGCTGGAGACTCTCCAGTTGTCCCTGATAATTGTTGAATAAATAAACCCAGGTCATGGGAACACAATTATAAAAAGATACATACAGATTTTAAAATAAGTAATTATAAATAAAATAAAAAGCAATACAGAAACACTAAAATATTACCTATAAGGAATCATCATTTAAGTCTGATATTTGATTTAGAAAGATACTGAATAGGATTGCCTCAAACCATTCCTTCCTCTGGGACCAGTATCCTTTGCTCTTACCTGTGGTGACTCTAGAACTGGTGAAGCTGGGGCTCGGTTGAGCTGTGGTGCCTGTACTTGCAGCTGTGGAGGTGATAGGACCTGAAGTAGAGCCTGAGAAGAACATCAAAGTAACTTCTCACCTAAAGTCTACTTTGGACATTATTACCAATGGTCATCTACCAATAAGCTCATATATCAGTAAATATAACAATGAATTCAATGACTTTCTACCCTGAATTCCCTATGATTTTGTTTTAATATTCTAATGTTATTTTCTTGGAGATTTTGGTTTTATTAATATCTTTTACCAATTTTATTAATTTCATCTTTCTGCAACCTACATTGGGTCATGCCAATTCTTAATACATTCATCTCAATAACTTTGCTTTAGAATAAGCAAAAACTTACTGCCTAACCACTGCTACTAAAGGCTGATAATCACCATGATGAAATGCTATAATGAAATAGCTGACTGCTACTTTTACACCTAAAATACTTAAATGAGTTAATGTTAAAATTTATATTTTATATATGTATATATTTAGTGTATATAAGTATATGTATATACTTATATACACTAAGTATATACATACATGTATATAAGTATATATATACATATGTAAATACATATATAAATGTTTTCTTTCAATCTATATTCTTTTTTTAAAAAATGTGACTGATTTAGTACTCTTGTAATTGCTATATTAAAAACTAATGATAAGAGGCTGGGGTTGTGGCTCAGTGGTAGAACTCTTGCCTAGTGCACATAAAGCATGGGGTTTTGCCTTCAGCACCACATAAAAATAAATTAATAAAAAAAGATATTGTGTCTATCTACAACTAAAAAAAACACGAGTGACAATGAACAATAAAACCTGGAAACCAAATTATATGCAGTCTACATAAACTGATCAGAAACAAGTTAAACTCAGTTTTGTTTGTTTGTTTGTTGTTGTTTTTTGATGGGGATTGAACCTAGGGCCTTGGGCTTGCGAGACAAGCACTCTACCAACTGAGCTATACCCCAGCACCTAAACTCAGTTTTTAAACATTATTTAATATTAGTGGGAAAAATCTTATAAACTACTTGTTTGAAATACTTTTTCAGAAGCCAAACTCATATACATTATGACTTACTAACCCCAAGTTACTAATAATTAACATTTCTAGGTTTTTTAAATCCCCTGTTAAAAATGGGAATTAATATACTGACCTGTAAGAAAAGGTTCAGTGAGATGAACTAGAGTTGTTCCTGCTAAGAAAAACAGAGACAATGTGAATTTTTCTAGCCTCAAGGGAAAAATACTAGAATGATTATGTACCTGTTAAATAGTTCTCAATACAGTTTGTGATATATTTAGACTTCTGGGTTAACTTTTATTTCATTTTAAATACAGTGATATACATTATGATGTACTTCCCAATGCATATTGTGTGGTTTGTACAGTCGTACACACATACATTGAATCTACTAAAATGCAGAGTAAATGTAGTAAATGCTTAATAATGATGACAAAATCGATTCTCTGTTAAGTAGAGGCTAATTTTACCATATGATTCTTCAAAATCCCTCCATTTCTGATGTCTGCAGCTTGGATTTTGTTTTTATTTAGCATTTAGTTTATAATAGTTTGGGGGAAATGGAGAAATAATTTTTTTTTTAAGATTTGTTTTTATTCTGTAACTGTTTCATGGAAATAAATTTGAAGTTACCAATAAACCCTACTTGCAAATCATCAGTAAACTCCTGAAGGAAGAGGTCATGTTTGACCTTTGTAGTCTGATTGCCTGCCCAGTGCCAGGACTGTGATGGGAATTCACTATAAGTTTGTTAAGCAGTCGTGTGCTTAAAAAGAAGCCATTATAAATAATGAAGTATCAAGTATTTTCTTTATTTCAGCCTTAATTCCCATTGAAAATCCCTGGGAATCTATTGTTTACCTAATGTAATAATGTCACTCTGCAATTTTACAGTGTTTTATAGCTTTAAAAAGAGAAGCAGCTGCTCACACCATCTATCTGATCCTTATTCCTGTCCAAGCACACTAGCCTTTCAATCTTTCATACCTGCCACTTGAAGCTTCTTGGGTCAGGATCATGGTTCCTTTTCCTCTTCCTCTAGTAAAACCTTCATTGATCCAATTATCAACTCAATCATCTTTTCTCCAGCCCGTCTTGACTTCCCTGACTTGATCCATTCCATGCCTAATTAGCCCTCCATTGGTCTTGTTATGAATAAAATTTTCACTTGTTATTGTAATTACTTGATTGATACCAATCTTCCTCACTATAGACTCTGAAATCAGGGACCATGTCTATTTTAATTCATTTTTCTATCTCCAATGCCTATCAGAGTACCCAGCACATAATAACTGCTTGACAAATATTTGTCCACGGAAGGAATCAGTGAATGGATTCAAAGTGTGAAAAACATTTTTCATTTGAGGAATTGGACTCGGAAAACTTAAGTGATTTGTGTAAGATCACTGTTGATCAGTCACAAAGTTGGAACTAAAACCTGTCCCCCTCCCAAGACCTGTACAGCTTTCTGCATAATTGTGCTTCTATGTAGCATACATGATCTCTCATAATTTTTGTTTTCTTAATTTGCATTCGCAATATTTATGGAATTATTAGATATCAACTACAAATTGGAGAATATAATATCAAATAAAAAATGTGCTGTTTCCCCTGATTAGTTTATAAAATGAATGTATAATAAGTATGTTAAGTAGATTGAGGAGATGTTTATGTAAGATTTCTCAAAAATCAATGTCAAGGCTTAGTTAAGAAGAATTATCAAAATCAGTATCAGGCAAACTCCACCAACAGACAAAATTGAGATCTTGGTATAATTTCTCACTAATGTACACAATATTTAGATATCTGAATCAGAATCTCTTGCTGATTTGTATGCAAGGATAGCATAGAAAAATTCTTATGCTGAAGTTCACAGAGACTATCAAGATTATGATAATTAAGCAGGATAGACACAATACTCCAAAGATTTTAATGCAGATTCCATTTCCCAGTGTTGATTTAACCTGTAAGGTATTCCAATTATTCCAATTCAAGCACTTTCAAATTGAAGTCAATTACATTTCATCAAAAGCAGGATTAGCATATGGAATAAAATCACATCTGCAACATTTCCACATCTGAATATGCTCTAATCAACACAAATTTTAAGAGGATCATGGTAGCACACCATAGATGGCAGCATGGTGATCACAAATGTTCTTGCTATTTGCATGAGAGAGAACATATATAAAAGCCTTTCCTTGTAATTGATATGGTTAATATGGCAACATGCGCCAAAGCCAATCTCAAAGACCCATCTTTTATCAGGGTCATAAGAGTTATCTAAACTAGTCACAGATTGGAGTACATACCAGTTGGGCTACTATGATATTCCCTTTTCCCACGAATGAACTTCAGAAGATGTAAGTCTGAAATTGTTGATACAGCAATAAAAGTAGGGATAAGCCTTTACTAACAGGAATATATGAGAATCCACTTTTCTTTATGGTTTAATTACGAAAACTGATTGAGCATTAGCATTTTATAACGTCCATTACTGTTAAAATTTCAACTGATTTTTCCATTACTCACAAATGAACATGTTTGGAAGTACTTAATATTGGAATTACTTCACTTCAACTTCTTTGTCACCAAGAAATAAATGATAATAGGAAAAGCAGCCTTTGACAAAATATCAATAGTTTCACAAACTATGTGGCTCAGTGGTAGAGCATTTGCCTAGCACATGTGAGGCACTGGGTACAATCCTTAGTACCACATAAAAATAAAAAAATAAATGTTTTTAAAAGATAGTATTATATTCCACCTTGAGAATTCTTCAAAATGGCTGTACCCATTTTTTTTTCACTCACCTAAGATTTTTGATTACTTTTTATTCATTATTTTAATCTTAATAAGGCTAAATTATTTTGCCATTTTTATTCAGTAGATTACATTTTAAAACAAGGTTTGGAAGGAGCCATAGTATTTTCCCTTACAAACAGTAAAATCAGTCCTGCAAAACATAAGGCTTTTGCAAAATATCTTACTTCTGGGGAAAAAATTATATATGAGAAAAATAGAGAGAGAGAGAGAGAGAGAGAGAGTGTGTGTGTGTGTGTGTGTACAGAAAGAGAAAAGACTATGTGTATATATACAAACACACACAGATATTTCCAAGTGTGTGGATAGGTGTGTATATTCTCATATATATATGTATATTAGATATACATAATCCCAGATATAAATCATATATATTTGAATTGTTTTCCTAGGAGAAATATATATATGACATGTGTGTGTGTTTGTGTGTGTGTGTGTGTAATGGAAATGTCTTCCTGTGTCTACAAATCTGTCATAGTTCACAGACATGCAATACGAATTCAAAATGATTGTCTTCCTAGCTATATTATTTATATCTGAAAGCATTAGTCTTTCATTTTTCAATCTAAATATTTTTAGTACATGGCTATATTTACAAAAAATTGCTAGCAATGATAATTATATTCATTCTTTTAGAAAATGTGATCCATTTTTCTCATCATTGATCAAGTGAGACTCACAAGAAGACTTAAAAACAAAAATCATTACATAGTTATAGATTCTTCACAATCCATCCAAAGCTATTCAGCTTTTAAAACTTTGACGTCAATAAAAGAAACAGGATGTGACTTTCAAGCCTACAGTTTGTCTAAGACAATTGCTCCACAAAAGGATCTACATTTCTTTAAAGGGGTCCTAAAAGCAAGAAATCCAAACTATTTTATTTTCACTTTGGCAACATTCTTATTAGGTGAATTTACAGAAAAGTTTTAACAATATGTTGGTGTGCCTGAGAAGGAAAAGTTTTATTCGTATTTGGAAAATTAAGGAAAATAAAACAGTAGGTTTGGCCTTTTTTCTTTTAGTGTTTCAAAAGTATCAGTAACACACATCACATACCTTCTAATTACCGTCCTCCCTTTATCTTATTAGGATTTCTCAGTCAGATGTAAATTGGCATGTCATTTCTCAGATTTTAAATTTCAGATTTCAGAAATGTTACATATTATTCTAAATATTTTGTACTAAGACCAAGAGTCCTCAGCACAAGTTGAAGTAGACAATTTATGATTACTCATTAATTGAATCAACAAAGATGACCAAATGGTGTGATTCAAGCCTCAAGTCACAGACTTGGGATGGAACTAATTATTATTTGAATGATTTTCAAATTCCCATCTACTGACTAACAAATGAAAAAAGCCTCAGAAAAGAGGTACAGCAGCAGATGAGGAGCTAAGAATTAAATCAAGTCTTACCATTAGTCATTATTTTAAAACTGAAATCTAATAACCAAAATTTTAATTTTCAGTTTATTCAGAAAATAATTTATTCCAGCAATAAGATATGCTACATGCCCATTATAAATTATTGCTGGAAAAGTTTAATTGAAAATCATTTTTTCTATACACTTAAATTATTTGAATAAATTTGTTTAAAACATACAATTAAAAATGAACATTTTTTATATTACTTTTAATCTCCTAGTTTTAGGATAATATTGACTACAATTTCTAGCTTTCATATATAGTAAAGAAAAGAAAATATCCCTGGATTTCTCTAATATGCCAAAAACTATTCATTCTGCTCCTTTTAGACATGGAAACATCATTTAAGCTCTTTGCATCACCTCACCTATGAAATGATGATTCGAGATGGACTGTGGAGAGTAACAATCCTTAATCAGAGGATTATTCATATTTGTGATGTACTACATGAAAAGTACTTAATACAATGACTAAAATGAAGTAAACAGAAGTTATTTTTAGCTATATCTTTTACTGAGTACTAATAGAGCATTTAATTATTGATATTATAATTAGAAAATTAAATGGTCACTCAAATTCCAGTGAAATTACATAAAACATTAGGATTTAGCAAAACAATACACAAAAAGCCATAAATAATACCTAATGAATTCAGGGAGGAAATTCTATTTGTGAATCTCCCCTATAAGTCAATTGTACATTAGATCTATAATTTGTAAAATGCTATCATAAAAATAGTCAATATGATTCTATTGTTTTACAGTTAGTGATGATATTTGAGATATGAAAGTTCATCAGTGGCTCACAAAGACCCTGTTCAGTAATCGCTTCATGAAGTTTGTTTTACAATGGAAAGTGTTAACAAAATTAAGTATTATTTTCCAAACCAAGTGTTGTAAAAAGAAAATAATAAAAGGAAGTTTTACAATTTCTTATTTATAAATAAGAAGTTTGTTTTACAATGGAGAGTGTTAACAAAATTAAATTAAGTATTATTTTCCAAACCAAGTGTTGTAAAAACAAAATAAATAAAAGGAACTGCATGTAAAACCTGAAAGAAAATTAAACCAGTTTTTTTTAATGTCTGATAGCCTACTGCCATATAGTATGCAGATATCATCATCATATTGGAACAATACATGCAATAGTTGTCTATATTACTCATGATTCATATGTGCCTCTGGAATTCACCAAGTAACAAGGAAAATTTTATTACTTTAATTCCTTGCAAAATTTAATACCTTTAAGAGCTGAATGAATGGTTTAATAAAGGTGAACTAAATTGAACCAACTTAATCATCTTAGGAACAACACCAAGCTTAAAATTAGAAATTCAGTCTATTGCCTGTGGCTGATGTAATAGGTAGTAGAGAAAGATTTTCTGCAATGTATACAAAACAATTCAAATGAACTATTGGGATAAAATTTTTGTTGGCCTTGGGAAACTAATTTACAGTTATAGAATGCAGAAAACATTTTGAAATGTGTCAGCCTTTCTAAGATCTACACTGAAAGCCAACAATGCTTGATTTAGTGATATCCAATATAAGAGAAAGTTTGACAGGAATAAACATTTTGTTTTGGGTATTTTTAATAAAACAATATCACACAGTATAGTAGCTGATATGTCAAGATACATATCTTCCCTTTGAAATTAAAAATACACTAATAAGACATTACTATGAATGACAAAGTAGTCATGATTCTGATATTAATTTATAATCCAAAAATAATTCTGGTTTTACAATATATCTTTGTGTTCTACAAAAAAATTTGTCAACTAATAAAATGTGTGGGCTGAAAGATTTATCAGTGTAACTAATATCTAACCAATAATCCAACCTTAACCAGAAATTCTGAACCAATATATAAAACCTGAGTTATAAATTTTCAACATTGTAAAAAATATTTATTGAATACTATTGTATAACCTGACACCAGATGCAAATGGGAATACAAGAATGGTAAGCTATGGTCTGTGACTTCAAGGAATTTATTAATTTAAAACAAGATAAATTAATATATAAAAGGAGAAAGAGAAATAGTACCATGGTGGAGGCTAATTTAGGTAAGTGGCTATATTGGAAATAGATTTAGTATTTAGGAGGGTAATGTCCATTAATGATTTTCTTCAAGTTGTTTATATATTTCAGATATATCTAGATATAGATATAACTATGTATGTAGAAAGATCAGTGACATTTTTCATTGTAAAATTAATTAAGAATAGGTAGCTACATCACAAACAAAAATAAGATGTAGATTCACAGTGGTAAATGTTGGTTAGCCATTTTTCTGAAGTTCTTTTTTTTAATTTTCATTTGTTCATTTACATTAAGGACTTTAAAAACTGAAACTTCAAGTTTAAATTAGAAGACAGAATATCAAGCTAAATTAGGGGAGAACTGTTTGGATTCTCAGAGGGAAAATTCCGAAATCAATATTTCAAAAGTGTAATCAAACTGATGTTGATTCTAATACATAAGATTATTAGATTTGTATATGAAAAAAATAACTTTGATATATGTAAAAAAAACTATATTGGTCATTTATAAAGTTTCTGTTTTACCTACCTTTTGTTTCACTGCTTGATGTTGTAATCCCTGGAGTGGATGATGCTGAATTTGAGAAAACAATGGAAAAAAAATAAATATTTTTTGGAAGCAAAATTATGCTTCTAAGAAATCTGTGGTTATATACAAAATGCACCTACTTGGAATTAATGTTTTAGAGAAATATGATCACACAGGTGAAGGAAAGCCAACATGTGAAATTAAGGTATTAAAATAAACATATCTCAGGTAAAAAGTAAAAAAACATCATTTTGTATAATTTTCCCCAAAAAATCTCTCTCTAAAATACTCTTATAATAAAATAAAGATTGTATACTTCCTTTTAAAAATGTCATTGCAAAGACACAGTACCACAAAAGGAAATTTGAGACTTATAAAAAAATTTCCTAATGATTAAGTTGGGGTTGGAGGTTGTAGCTTACCTGCACTTGAGCTACTGGTAACCAATGTAATTGCTACACAAAAGAAGAGAGAAATATTTGTAAATGTATGTTAAAACAGTACACAGAGACAAGGTTAAGAAGTATTTATCTAGACACGTTTAGAGATCTCTAGATTAAATGATAAAAAATAAAAGTTAAGCTCATGTATCAGATGTTTACATATTTCATATACCTTTGTACTGATGGCTACTACTTTAATTATAAACCATCCAATCAAAGTCACAATTCCTTAGTGTTACTAAGTGAATTTGTAAATTATTCTCAAAAAGTTGTCTGTCTGGCAGAGCCACTTTCTCCTAATAGTCTGCAGACTACTCTTTTCAGGACAAGTAATCTTTCAAGGAAGATGTTCTTCACTATATTACATTTGGATGTGGACCCTGCTCCTAGACTTGAGCATTTAGGAAATAAAGAAATGGAGAATGAACAATTTGAAAAAAAAAAAAGGCCAAATGCCTAAATTGCAAACTCACTTTTTAGAAAATCAAAAATTTAAAAAAAACTAATAAGCATTTTTTTGCTTTTAATTTACCTGCTTTAGTGCTTAAAATGGAGGTAGCTGTTGTCGTGGAAACTATGTAGGGAAGACAAGATTTATGAAAATAGATCAGTTGAACAAAATTTTGGTAGGAAATTTAATTAAAGAACACAGTTGTCATAAACAAAAAATTAAATTTCTGAAATTGTGTATAGAGATTAAATTACAAAACAATTTTTCATTTAAATAAATACAAGTAACACTATATAAGTCCACCAATAATAAAAAATTATTTCCTGGTATTACCAGTTAACTGAAATCCTCCCAGGAATTATATAAGGTCTATTTGTGGTTCTAGAAATACAATTCAGAACCCTGACTGTGATAACTTAGCCTCTGGTAGATAACCCATGATAACTAAAATTTATAAAGCACTTTACAGAAGGTCACCTATCTTTAAATATATTATCAAAATCTAAAGCTTCCAAGCTCTGGATTGATTCCTCCTCCAAATATTAACAGCAAATAAAATCCCTTCTTAAATCATACAAGACAGGAATCTGTAAGCATATCATAGCAACTCCAAGAGTATTTATACTGCCATTAAGTTCAATGTCCCAACAGTAAAGCTGGACTATATCTTGCCCAGAATCCTCTTGAATGGACATAATGAATTGCCTCTGTGGTTTAATGCTAATGCATGAATAAAGAAAAAAGAATTAAATTTTTATTTTTGTATTGTCAAATAAACCCCCCAACATAGTGAGATTTAAAAATATTAACTTCACAGAAAATCACATTACTTCTATTTTATTATTTAACTATTATCTAAAAATGTCAAGCTTTGGATGATGATATTCATTCAACTATTTAGAATAAAATACTTATTGTATGTTCTAATCATTTTTCTAATTTAATTTATAGGAATAGAATAAAATAATAGTGACATTTTAATTTTAGTGTAAGATTTTCATATCAGTTGATTTACCTCACATATTTTTATTGTCACAGATTCATATGAAACTCTACATGATTATCCCCAAAATCAGAAATACACATTTTAAATATAATGATGACTTTACCTGTGAATGTTGAATTTGTAGGAGCAGGTTCTGAAATAATCATAACTTAGTGTTATTGACACAAATAGAAAAATTTGGGGAAAAAATTCCTCTCAAGTTACTACTTATAAGCCATGTATCTGGCTTTCTTTTTTTCATTTACATTTTTATAGTTCTTAATCCAAAAAAGCCATAGCTCAGGTACTCTTTTGAAGCTTATTGAGATTTTTAAGATATCCTTTGCTCATGAAAAATCCTTCAATTATTTCTGTATCTGATCTTTTCTATATTGGTTCTCCAATATAGAACCTTTTCTCCAATACAGAATTCTTTCCACTCTGTACCTCCATTAAACTCTTTTAACTGATGTCTCACTCCCTTTATTCCTAGGACCTACAGAGACAGAGAGACAGAGGCACACATCAGTAAAAACCACTCGTGTGTGTCAGTCAGGCCCCATCTGACAGCTATTCAAAATGTCTTTGCTGCATTGGTTTTGAAAAGTGACCGACTCACCAGGAACAATCACATGGAAATAGAACAGTGCCAATCCCCTGAGGAGCAGTCAAAAGCATTAAGTACCTGCTACTCTGATATTGATGGTATTAAAAAAATCCCTTATCTCATCTGTCCTAAATCAATTTGAGTAAAACGTAATGACTCACCACTGCACTCCAACTCCCCAGCAATACAATTGCTGAAATGTAAATTTTTTAAAAAAAGAATGAGTTTGAAATTTTGATTCCTAATGACAGATCACAGATTTAAAACAAATTTTCTAGCAGTGAAAATCAAACAATCAAGTAAGAGAAGAGTAATTATTTTCCCCTAAGGGCATATTTTTAATTCAAATGGCTTGTTTTTCATGTACTAATGATTTCACTGAGTTCTTGGGACTTGAAGGAATGGTTTACAGTCAAGCTGTGATGTTTCCAACACAAATTATTTGATTGTCGTCTACCCTAGTATGATCTCATTCTTACATTCCATGTCTGAAAGCTATAACAATGATCTTACATTTATAGAATTACAACTTTTTTCCCTAAAACTATAAGGTGAAATTTTCTGTCCTGTCTTTTTGTATTGCTAAGCTTAAGATTTAACAAACCACTTGTTGATTTGTAAATTTTCTTAAAAAATACAAAATAACTAACATTACTAGCATAAAACTGCACCTAAAATCTTGTTTATAAATGCCAAAATTAAAATTTACATGTGTGCATGCACACACACACACACATACACACACACTTGTTTGTTAGTTTGCTTGCTTTCCTAAATGAAAATGCAAATAATAATAAAATAAAAGAGTTTACTGAAATGATCAGAGTAGTTTACCATGTTCTTCCACAATTATCTTCAATGACTCCCCCTGCTGGAATGATGTCATTATAGAAGCAGCTGCACTCAGATAAACTGACACATTTCATGGTGTTCTCATCCAGATAGGGAGCACTTTCTGGGCATTTGGCATAACAACCTGTATGTAAAAATGATCCGCAGCTCATCTTTATTTACTGATAGGCATCAGACTGCATTACATATTTGTAATATTACTTGAATGACTGCATAAGCAGTGGATGACGGAAAAACATCACACACATAATAAAAATATAAGTGAACAGGATTTAGATCCTTTTGCAGTGAAATCGCAACCAAAGAACTTATACATTCAGGTAATTTTTTTTTTCCTAAAATGCTTTCTAAAATGTTTTTAAATGATTTGCTGCTTTAATGATAGACATGATGTTGAACATGCAACAGGCTTTGGTAAATATGTATCTTGAAATGGTAATGTCCCCAAATATCTACTTTTACAAGAGTAGATGAAGATACAGAAGTTACAATAAAATCAGTTGCAAATATCTCAAAGCCTATAATTTAACACAGATGTGGCTTTTGGAAAGTTTTTGTATCATCCGTTTTTTCTTGCCAGTTTCTTTCTTTCTTTCTTCTCTTTTTTAATATCTTTATTTATTTATTTTTTAATGTGGTGCTAAGGATCAAACCCAGTGCCTCACGCATGCCAGGCAAGCAAGCTACCACTTGAGCCACATCCCGGTTTCTTTTTAAGATATACAATGTTAAGAATAAAATGTTGCGTAAGTATCAGATACTGGTAACTGGCTTCTATTGAAGCAAAATTGTATGATGTATCACATTCTGAAACTTCTTTCTCATCAAATTATATCCTCTAGGGAAAAGTATGAAGATTGACTATAGGATCATACCCCTGTTCTCTCTTCCTGTGTTTCTCTCCTGCATCACTAAGAGATAATTTGTGTCTAGAGAAAATGTTTCTAATGGAGAAACATTGTCATAATAAAGAAAAATTACTATGCATTAAATTACAAAAATGTAAGACACTGAATTGTAATAGTAAGATTTTCAGTTGTAAAAAACAGTATAACTTTTACTACTTTGTGGATATTATTAGAATTTTGTCATACCTTCTAGAACCGCAGAAAACTTCTTGCCAATGACCCGATCCTTGCATGTCTTTGCTGTCACGGTACCACAAGGTTCATAATGCCAGCTGCATTCCCCAGGTGCGTTGTAGTAATCACAGTAGACAGCTACGATTTAATTATATCAAATTACTTTTCTTCATCATCTGACAATTTCAGTTTCTAAAGCACTTTTGAAAGGGATCTTGGATAATATTAACAATAAACAGACCTCAAATGTATCACTCTGTCTTACCAAGTTCCTTTGGCTTTACCTAAATTGCCATATAAACCCAAACAGCTCATTTAAAAAAGGAAGGAGCTTATAGACTCAAATGACTTCTTTCCTTTAGCATCACACCAAGATTGGTTTGAGATGCAAACATAAGCATTCACTTTTTTCCCATTTGGAGATATTTTAGATAGTACGTTTAAATTTATGGTTTTAATATTCAACTTAAGTTTGGAAAAATAAATCTGTGGGAAAATTAAGGTTTTAAATTATGTGAGTAAAAGTTCCTAATTGAGGTAACTAAAGATGCCAATATAATATAATGCTGCACACTGTAAACTGAATAAAACGAGGATTCTTTTTTTGATACTTCTCTTTGGTTATATTCTCTCTCATAATGTCTTGCTTAGAGTGAAAAGAATTGACTGACTACTGTCAAGTTCCATAGATATGAAGACTCATTCATTCTATATTCAATTTATAGTTCATCTTAGCTCTATGAAAGTTTTCAAGGAAACAAGACATGTAGAGATTTCAACAAAAATTAGCATATGAGGTAGATGTTTAGGATTACATACATATACCAAGATAAGAAAACAGTGTATTGCTCATCTAAATATGAATATGAGGGATTTTTTTTTAATCAGTATTCAACTTTTTCCTCTGTAAACAAGAATTTTTGAAACTAATATTGAATTGAAATGCTATGCCAGTTGCTATATTTTTGAAGTATTTTCTACAATAAATAAATGTATTAACATGTTTTTAAGCATTTCTTGGTTCAACATAGAAAATATGAGAAGTAGATAGACTGTTCAACAGAATGAAAACATAACTAGATAAAACCAAAGAACCACCACATGGACCTGACTTACGACAGAGGTTCGGCTTTCTCCAGGAGACGCAGACTCCAGCTGCACTGCATGCCTCTGCATACATTGCTACCGCAGTACAAAAGCCCTGGTACTTCCCCTCCATGTCACATGCACAGGCTTCTTCAATGCATGCTTCATAGTAAGCATTGGGGTCAACCTAGGCAGAGCACAGAACATGAGCATCTGGGAAAAAAACCCATATAAACTGTTGCTTTCAGAGCAGGGCTACCTTGCTGTGGCAGTCAGTGAAGGTGCTGTCTCTGATGATCTCACATTTCCGTACAGCCCAGGCTTTGCAGTATGGGTTTGAGTCACATGGGAAACTCTGAGTTACTGTGTCGGAACATTCCTGACTTGTTTTCCAACTATTTCCAAATTCCAGTGCTCCAGTAGCCACTGATGAGTACCTTGTTGTGAAATCATCTTTGAGGTCCCCATTGTTATTTCCACAAAGACCACATACTTTGCCCTGTGTTGAGAAGAAAGGGAAATTTAGAGATGATTTATATTAGGTACATAGAGATGGAGAGAGATATACACTATATCATAAACCTGCTAAATTCCAAATTTTGGAAGACAATCAGAATTTATGGAAAAGATTTTGCTACCATTGAATCTGAGGTATATCATACTACAAAATGATCTAGTATCAAGAAGAATAAATGCATTAGGAATGAAAGCAATTTTATTTGTGAGTTTCAAGTTATTCATCCATCTACTCTCAGGTTCTTAGAATATTTGCTTCAAGGAACACATTTCATTCAAAATACACACCTACCTCAAAATCATATTATGTGATTCTCTCAAGCAACCAAATATGGTTAAACTAGATTTTTTCAGGTTTATTGCATTTACCATGTTATCAGATTTCATCATTTTTTATTGTGTTTCTTATTTTGTATAAGATTGAAGAGGTGTGGAGGGCTTACTACTTAACACAGACTCCACTAATGTCCCACTCCCCACTTGTGAATACCTGCCTCTGAGTTTCATAACAGAAATGAATTTGCTTCCCCCTTGATCACTTCTTGGTAACACACATACTTGCCACTGTGGATCCAGTAAAACAGAGATTCTTGTGTTTTTGTCCCAAATCAGGCTCATTCCATTTTGAAGTTTCAGAATCAAGTACAAGCCCACAGTATGTACAGAGTAGGCATTTTCGCTGAGTTCACATTCTTTACTCTCTGTAGTTTTGACTGTTGTGACTTTCCCATCTTGTAAGACAATATTCTGATCCTAAAAATGAAAAAAAAAATAGACTTAGAGTAACAGTTTCATTTGGATGTTCATAGTCTAAGAGAAAAAGCAAATGAAGAGAAATAGTTCTGTACCTTAAAGGCAACTATGATTTTCCTTGAGCAGGTAAGCCCATCTTCACAGCAAGGGACACTCTCAGTTAAAATACGGAATGTGCCGTTTTCTTGACCACAGTAATCCTTGAAAAGTGATATTATTGAAATAGTTTATGAGACAAAGAACTCAACTGCAATATTGGTATCACACAATTGTTTCTTAAAGAACAATTCCTTAAACTCAATAAATCACTGTATATATCACAGATATAAAACTATACACATTAAGAGGTTAAGAAATGTGCCCAAAGTTACACTTTTGTGATATGGAATTTCCAAAATACAATGATATAACTGCATTTATGGATAACCTTCTCTGACTCAGTCCTCTTTCCATTACTTCCACAATGGTTTAGAATTATACCATAAATGTATAAGTATTTAAACCATGTGTTTGTAATAATTGATTTATTTCTAGGCTGTGTAAATAGCTAAAATGAGCTTTTCTTCCTCAGTGACTTATATAAAACTTGATATTCAATCAAAACTAGCATATAAATACAAAAAAATCAAAATTTCAACCATTAGATGTTACTGAGGAAGCAGCTTAATTGTAAAAAGCATGAACTCTGGAATGAGATTTTTTATTGTTGAGTATATTTTCTCTTAGTTACTTAATCACTTTAAACTTGATTTCTTCATCTGCATCACAGGGATATGAATAGTCTTGAGTATTATAATTATTAACAGCAATAAAATATGTAAATGTGCCTGGCAAAGAAGTCCTTATAAAATAGTAGCTGTCATTGCTTCTACTGCTGTCATTAGAAAAATACCTAACTTTTGAAGCACTTCACATTTTTGCTCTCATTTAGTTTCAAAAAGGGGCTATTTCTGTGCATACTTTATAGATATACAACTACACACATTAAGAGGCTAAGAAATGTGCCCAAATTAAAAATCTGATTAATAGCAGAGTAGGCTGAAATCTTAGGCTGGACTCCAGAATCAGCATTATAATGTGTCATAGTTTACTGGCTTCTAGAAGCTTGTAAGCGGCCTTTTTCAATTTTTTCCCATTTTGAAAATAAAATTTTCCTGAACTCATCTACAAATGAACAAAGTACAGAAAAGTTATCACAAAACACATCAATAATTACCTCAAGGAATGAATACTGGCAGAGACCATCAAAGCTGTAACTTTTCCCATCAAAAGTTCTAATATGACCTTCCCCATAGATGTGGCAGGTGGTCTGACATTCATTTTGTGTGCAATTCCAAGATCCTTTTATACAAGTACTAAAAGGAGAAAAATTAATGTGATAATTATAATATGCCAGGATTCGTTTACTTATATTGTTTTTGTAAAGAGGCACCAACTAATGTTTCATTTTTACTTAAGTTTTAGAGTTGTCTTCATATATTATCTGAATATCATTATACATAGTGCTTTACAATGTTTCTATATTTAAAAAAGTAGCATCTTTTTCTAACTGCATTTGGACATTGCTTTCTTAAATATCACAAGGTCTGACTACTCTTTCCCAGGAAAACTAAGAACACATTGTATATTTTATAACATCCAAAATAAAAATAGTAATCCCTTATTACACACCATTCATTGCAGCCAACCGAAGTGACACTTCCTTGGTCATATTCTCGTTCCCCAAAAGAGCATGGGCAATCATCAGGAAAGACACACTTCCCTTTAGAATTTCTAACCATCCCAACTGGACAGTAGCACCCACGTTTGCAAGGCAAGTTCTCCTACAGAAATAAATTTTTAAAAATATACCATGAGACAATGTTGTGATCAGGTCAAATAATCAGTATCAGTTTAAATATATAAATATACCAAGTATATTTTTGAGGTCAATATCTTACCATTCAAAATAACATACACATACACAAAACTTGTCCTTCTAATTATTTTTTCTTAAAAATTTAAATTTCCTTCTGCCCTAAAACAATAAAACTCTAAAAGGCAAATGTGCAATGCCATATTACTTACATCAAAAGCAGGTATGTTCCAAGTGGAACATGTTTTATCAGTTCTTCTCTGTGCCTTGGGATCACTGCAGTCTACATACTCAGCCCCTCCAGAACAATTTTCTGCAAGATAAAGGAAGTTGTTTATTAATCAGTTTATTTTAGCCACAGTAGATATTTTAGGCTTGTACCATAGCTTCAGCACTTACGTAGGGTTAAATTGATGGGAATTTGGCAAAGAAGAACTCCCTCCTGACAGACACTGGAAAGAAAAGAAAATTATACATTTAAACATTAAATTCCAAGGACAATTATATGAATGAAACAGTCTCTTATAAGTACTAGAGGAATCTACAAACTTCTATGGACATCAGACAAAAGGTTGTCTGGATCTTAAGGGATAAAAGTCAACAGATACTACTGACAAAAAGCAAAACTGTGACAAGAAAGAACAAGATAAGTTTCATGAGGCATGTTTGGGTTAAAAAATAGAATGCACAATGGATAACCTGAATAGGGTAGAGGTGAAGGGAACCGTAGTTTAGGGGCACTAGCCTAAATTTCTCTAAATAGTTAATCTCTTGATTCCCCCAACAATAGAAGGAAAGAAAGTATTATTACAAAACTCCAACAAATGTTTATGAATTCTGATGGAAGAGATACTTATTCTTCCCTTTGGAATGGCCAAGAAAAATCTTTTGTTGTTAAATGATAGCTTCATGAAACTAAAGAGAGAAGCCATGTCCAAAGTTGTTTGAAAAGACTACTTCATTCTTGCAAGTTATGCTGACAAGAATTCCTAGTTCATCTATGGAATAGGAAATATGGATAAATTACTTAATTTCAAACAGCAGAGATCAGTCTCCTCAGCCATTATAATACAGTAAAAATTGTTAACTCTTCAGGAACTGTCTAAATTCCTGAGTATGGTCTAATCATGTTTCTAACCCTAACCTATGCTACAACCCACATGGGAAAAACTTCTTGTTCTGTTTAATCTACAGAAAATAATTTTCCACATCTCAGGTTTTTTTCTGGAAAAAGATTTAGCCTTGGGAAGACCTCAAATGACAGTTTTTGTTTTGTTTTGTTTTTGTGGGAGGATGTCCTTCAATGCCTCAGCTAATGGCTGGCATCTTCTACTCTGTCTTACAATACACAAACATCATTTTAACATTCTGCTAACTTTGAGTCCAAGACAGTGTTCACACTGTTTTTTGTTGTTGTTGTTGTTTTTTTTTTTTTTTTTTTTTTTTTGGGGGGGGGGGCGGTAATTCAAGCACTTAGCATAAGGCTAGCACTTACTATGGGTTTGCTGGATGACATCTGCTAAACGACCCCTAGGAAGCATTGAACATGAAATCATCTTGCATTGTCTATTTATAGGAAATGCTAGGATATGTTTCTACTGGTGTTTAAAACCAAACCAGAGTAGGGTAAACTATGTATGGTCTCCAGAACAAAACAGGCAAAAGTTAACTTTGATAAGAAATGAAGAATGAAGCTAGCCTAAAGACTTCACACTAGCAACCGGCTCTCTGAAGAAAATACAATATCTTGATTTCAATGACATAATAAGAATACGTGCAATCTCCATACCATTTATTGTCATCAATTTGGATGGTTTTGTCTGGTTGTACAACCTCATCATTTATGTAGCAGTCACATTGAGATTTCTGAACACAGTTCCCTTCATTATTCTGGTATGTTCCGTCTGGGCAAGTACATCCATCAACTGGAATATCTTCTACATCACAGCTCCTATCTCTCTCTGACAATGATCGGCAAGAACTATTGCAGGCTTTTACATTGTATTTGAAAACTAGGCCACTTGGACAAGATTGTTCTGTAGGTAGAGAAAAAAAAATAACAAATATGCATCTGTCCAGAGGGGAAAAAGGGTACACATATATATGTCAATATTATAGTGAAAGAAGCATAATTGTGTTTATGAATCAAAAGGAGTGCTTATTCATTGGTTTTTTTCACTTTGTTTTTAGTCAATATTGAGTTCCTACTGTATATTTAAAGATTCTGCTGGGAATATCCTCCACCAGGATAGTAAACACACTTCCCTCCTATGGCTTACATTCCTGTTAAAAAGAAAATGTGTTCATTCAATGATGAATACAGATGAGCAGCACTAAGTGTTTATAGCTGGAGATTTCCACTAAGGGAAGAGGGGATAGCTGAATAGCAGGAAGGCAACCCAGAGAGAGGTAAATATATATATGGGGAATAGCCTATGTGAGAAAAGAGGATCATTCTTTCAAAGAATCCATAGAAGGACAGAAGCTGTATAATTCCAGGGACAGAATCAATGTTTCGAACTCACAGGGACTACTACATGGTTAGTTTTTAGTCTTAGAACTATGATAATCCATTGACTTGATTTTCACTGGAGTGTTCTATGATAATTTACTTTTACTTGGTTTTATTTTCAAGATTAACCTGGTTTCTAAATAGAAAATGAATTAGAAGCAGCCAAGGCTAGATACTGAAGGAGGCCTTTGCAATAATCCAAAAGAATAAATGGTGGTTTCTTGAATTACATGGTGGCAATAGAGGTGAAAAGATGTGATAAGATTTTATAGGTGACTAACCCTATCAATTAACTGGTTGTGGACTATGAGGTGTTAAGCATAACCTATAAGACAGGTTTCAATGTAGTTTGTTTTTGTTTTTTCCTTTTGGTAAATCAAGTATTATAGTGAAGTCATAATCATCGAGTAACAACAAATATTTTAAAACAAAATACATGTTTATAAATATGATAGTTGAGCCCCTGGCTTACAAATATTTTTCAAAATAAATTATTATTATTATTATTATATCATTTCAAAATAATAGTTAATATATTATTTAAATTTTAGCATACTGTTGAAAAAGATTACTACATAGTCTATTTGATTTATATATAAATATATTAAAGATGAGTAATGATGTCAAAATTCAAGGATTGCTCAATGATATTAAAAACAAAGAAACATTTTTTAAAAGAACCAAGGACAGTTTGAAAGTACATGTGCCTAAACCATACCTTCTATTTCACTTTCTCTCTCTCTCTCTCTCTCTCTCTCTCTCTCACACACACACACACACACACACACACACACACTCAGATACACAGAATGAAGTGAAACTGAGAAGGAAGTCATTATCTGAAGCCACCATCCCACTTACCACAGCGTCCTGTTCTCCATCCATCTAAGTGTGTTTCCTTCTCAGCACAAGCTTTCACATAGTTGCCTAAAATCGTACACAGGCAGTCCTGACTCTTTTCACAAGAGCAAGTGTATTTTTTGCATTCCTTTAAAATTAAAAAACAGTTACATTTCATTTTAAAATCATTCGAAAGAACAGGCAAACTGGATGTAAAAAATCAGCTCATAACCATTCCTTTGCCCTGAAAGAATTATGACTTTGAAATATTTTGGAAAAATTTTAAAATATTCTAAAAGCAAATTAATTAGTAATACACTTATCAAAGAACTTAGAAAAAGAAAATCTTATCCAAGATTTTTATCATTTGGGGTTATTTTCCAGTACTACATTTTTTCTAAATTAATATATCTAAAATTTGAATAAATTAATGGAATCTAAACTTAAATTTAACTATATACTTAATCTATTGACAATAGCTATTACTAGAGAAAGTTTAAGATCTACATGTTTTTCTTGGTATCAACAAAATATTTCTCAAAAAGGGCTCTTAATGTTAACCCTCATACCTCATGATAGAATTTAGGGTTCACAATTGAATGGCAGGAAGCAAAAGGCCCACTTGAATCAAGAAGAATTTCACAGTTACTTTCAGCAAACTTTTCTGGAAAGAAAGAAATGCACACAAAATTGTCACCAATAACATCATAATTTCCTTAATTGAAAGAAAAGATATAAATTTTAGGAGTTTTGTCTTTATTAAAACAATTGGGGTTTTTTAATATTTATTTTTTAGTTTTAGGTGGATACAATATCTTTATTTTTATGTGGCGCTGAAGATCAAACCCAGGGCCTCATGCATGCTAAGTGAGCACTCTACCACTGAGCCACAACCCCAAGCCCTAATTGTATTTTTCAAGTATTTTGCTATGTTAAATCTAATATTCAAAAATACCATGATATGATTAAAGCATCTTACATAAAAAGGCAGAATCTTTATTAGCTTTGTATATTTTTATTAATTTATTTAACCTTTCTCTGAAATGCAGTTTCTACATAAAAATTGTAATAATGGGACCAGATTATAAATTTAGGTGACTTTAAATTTTAAAATGTAGATTAATGACTAACTTGTGGCAAATCAGAAAATGAAAGAACCATAACACCCCTTCCCCCAACCTGTCACCCCAGAATGCCTTATCCGTTTTTCTGAAGATCACACATTAGGATGACCAGTATCAATAATTCAAATTCACTAATTGAATTTTTTTGAAATGTGCTTAATTGATATTTGTTGATTTATAAATAATAAAGCTAATACTAAATTAACAAAAATTCATAAAAATATCATCTGAATGACAAATACTTTGCTTAATGAATTTTCAGCAACAAAGAAAGCTGAATCTATTTAAGACATTGAAACTAATTTCTCAAATTCTAACAAATTGGTAACTATTTTATTTAAATATTACTAACAGCTTATTAAAGTTCAATTTAATTTTGTGTTTATGTTGTTAAAATATAAAACACTGAAATTTAAATCAATTTATACATCTATTCAAAGTGCAGGCATGCAGTCTACTTAATATAAATCTGCTTGGTTTCTTATAAGATATGTACTTTTGTGTATTCTCATTATAATTATTTTCATTGCAATAGCCCCCAAAAACAATATAACATGACAAAACCTTGAAATATGCATTACCATGTTTACACTAATGCTCCTAAAATTAGTAGATAAAATTTTCAAAAGTGATTGTTTTATAATAATTTTAAAATATTATTATAAGCTGATTAAACTTTGTTTCAAATACATGGATTTATTTAGAAACCACTAATTAACATGTCAATATATTTTAACAGCTTCCATTGTATTCCTTATTCACGAAAGAAGCAACATAAAGCATTAATGGAAATCAACAATTCTAGGGAGCAATGAAAGCATGACTTGGATTTAAAATACCTGGATCATAACTTCATCTGTAATCCTTATTCATAATACACTCTCTGAGCTCCATTATCAATATCTACATTAGGAAGGATAACCCACCCCCACTCTGTGTCCTTCATGAGTATTTTTACAGAAATAAATTGGGTTAATATAAATGAAAATATTCTGGTAAACTGAAACGCAGGCTGAGTCATACAAGTTAAAATTTTATTACAATCTATAATTGAGGTTTGGTATTACTTATACCAATGAGAGAAGGGATAGGACACAACTCTAAAGCGACTAAATCATTTTTTGTGTTGAATTCATTTTAATCAATGACTATTTCCACCACTCAATTAAAGAAAGGAAAATTACAACTAAATTATCTCAAAATTATCTCTAACCCTATTATTCTATAATTATTTTTAAAAACTATGCAAGAAAGAAAAACATAATAGATTAACCCCCCATGAAATTGAGTTTTCTAGGAGCATTTCAGTCAGACGGCTTCTCTACTGTTTCCTCCAGAACCAGATCAACATAACAAACATTAGCTAAAGCCAGGATTATCTGATGAATTCATTATCATCAGGATAAACACATAATGCTACAACCAAATATTTAATTGCAGATTAGATGTTAAGTTAATAGTACCTTTTTCTATACTGATACATGAAGAAGGGTTTCCTTTAGGACAGGGCATCATTTCCCAAGAACTAGCAAATGCCTGAGAGGTCTTCTCCAATATATTCTGACTTGACATGTAATCATCCTCAGCTTTGTTGTTGTAGGAACCACAGAGTCCTGTATTATAATCATAGCAGAAACAAAGTTTAACATCTCACCTACTCAAGGTTTTGGATGCACATCCTCATTTTATTTCTTTGCTTATATCAAAATCTGAGCAAGCTACCTGAAAACACATTTGTTTAGACTTTATAAATATAAGTAAAATATTATGACAGATTTCATTCAAATTTCCTTTCAAATCCTAGAGCACTGAAACACCATTTGCCTTGTTATACTGTGTTTTTTTCTGTTTGTCACTGAAGCTTTATCACTTTTGACAATGCTTAGTAGGAAGTATGCTTACAAGTAGAAAGTTTATGATTGCACCATTTTTATGGTATTAGTGCACAGAGAGAAACTACATCAAGGGCTATGTGCCAGTCTTACCTAGATCCTTCTGACCCATTTGTTACACATTTTTCTCCGTGCAAATAAGTTAGTGTCTCATGGAATGGTATCTCTCAAAAGTTTGTATCATTTATAAATTAATAGCTCTTTGTGGGGCATTTCATCATTGTTTTGCTTGTTGTGTTAAATATCCACGACTAAATTTAACATCTGATTATAAAAAACCTCAGTGAAATAAATGACTATTATGTTTTGGATCTATAAAGTCCTCCAATGAAGAAATGTTCAGAGGTGAGGATTTAGGGAAGTGGGACTCTGACCAACAGTTTAATCCAGTTAGATTCACAGCTGAATGGCATCAGTGGGAGTTGATGGAAATTGTAGGAGGTAAGGCCTCATTGGAGGAAGTAGATCACTGCAGGGGCATGGCCTCAAAGGGTATTTCTAGTCTCCAGCTCCTTCCTCATGATCTGTCTTTTGCTCCCTCTCTGTGCTTTCTAACTACCATAAGGTAAGCAGCTTTCTTCCACCACACCCTTCCACCATGATGTTCTCTCTCATCTCAGGCCCCAAACAATAGAGCCAGTGGACCATGAACTGAAATCATGAGCCAAAGTAAATCTTTCCTTCTCTAAGTTGTGTTCCTGAGGTAGTTTGTCCCAGAGATGAAAAGATGACTAACACAATAACCATGTGATCTATCAGAAAGACAAATAACAGTGCCACCTGTATTTAAAATAAAATTTTCAAAAATTTTAATATCAACAATATTTTCATTTATTCAAATACAGGTCAAAATCTTAGTAATGTATAGTACTAGTAAAGTAGGATGTAACATTATCAAATCTTACCTAAATAGAAGTCTTAGTTTGAAATCTTTAAAATATTTAAATTATTGAAAAACCTCTCAGGAATATATTTTATGATAAATAAAGTTGTCTTTACTGTGGAAAGACAGTTGGAATGCTTTAAATTTAGAATCCTTAATTGAGAGGGAACCTCAAATTAAATAAACAACAGTCATATTAGAGCCCTGTAAATAAAAATATATCCAGAGGACTTACCTACAGTATCTGTGAACTGGTTGGGTGGCATGGAAATATATAATTGCATTACAGGAACAATTTGTACTTGCATTTTTATATGAGAGTCTGTTTGTACTTGAATATATGAAGTAGATTCTTTGAAGATCTGTATTTTATCTGTTAAAAGAATTATTGAAAAAATAGTTACCATATTAAGCAGCTTTAAATATCTTAGAATTGTTTAAGACCTCTTAAAAACACAACTATTTAATATCTTAAAAACTAAATAAATGAAACTTGCACTTATTTTAAACTGCTATTATGAAACTTACCTGAATAGTAGTAACCTCGATTTCTAACCATGTCACTTGTCACTGTTCCATCACTATTGATTGTGAATTTGTCAACTGAAACAGACTAATGTTTAAAACAATTTGTTAGTTTACATTAATTTACAATATTAATTTTAATGCAATATATAGATTTTAATTTTGTGCTATAAAACATGTTTAAATTTATAGGATTAATTTACAAATACCTAAAATACAGAATATTTTCAAAGTGTCTCATACTTGGCTTCATTTCTTCTCATACCAACTCTATACATAGAGATTATAAAGGAATCTTCATTCCCCAGGTATAAATAAGGAAACCAAACACCAAGAAGGTCACTTGGATATCCAAAGTTCCAACAGTTTGCAAATGCCAAATAAGGGCTAGTTGTCTTCCCTTCCAATTCAGGTCTTTTTCCACTTACAATGTTGGTTCTAGATACACAAAATTCTAAACATATGCCATTGTCTTTTTTCTTAAATGGTCCACAGAGTCTAATGATCCAAGGAACACATAATGACACCTGAATTAGTATATAATTATGTATTTATAGTAATTTTAATATAGTTCAGGACCTTGGAACTATCCAGCTATTTCACAGACTTTATCAGCTTTCTATGAAAACTTATTTATGATTTTAGTTTATATAGTAAAGCCTTTCTTCAAACTCAAAAATTTTAATTTGTGAAGTTATTTGTCTGATTTTACTCTAAGTCTTAGGAAACTGGTTACTTACAGAATTCAAGGCAAGTGTGACACTATTTAAGCACGTTCCCGTCTGACCGGTTTTACATGGACGAAGTTCAACACTAACAGACCAATCTTTATCCTGTTAAAAAATATTAAAATGGTTATTTAAATGTTATTTATTATATGCTATTATTGTACAATTGATTCACAATGAATATTTGAATTTTAAATATACCCATTTTCTACTACAATTAATCTGCCCTGGAAATAGAAACTTAATTTAGTTCACAGTACAATCTCAGGAATAGCCAAGAATTTTGTAGATGGTCCAAGTATCTTGGGTAAGCTTTGTCTGTGTAGTCTAGAAATAATGAGTTTTCATAGTCAACATTTTTTTTTCTTTTACCTTTACTCTTTGTCTTCTCCTCAAAGGGAATTGTGCTGCTCTATAAGGATTATTAGAATTAGAACTAAAGTAACTTTTTATTCTCTGGACAGTGCACATTGTCTGAATTTAATGTGACAGGTATTTAACTAGTAAAACCAAAATGTAAGTCATGTCTAGGCACCTCTAATATATAAGAAACACATACTTTGACATATTTCTCTTATACTTTCTTCATCCTCAGTCCTCATGGATTAAAAGAAGACAGATATAAAAAGAAGGAAAAATAAATTATGCTGATAGGCAATCAGGAAGCTTTATTTTAGAAAACAGACTACGAGTAAGCAGCGACTACGTTTTTCAAATTACTGGATATTATTTCATTTCTTACCAGAAATATTAAGTACCATTACCGAGTCTCATGTCAACTAAAGGTGTAAACTGCAAAAATGGAATCACCCATTTGTTAAAATTGAGATAATGTAATCTTTTAATAAGGAAAGCCTGCTTATCATGCTGGTTCTACTGCATTATCAAAAATAAAAATAAGTATAAAGGAATAACAATGACAGAGGAAGAATGCTTCATGGCATGTAAAGATTGATTCATTTAAAACACTGGAGAATACATATCACAGAGTAAAAGAGTGAAGTAATTCTCCAATGTGCTTAGAATATTTTAACTGAATTAGAGGGTTGGTTTTTTTTTTCCAGCAATGAATTTTCAGAGAATACTGATTCAATATTGACAAGTAATACTACCAATATCAATATGTGACAGAAATAGATATTGAAATATATAACCAGTAACTAGAAGATGTTTATTTCTTTTTGTAATGTAGTAATTCAATGTGAAGATTGTATTTTAACTGAGAAATAGCTCAGTGTCTACATCGGTTTTCTCAAGTATTCTATGCTGTTACATACATGGATGGCCAAGAAGTGACAGTTTCCAGGATGGTTGTATTTATTTCCATCAAAAGTGGTAACTAAACTTCCTTCCACCTTACATCTTCCAGGACACGAGGCCTCAGTGCAAGACCACTTTGCATCTTGGCACGTGCTGTTAAAAGACAATGGTTATGTTAAAGGTCATCAATAGTTGTCTCAATGCAGAAGTATCACAACATTAAATATCACCTCTTAAGCTAAAACATTCGATTAATCTTTATTAAATCAGTATTCCCCACCCAAAATCTCAGCTGTCATAAAATGCCACATCTATAGAAGTATCTGGAAATTTTATTTATAAAATAAATAAAAACTAAATAGAAGTAAGTTTATGTACTTCCATTTCTTTGACTAAAATGATAACTTCTGCATGGATTAAACATAAAAACTTGCATATTAGATTTCAGGGGTTTGTTCACATGGAATACATTTCATTGTTAATATCAAAACACTAGCTACAAGCTATAGTATAGATTTGCACTGTCCAATAGAGACACAAAAATAGTGAACTTTTAAAATGTAGCAAATCCAAATTGAGATCCACTGTAAATATAAACTGCACACAGATTTTGAACACAATGTGAAAAACAATTATAAATTATTATTTTATTTCAATTTCATATTTAAATGATAATATTTTGGATATATTTGGTTATAGAAAACACATTAAAATTAATTCTAACTTTGTTTTTGCTCTCAAACTGTTATCAATTAACGTCTATTAAATTATATATGTGCACTACATCTGTGGCTCACATTATACTTCTCAGGCAGCACTGTTTTAGTCTCAATAAGTCAAAGCTTTTGTTATTCATAATCATTATTAATATACTATAATAACAAAGTATGTCCTATTTATACAGAAAATATAATAGTATAAAGAATTGATTTTTTTCATTGATTCAGATTATTTTCATGCAAGGACACAATATATTTCTAGAAAAGCCCTTTGCAGTCTTGCAGAGAAAAATCATAAAGAGGTATGGGGAAACCTCACCAGTCATCATATTATTGCTGAGCTCAAAAAAAAGAAGATTCAAACTGAGTATTTAACAGATGAATAATCTATATTAACTTTTGACAAATTAAAATTCATATTGGACTAATTATACTACTTATCTTCACCAAGGTAGTCTATATAAAAATTATTTGAAAAGCATTCAGTTGTTTATGGTTTTATAATTTACTAAAAATGTGAAGAATATTCTTATAAAGAAACGTGAAGAAGCAAACAAAAAAGAGACACACACACAGAGTGCAGAGGAAAGAAGACAAAGTGGCCGCTCCTCTCCACGACCATGTTTATTAACCCAAAAAAGTTACATAGCTCCCATTACCATGACTACATTCTAACTAGCATTCCTTTAACCCCATATGCTACCTAACTGAGATAAGGTCCAGGTTAATACAAACACACAGCCCCTTTTCTCCAAGGACATTACCATAGAAACCAGAAAGTGCACCTGCATAGTTATCCTAATACCTTCAAGGGGAAACTGCTGAACATTCCTATTGTGAAAAGGAGTTTGCTCACTGGGGGAACACTTCCCTGCATATTTCCACAGTATTTTTATGTAGAATACCTACATAAAAAGTCTTATCAAAATGAGTATTATTTCTTTAATGTAATTGAACTTTTATGCTCTGCTTTATATTTGCAATTATCAAGTGATTTACCATTCAAAACATTATTTCAGTTAGTAAATAACATTCACTCAAAGATATACAGAAAGTATACAGTATACGTGTGTGTATATCTATATGTGTACGTATGTGTGTGTATGTGTATGTGTGTATGTGTGTGTGTGTGTGTGTGTGTGTGTGTGTGTGTATATATATATATATGGTAAAGTGCCCTTGAGTTCAAAATCTCCCCTGTAACCCCTACTTTATATATATGGTAAAGTGCCCTTGAGTTAAAATCTCCCCTGTAACCCCTACTACATAGGGATTACAGGGGAGATACACTTTTCCATTAGATTCACAGGGACAACTATCCTTTAGTATATGTAGTAGGGGTTATAGGGGAGATTTGAACTCAAGGGCACTTTAATTATATATATATATATATATATATATATATATATATATATATATACACACACACACATACACACACATTTAATTATTCTATATATATATTTTTTTTAACTCCAGGGCACTTTACCATTGACCACTGAACCACATCCTCAGTCATCTTTCATTTTTTTTATTTTGAGACAGGGCCTCACTATTTTACTGAGGCTGGCCACCAACTGGTGATCATCCTGCCTCAGTCTCCTGAGCCTCAAGAATACAGGCAAGTCCCACCATGCCAGCCTTATATTTTATAATAAAAAAAAACATAATAAGCCTTTCTAAACACACTAACACACACACACACACACACACACACAATGCCATGAGAATTCTGTTTCTTTCTGAAGTTTATTTTAAGAGTCATTTTGGGACTTTTTTCTCAAATTAGATAAAATATTGGTATTACTTTACCGTCAATAAAATGTAGACAGAAAACTCATACATACCACTGAGAACCACAAGGACCTTCTCGGACTTCTCCTGGCTGATACACTTTTCCATTAGATTCACAGGGACAACTATCCTTTAGTACACATTTTCCTTTCTCTCCAATATCATCCAATAGATAACCTAGAATACATTATATAAGTTAATTAAAAATTATATAAACATCAGCAAATTGTTCAGTAGTGTGTTGTAAAGCCATCCTGAACTAGTTCTCCCAAGTGTAAACATACAATGAAAATGGTAATTTCTTGTGTAAGCAATTCCTCCTTATCTGAACTGGCAAGAAGATAGATAACAAATTTCTGAGTTTGCATTACTGCTCTAGAGACCACAGTTGAGTCCAACATAGGACTAGAGAATATCGTGTGATATATGGGAGCCCTCAGGGATGGTAAAAATGGAAATACATTAGCTTTAGAAGTCTCTCTAATCCTCCTTTGTACTTTGCTAGGAGGATAGATTAGGAGTAGCTGAGTTGGGGGATATCTTGTTGCAAACAAGAAAACACTATCCTGAGCCACTTTGTTTTCAGATGTTTTAGTGAACACTCTCTCACACAGGTATATTACCTTCTGGGCAGGTGCAGCCACTCACACATTCACCGTCTTGAAAAGGAGCCACATTAGAACAAGTTGCAGGATTTGAGGGTCCACATTCTTTGTAGATATAACTTTCTGGGCATGCATGCTTTTCTGCAGATATGTAGGAAAATGGATACATGTAAATTAAAGGAAATTAATAATATGTTAATGAGCAGATTATTACATGGGACTGAGTCTAATTTTCAAGATAAAAATCAATCTTTTAAGATAACACACCTAAAATATGCCAATTCCTTACACAATATTTTATGGTATGGTATTTGATTTAGAGGTAATATATGTTGTACATAATTTTATTTCATCTCAAGTTGAAATTTCTATTCTACTTGTATTATAAGGATGGACCTAAACAAAAGTGTAAACTAAATTTATTTACATGAAATTGTTATTTGTTTTATTAGTCTTTTGAAATAAAAATCATAGCACTAATCTGTGTATTTGCACATTTTCCCCAGGACTTTTCACCAAAGCCTATGAAATTCCTAATTAAGCTCTCAACTCAAAGCACTGTGACTTGAGGCAGGTCATATCACAAAGCCGAGTTTCCTCAGAAACACACATCGGAGGCAGGACTTCTGCGTCTCTGATCCCTCTTAGGGCTTAGAATCACTTGAGAAAATACTTGGAAATATAGCTTAACTTTATAGTGCTATGGGAACTTTATTTATTCATGGTCTACAACAGAGTTTAAAAAGCCTACCACAAACTACATCAGAATCCTCTCTCCAGTTTTCAAAGATGCCAGGCCCATCCGAGGCACAGAGACGGGACAATTCTGAGTAAGTGTCACACGTAGAATTTTTGTCTCCATTTTGGCAGTACTCATCAATGCAGACTTTCTTGTAGCCATTGGATACAGTGGCAACTTTTTCACATTTCTCAAAGTAGGTTCCAATAACTTTGTTACAGTACTACAAAACAAAGTACAGTGTTTTATTAAAACATAAGAAAAACGGGAGATAAAATGAATTTGTAGAAAAAGATACATACAGAAGTTTGATCTTATTTTGGATAATATGTCATGGCTTTGACAGAAGGGGTTGTTGAATACTAATTAAAATTTTTACATATTTTAGTAGGTAAGATGATTCCTGCAAGAAGGCTTCACCTCTGGCATTTCAGATTACTATGTAATGGCTTTAAGTTCATTGTATTTAAATGTATTCAGATGTCTGACAGTGAGATGAATCTTAGAACTTGAGAAAATAGAATAGTAGAAGAGAGATTGGTCAACGCCAAAGAGTGTAGAATGTTAACTGATGGAACACTACCATATTCAGAAAAGATATTGTCCCTTTACCTGTTAATCTGCTTATATTTTATGAGCAAACAGAAGACCATAAAATGTACTGACTTTCTTGGTGGGAGCCATGGGAGTTCTCTGAAAATAATATTTGTTTCTATGTCAATAAATGGAGTAAAGATATATATTATTGAACTAAAAAAAAGTTCAGATTTCAACATATTTCAACAACCACATAGCTTTTTTATATTTTAACAATGTTTTCAGAGACACACAAAATTTCCTGTCAAACAAATATATAATTTGCACTAATTAGGCCCAAGGAAGGCTGATAACATTCTCCAAATAAGGTATAAAATATGAAAAATAAAATCATTAAAGTTTACTTTTTAAATCTATTATCCTTTGTGCATCTTTCTCACTGGAGCATAGGGTTTGTTAGGGAGAGAAATAGTAACTTTATATGCCCTAGGATTACCAAAATTTCTGTTTATATGTTCCTTAGTAAAATTCTCTGTTTTGAATGTAATTTATATACTCATTCAACTAACATTATTAAGTTACCAGGAGTCAATTTCTTACTTTTTTAACACAACCACCCAACAACATAAAACAACATGAGAAAGTTATAGGCAGTTTTTATAGAAGATTATCTGATTTTAAATACCAATGTGTGGCACAGGGTAACAGAGGAAAGAGAAAGCAATTATTCTCGCAAATATCAAGGAGGGCTTCACAAGGGAGATGGCTGGTGGTCTCATATACTTTCATGGTTTAATCTTTACTAGAAGATGACAAGATGACTACCAATGCATTAAAACAAAAATCTCTTCTTACCACATCATCCACACATCTCTTAATGAGAATTTTGTTCTGGATTTAAATAGGAACATATAAATATTCATTTAATCATGAAATGTCTGCAGTCTCTCAAGTTAAGCATATCAGAATTATGTAAGTATGGAAAATTCACAGAATAAATTATAAACATTTTACATGTTGTAGACAAAATATTATATATATTTTTTTTCAAAAAATGTGAATGATATGGAGGAGGAAGATTCAGACTAGACATAAGATCAGAAAAGTACAGGAATAGGACAGAGTTCATGGATTTCCAATCTGTAAGATGAGAGTCAAGCCAATGTTCATCAAGAGATAATAATGGAGAAGCTTATGAAAATAAAAATATCTTAGTGTTTTGAAAAAAACTTAACTTAGCATATTACAACTAGCCTAAAACTTGTAAACAGACTGCAGGGACATTGAAAAGGAACCAGTTGCAAAATTATAAGACTGAGATATGAATGCTTATAAAAGGATGGTAGTCATCTAAATTGAAATTAAGGGTAATAATCAAAACTGGTGTATATATACCAGTAGAACAACATAGGTATCCCAGAATTAAACCCAAACATATATGGTAACTAATTTTTGAGAAGAGTGCCAGGAGAACACAACAAGGAAAATATGGTCATTTCAATAAAAAATGTTTGAAAAACAGGATTTCCAATGCAAAAGAATAAAACTTAGCATTTACTTTGCACCATACACAAAAATCAAATCAAAGTGTATAAAAGATCTATATATAAGACCAGAAAAATTAAAAGTCCTAGAGTAGAACATAAAGGAAAAATTCTTGAACATTGGCCTTGGCAGCAATATTTTGGGCACCACACCAAAAGCTCAGGCCCCAAAAGTAAAAATAAATGGAACTAAGTCAAATTAAAAAGCTTCTGCACAACAAAGGAAAGAATCAAAAAATCGAAATGGCAGCTTATCATTATCATAATTTGATAATGAGTTAGTAGCCAACATGTATAAATAATTCATATGACAATAAGAGTAAAACAACCCCAGTAAATAGTTGTCAAAGAGTTAAACAGACATTTCTCCAAAAGAAGGCATAAAAATAGCCAATAGTTATGTGAAAGAGCATTTAATATAATTAATCATCAAGGGAATGCAAATAAAAGTCACTATGAGATATCATCTAACAGACATTAGGTTGATTCTTGATAAAAAGAAAAAAATTATAAGTGTGGGCAATGGTGTGGAGAAAATAAAATTTGTACATCACTGGCTGGAATGTAAACTGGTACAACCATATAAAAAACAGTAAGGAAGTTTCTGAAGAAATACAAATATGTATATATCGTGACCCAATGATCCAAAGAAAATGAAATCACCAAAGATCTCTGCACTCCCATGTCCATTGCAGCAGTGTCCACAAGAATCAAGATAAGGAAACAACCTAAATAAGCATCCATGACAGAAAATGGATAAAAAAAAAAAAAAATGATGCATATATACAAATGGAGCCCCATTCAGTCCTAAAAAAAAAAAAAAAAGAACAAAATCTTGCCATTTGCTGCAACATGGATGAACCTAGAGGACATTATGACATTATGTTAAGTGAAATAATAAAAAAACTATGTGATGCACTGGATATGTTAATTTATCTCAGTACAGTAACCTTTTTACTCTCTCCGTGTATTGTATAACAATTTTGTATGCCTTAAAAAACACATTACAATTCATTTTTAAAAAAAGAAATCAAGAGGGAATAATGCTAAATACATTACAATATGAAACAATTTCTTACCTGTACTCCATCTTCACAAATTTCATAGCTTTTACTAACAGCACTGGAACAATCACCAGGAATTTTACTATTGGCAATGTGCTCACTAATATCTTGACCTTCAAATGAAAACATTGTTTAGTTTAGGATATCTACTATACTTGCATTTTATTTTAAGATATATATGGACTTAGCAACAGAAAAATAAAATTTAATTTGAACAATGTATCATTCTTGAGGCAAGTGCAAACTATTACTGGATATACCCAAGTGTGAAAAAATTGCCTTATAATTTTATTTTGGAAAGCAATTATTTTAGACATAGTCAAATGAAGTCTTACCTGGAGTACTGTTGAAGTTGCCACAAAGACCACAAGTTGGATATTGCTTATGAAGATTGAGCTTAAAAATAAATTACATTTATATTTTTATAAAATACTGAAAATATCTCAAGACAATTTACTCAAAGAAGAGGGTCTCCTCAATTCTATGTAAGCTGGTTGCTTAGGGATGCACTACAGGACCTTGTTTTAAGAAACTGCCTCTGGAATTTGGATCGAGTTTTGACTCCACCACTTGCTATGTATCTGTAGGCAGATCCTTTAACTTTTCTAAGCCTGCACTTTCTGAGTTCTATCATGTGCTAAATAAGATTATTAACAGTATGTATACCTTGAACCACTTCAAATACTAAGATAATGCTTGGAATAGTGACTGCAACAGATTTCTCAATAATCCTTAGTTCTTACTTTTATTTCAATGTGTTATTTTTTATGACTAAAAATAACAAAAAGCACAAGGTTATAAGAAAATCCTGAATAGACTTACTGAGAATGTGTTATTTTTCCATATTAAAGACAGGATTCCTCTGCGGCTCTTCAGGACATTATATTCTCCATGTTTTTTAATGTGAATCAACTTATTGTTATATGGTATATTTACCCTGAAAAGTATAAAATCTAGGTGTATATAAAAAGTGAAAAACAGTACGATGTTTTTCTGATAATTCACATTTTTATATTTAGTGACATAAATATAATAGGGTGGTAAATATTATTTCTTCTACATTTTATAAAAAGACACACAATACCATATTCTGATAGAACTTTCAAGGCACAAGTTCCTTGGTCTTTGAGAGATAAACAAGGGTAAAATTTTGGTTCAGTGTTAGAAAATATCACATCATTTGAAATATTCACAAGTAGGGTAGCATGTCTTATTTTCTTATCCTAGAAGTATTCAAAGATACTACTCCTTCTAAATTTGACTTTTCAAAATAATAGTCTAAGAGTTTCAATCTCTTCAATCTCTAATTGACTGCTTTGTGAAGCTTCAATTTTGTACTTAATGTTAAACACGTTAATGAAAATTGAAATGTTCTGTAAAAAGGTTTGTTGAATATGCATGCTGCCCCAAATCTGAATACTCAGAATAGCCAAGCAGCAGAGCCACTACTTTTTTTCTACCTCGTTATAGAAATGAATATATTATCTCATAATCCCAAATATATCCAAGTCTTCCATCTAATAATCGTGTGTGTGTGTGAAAGTTTCAAAATAGAAAGAGTACCATCACTTCTCCATTCAACTTTTGGCTTTTCTTTCTTTTTGCCTCATATTTTTCTGAATGATTCTACTACACTTATCCAACAATTCTGTTATTTACCTTTCTTCATTAACTGATATAGTGTCCCCAGAAATAGAGATGTCATTATTGTCAATCAAAACTTTTATCTTCTCAATCTCATTCTCATTATTTCTTTTCATCTCAATATTGAAGTCTCCTCCAGACTCAACACAGTGACGGCAGAAAGTGAATGGACATGAAGACACCAAGGAAAAGATGCGGCCATTGAAAGCTTTATATGCACCTGAGCCCCAGGTAAAAGCTTCACCTAGAAATATTCAGAGGGGAATATTCATAACTATTTAGGGCAAACTTATAGTTGTTTCTTATCACATTCATGTACTAATTTTAAAGAATCTCTGAAAGGTTCTATTCTCTTCTCTCACTACTGCAAAAATACAAAACAAGTAGGAACTGAATATATCTTAGACTACCCAAAATTGGCTATTCAAACTAAAATAAAGTAAGAATAAAAACACCTTGCTTTTCATGGGAAAAGGGAAATTGTTTCTGATATGAGGAGGGATATATGCAGGGAAATTGTCGTTTATTTGCTTGCTTGTTTGGCTTTTTATCGGTGAGGTGCCATTTATATTGAAATAGTGTAAAGAATTATACTATTTCTATTATATGTATTAATGTATGCATATATGTACATTATTTAAGTATTTATGATTGTGTATTAAGAAAAACAGTACAAATATAATATCATTCAAAGATGCAATGATCAGACAGGTGATGGGGAAATGTTAAAATCAGCTTCAAATTTTGGTTACATTGTGACCTCATTTAGTTACTGTCTTGGTCATAAAAATATAGATGGATATCAGAGCCATGCTTACTTACCAATAACTGCATTTGTTTCTGAGTATTTTGGAGTTGCTTCTGGAATATGGGATCCTTTTTCTATTCAACACAATGCACATATTATTTACATTTTAAGACACATTGATTCAAAATACATAAGATACTAGAACTTCTGCATGGGAATTTAAAAGTTGGAATAGAAGGCCATCAATGATTTTCTTTATCCTGAATATGTAATTTGATGTTTAGGGCTAGGATTTGCTGAATTCACATACAAGGTTGCCTCTGCAGTTCATATTTTCTCTGGGAATAATCAGCCAGTGTATGTTTAAAAATTATTAAGAATTTATTCACTTGGGATCATGTCAGTTACTAACATTATGTTATATCCCTTACAGAACTTTTTTTTACTTCAAAAATAAAACGTTGCAAGTCCATTTTCATGAGAAGCAATGACTCAAGCTCAAGACACATTTTTATTCAATTTATTTGCTAATAATAATTCAATTGTACAAACATGTGGAAACTTTAAATTTTCCATATCAAAAGGTAAAATCCATTTAAACTTTATGCTTCCTATAATCATTTGTTTCTCATGGCCCTTTAATGTAACTAAGTAAATTTATCTGAAACCTTAAGAAAGAAGGATAGTAGTAACAAAAGCAGATATTTCAATAGCATTTTAAAATGTTTTTCAAATGCTATTTTTTTTTCTATTTTTAAGACACTTCTCTTTACCACAGGTTATCTTCACTGAGATAATGTAGAAAGACTTCCTCAAAATTTATTTATAAAAGCATTGTTAAGATATCTTAAATAAGAAAAAGTTCTATTGTTTTGTTAAAATTCCCTCAAAATATAATTTATTCCCTCTCATTCATTAAGTTGTTTTAAATATCTCATTTTTATAATTATCTAAATTTATAGTCAAAGAGAAGCAGTACTCAGACACTCAATATTAGATATGCAATAATACCAAATCCTAGTAATACAATAATCAACAGAATATTTCAAACTTGCGTGCATGCGTGTGTGTGTGTGTGTGTGTGTTTAAATGTCCAAAGTCAGAAGTCAAATTACCTGGAGTACTGAGTGATCCAGATTTGCCGTCTTTAGATGAGTTTTTGACACCTATTTTAATACAAAATGATTAGGCTACTATCTGCATATAATTTTATGTGGTAAAAGTTTTTAAACAAACTTATGGATAAATCATGGATCCACATTAACAAATGCTAATACTAGCTGACTTATACCACATAAAGCTGTATAAGACCCAAAAAAATGTGTCTTCAAACACCTGCTGGAATTACAAAATTAAATGACTTACCACTAAATTAAGTGACACCAAATTAATTTATTCCAGATCAATTGTCTTAAAACTTGTCCAGGAAGAGAAAAGGGTTGAGTAGATGGGGCTCAAGGTATCCTATCCAAGTTTCAAGTCAACTTTCTCCTATTTTGAATTGTTTTGCATTTGGATAACTAGGTACCATTTCAAGAGGATTCTCATTCATAGAAACTGGAAATATGAAATCACTAATCTACATGAACTGATGCCTTCATGAATGTCAAGAGATATAGAACTTCCAACTGCTAAGCCACTGGATTTACTGCCATTGGTAACACTACCAGAAAGAGCACCACTTACTAAAAATAGACCTCATGTGGAAAATCAAAGCAATCATATTTTGACATCCAAGTAGCAGAAAAATCTCAAATTGGTAAGCACTTCACAATAGAAAGATAATAGATAATTAATTTTAAATACATTTCTCAGGAACAAATCCTAAATTTAAATACTTGAGTTAATGCCAGTAAATCTGGGATTCAAAATGTGTTATTCAAACCACCTGTACTGACTGTAATTAAACAAGATCATTCATTCATAAATAGTGAATGATTTCAGTTTTATTAGTTCCACTGAAGAGTTAACTTCAAAGATTAAGAACAACTGAAGAATAAAATATTATTTCTATATAAGCAAACTTATTATTTGGGGAGGGAGGGGGCCTGGGGATTGAAACCAGAGGTGAATTACCATGAGATACATCCCCAGCCCATTTTTTAAGATAGGATCCAAGTTGCTTAGGGCCTCCCTTAATTGCTAAATCTGACCTCAAACTCACAATCCTCCTGCCTCAGTCTCTCTAGCCACTGGGGATTATAGACATGAGCCACTGCGCCCAGCTAAGCAAGCCTTTTTTGAAGAGACTCATTGAGAGTTAATCCTGAGTTAGGTCAATCATTACTAAACTCCACCATATCTCTTGTTAATTAGATTTCACTTCATAAAACAGACATTAATCCTGAAGTTTACTTCTAAAGATTGATCCTGAATGTTTCTCCAAATATCCATTTCATTTGGAAGAGTCTACGATACACAATTATGATCATCACCTCTAGTGGCCCCCAAGACATTCCCACACTGCTAACAGTATCAGAACCAGCCTCCTATCACTAAGAAACATTATTTTAACAAGACAATTCAACTTAATGTCTCCCTTAAGCTGAAATTAAATTTTATGAGATTTTCAAAAGGGATAAAACTTGTTTATTCATCTCAGAAATGAATCTGAAAAGAAAAAACTCTCAAGTCCAGCTCCAGGATATTAACTTTGAGCCCAGAACAATGGCTGCTACTCTACCCATCTCTTCAACTGATTCCAAATCATTTCTGCCTAAAGGCAACAAAAGGAATTCCAAATTGACATGCTCACAATCATAAAGTCAGTTTAAATTCTGTGCTGACAAATGCTTTTGCTTGATCATATCTAAATACATTTCAACATTTCAGGATTCTGGCTTGCTTTTTAATTTGCTCTTAATAATGTTTACAATTTTTATTTTTCAAATGCATCTTATAATCCCAACTTTGTAATCATCAGAAATAAATCTTAATGTCTAAGCCAAGGAACCAGATCAGTAACATCCTTTCCAGTATCACAAGTACCTGTACCACTAAGGCCAGTTTCACCAAGTTCGTTCACTCCAGAAGCACCAAATTCAGCTGCACCCTTCCTTCCTCTATCACTTTCAGAACCAGAATACAAAGTGTTGCTTCCTAATGGAAAATCAAAATGTAATTTAAAAAGATAAGGAAGGAAGAAATGAGTTGTTATTTCTTGGGAATAGAGCCTAGGTTAAAATACCTGAGCCACTGATATCAGATCCAGGGCTCAAGTATCCAGCCCCATTAGATCCACTGCTACTCTTTCCATTCCCATCAGTTGCACTGATGCCAAATCCCTGTTGATCAGATGACCCCAGATTGGCGCCTGAATCTTCAGAGAGAACACCAGAATATTCAACCCCACTTTTTTCACTTGAGCCACCTGCTGAACACAAAATGACGGTCACAAGAATTACTTTCAATCATGCAACTCAGAATTGTTCTGTGCACAGAAATTAATTGTAAGTACCTAGAGTACTGGAGTATCTAGAACCTTCAGAACCACCTACTTTAGTTCCATCAAGGTCTACACCACTATGTCCATTGTCATGGAGTTGATTTGAACTAGAATCACTCCAACTCTACCCTTTTCATCTCCATTTGCAATGACCCAAAACAAGGTCTCTCCCTCTAATGGAAAAAAAATTGAATGTTCTTTTAAAAGTTTATGAAACGTTGAAATCTATTTCAATTTCTCTGAAAGAGTCCAGATTAGCACAACACCTGCACTAATGGGCATCTGACCTGAGACTTGTAGATTCAAACTCAATAAACATTCTGCTACCCATTTCACCAATCCCCTGTGCCTCCAAATTCCTTTTCACCAAATGTCTCAACACCAAATTCAAATTTTCCAATATGTTCACCCCAATTTTGAACTGATATTCCTATCAGAATATTAAACTTGTTATCAGAAGACATTTAATAAATTTTATTATTTGGAAATTTTTATATAGAGAGATTAACTATCAGCAACCACACCACTTGGAGTAGATTCTCTAGTACCTTTTGTTCCATTTTCACTAAGTCCATTGTCAGCAACTGTGTTTGAACTAGAATCTCCAAGACCAACATCTCTACCCTTCCTTTCTCCAGATCCAAAATCAAGTAACCAGGGCTTTTTCACTGGCAGAGAAATAAAATGTTACTAAAATAATGGATTAAAGGTTGAAATCAACTTAGATTTTTATGAAGCACAGTCCAAAATTCAGCTACCTGAGCCACTGGCATCAGATCCACTGCTTTCAGGTTCCTTTGGATCAGATTTCTTAGAACCAAGGCCTAATATTCCTAATATGCCAATATTATCCCTCTTTTTTGTAGTGGTAACACCTGCAGAATGTAAAATTACTGTCATCAAAACATAGTTCAATAAGTCTATGATTAAACCTTCTTTTATGTACAGAAATTATCTATCAACAATTAAACCACTAGCTATGTTCTCCAGTACCTTTGATTCCATGATCACTAAGGGCATTGTCACCAAACTGATTTGAAATAGATAATCCAAGACCAATTTGAGCTCCAACCTTATTTCCTCCAAGTTTTAAATCAAGAGAACTTTGCTTTCCTACTAATAGAAAAATCAAAATGTTATTACATACAACAATAAATATTTGAAACTCAGTCAAGTAACTTAGTAACAGAGGCTGGGAAGAATACCTGAGCTACTGGCCTCAAGTCCAGGGCCTTTGACTTGAGCCCCAACAGATGCACTGTCACTCAATTCATTCCAACCAATTTTATTGATTCCAAGTCCCTTCTCAATAGAAGCCAATAAATTGGATATCATATTTCCATATCTACCACCACCATACTGATTCTCACTTCTCAAAGTAGTATCACCTGCAGAACATAAAAGGTCTGTCACAGAGCATATTGAAAATATTTTATGATTCTGAAATTTTTATTCATAAATATTAGATATTAATACCTAGATTATTGGAAATACATTCTCCAGAACTACCCATTTGGTCTCCTTCAACTGTTTTGCTAGTAATACCACTATCACCAAATAAATTGATACCAGAAACTCCAAAACCAAGTGCAGCATCACCCTTCCCTACTCCAAGCTCCAAACCAAAAAAAACTTGGTTCCAAATAACAGAAAAATCAAAATGATATTAAACTTAATATTAATTAGTTGTTGGTTATTAAATGGTATTAGAAGAAGAATATTTTAACCAACTAATTCATTTATAATTTTCAAAAATGAGTATTAATTGGACTACCTGAGCTACAGCCATCAGATTCAAAGATTAGTTTTACCTTCGATAAATCTACTGCTGCTAATTTCCAATCCCTTTTGTACAGATGTGCCTAAACCAAATGCCAAATCTCTGCAGCCACTACTACTAAGTCTAACCCCACTTATTGTGCCGGTGCTATCTGATGAAATAAAACAATATTGTCACTAGGGAATATTTAAATATCATGTAATTCTTTACTTTTAATGAAAAAAAACAAGTAGTATTATTTAGATAACTGGAATTTGATTTTACAGTATTTCCTATTTCGTTTTCACCAATGTCTTGTCTTTTAGTTCAGGACCACCAACATCAATTCCACGTGAGCCAGAATTATCAAACCAAATCTCAATTTACCCTTCTTTTCACCACCAAGGGCAAAAATCAAAATGCAAAATGTTTTCTACATAATGGAAAATTAAAATACTCTCAGGAGCAATAATCAAATAAAAAAGTTTTTTATTTTTTATTTTTATTAAGAATATGTATCAGAATTCTTGAGCTGTTGCTATGAGTCCCAAGGCTCATGGATTTACAACCAATGAACTCCTTTCTGTTCTTCCTGTTTCTACCATTATCTAAACCTTTCAAGGTAAATTGCTCTGACGCAAAAATGCCTAGAGTGACAGTACTTTATGTACTTGTGCATACTTTTACAAACTTACTTTCTTCTGGCATTGTGTTTTCAAGAAGACTGCCCAATATGAGTAATAAAGCTCAGAAAAGTAGCACTGTATAAATGTTATACAGAAACATGAGCTGAAAATTTTTCCAGATGACAAAACTTGGAAACAAGATGGTTTAAGTAGATTAGTGAGAAATACTGGGGACAGAAATTAGGTCTTTTTTCCTTGACCCAAGTTACTTCAATAAGAGTCTTAAATCCTCTTGTTTCTTCACTAAATTATTGATATTGTTGATTTCTGCCAAATATAACACAAATCCTTTAAGAACAAAACACAGTTTACAATTCTTTTCCATGAATTCCTCTAACACTAAATCTGAAATACTCAAAAAACAAACAAAATAATAAAAAAAAAAAACAACAACAAAAACACAAATCCCTGCTTTTGTTTTTTTTTCCTCCAGTAGAAAACAGAAACTAAAAAACAACTTCAAATACCTGTTTCCCTGGCAGCAGAACCATAGCCAGCATTCACTTCAAATCCAATTTGACCAGATGGACCCCTACCAATTTTATTTTTATCTGAAGTAGTACCAAGAAATTCTTTACCACCAGGGACACTGTTGACAATACCACTTGCTGAACTGGGTTCATCTACCACACAAAAATATAAGCATTATCAGATTGCATTCATTCACCCAAGAAAATCATCTATTAATGTTAGTCAATTAAATAAACTACCTTAACACTTTTTGGTGTATTTCTTTACCTCCCTTCATATATCTTTCAATATATAATTCTACATAATATAATCAGAGGCATGGCAATCCATTTACCATGTGTATTGAGAGGCTTCCATAAGAAAAAATGAAGAAACAATGGAATCATTTAAGATAAAATTTCACTGGGCTCTATAGAACGTGAGAAAACAATTATTTCAATATGACAAATATCTCTGTATTACAAAATGAGAGCAAATAAAGGTTCTCTATGCAATTGGTCTCACTGACTTTATCAATCCAAAATAGGTAACAGGAGAAAGAAGCAACATTTGTGTCCTTCCTAAAGATATTTCAACCATAACTCTATAATCAACGCTGTTTCTCCCTTTTCAACTATGACCACTTGAACTCAAATATTAAGTGTTAATGTAAAATATCAAAAGTGAGTTTCCTCACAAAACTCCTTTCTTTCCCATTTTTCAGGGAGCACAAACTACAAAAGAGAAACCTTAGGCAAGTGAGAGAGGATAGGTTGAATAGAGAGAAATACGTTGAACCAGATAGAGTATGTCTCACCTAAAAGAGTTTAACTATTCTCAACCAAAAAAACCACACAAGCCATGAACTGTTTAGAAACCCTGCTTTAGAATATTATTCAGAAAATTGAGAATGTAATTTAAAAGGAGAACTAGATATAGAAAATTAGTTGGGCCTGGATATAGAATCCCGGGTGAAGAGACCCTATGTCAAATTTGGGTAGGGGAAGTATTTTAAATCAATAATTTATACAGTGAAAAAAATGTCACAGAATGATGGATCTTTATAATAAAAACACCATGCATAAAGACAGCTTAAGAAAATGTTTAAATAAAAATAAATTATGTCAATATTGTTGCCAAAAGTCTAATGTCTGAATTCATGACTCTCATTGACATTGAAATTATTGCTACTAGTTGCTACTATTACTAATAAGACCAGTTGCTACAAATAAAGTTTATCACAAATGGAAAAGAAAAGGAAAAGGCACTTGTTTTCTAGGAAAGCTTTTATTTCCCTAACAGTACCTCTTGGGTTGTCTTCCGACTTGGAATTCTCAGTGTCCCTAAGTCCTCTAGGCCTGGATTCAGCTCCTTCAGGAACTTCATGTTCAAAGTTAAAGAGTGAGTCAACAAGAGATTTCTTTGGGCTGCTTGAGACACCAGAGAATAAGCTACCGAGGAAATCACCACCTAACAGGAACAACAGATTTTGGGTGAAAATAGTACTGCTTGCTCAAAATATGAAGGAACTCTATGACACTATGAAAAGCCACATTTTATTTTGTGTAAGTCCTATTATTCTAGCCACACATGGAACCATATATACCAATACCTGACTGAATCACTTTATCCATCTATTCTTGTCATGGTTCTAAGACCTCAAGAAAGAAGAGAATAGCTGTGAAAATTGAATAATCTGTATGTACCACAAAATTGCCTTCTCATGACCTGATGGAAACTTTCCCATTTACTTCTTACTTAGGAATAAATTCACTTGCTCAGAATTTCAGTGGATTTTCAGAGAGCAATAGAATTCCAAGTGTTCCTTTGTCTAATTATAATTTCCTGAATGGGGTCTCTAGAAGAATATTAAAGATCCATATGTTCCCATCTATTAAAGTAAAAACTGAACTTTGTATACTTGGAGGTAGAGAAACCCTGACACTTCGTCATGATAGAACTTCATGAGTCATCTCCATAGGTATGATGGCTAACTATCTTTGTGAGCCAACTTTTCTGCTGCTCAATTTCAGCTTACATTTAACCTCAAAGGAAACATTTTCCAATTAAATTTTTGCATTTAAGTTGAAAAAAGAGGCAGGGAACTAAAATGACATATGAAATCAAATCGATATTGACATATTAGCAAAAATCTTACTGATGAGTTTAAGAAAAATTCTGTAAAAGCACTGCTGTTGATTTCTTGAAGCTTACTTTTCAAGATGATTGGTAAGGAAATAATAACAACAACAACAACAGAAAATGGTTGATGCTAATTAATGTTCAATCACTGTAAGGCCTCCAGAAACACTACTGGGATGCCATCAATGTTAATGGAAACGATCATTTATAAATTAATCTCGGGAAAAAAAAAAAAACAAGAGCCTGTTCTGCCAACAAAAATAGAGGCAAGTAAAACCTCATATCTACATGCTCATGCCTCTCATAAATTTAAGATATTTTGGAAAAGCAAACACCCACAGCAATTTTCCATTTTTAATTTCACCCCTTTTGAAATACTAATTAAATGATAAAAGATCTAGCCCAGATTATACAGAAACACACTAAAGTATGTTTGCTTGGAACTTAATAAGGAGTATTAAGTTTTAAATATCTTAAGGATTTTTCCTGAAGAGATATACCTTCTCTCCAAAGAAAAGCATGGCCACCCTACTGGTTTTCAATGTAAACAGTTTAAGAAAATAAAACAAAGCACTTACTTGATTTTTTTACTTTATCATCTGGAGGGAAAAAAAAAGAGAATTACAGCCATTAGCAGTGTCCCTAAAAATCAGATTTCCGATAGGAAGTGAACTTTGATTAGAGTCATTTCTTGTCCTTGTGATCCCACAGAGAAATGTTGATTTGAAGTCAATACTCAGACATGAATATACTAATTAGCCATCAACCTTGGTGCATTTGTACCTCTCCAGGAAGTAAAAAAATAAAATAAAGAAGTTCCTCCAGTTCTCCGGACTATCCAACACACAGTCTAGATGCACAAATTAGAATGCAGCAAAATACAGTACAAAATACTTGAATTACTTAAAATATGCTTCAGAACATTGATTATTATTATACTGGTGAAATGAAGAAATATTAATTCAGACATTTTCTTATGACAAAAATACTGAGTAAACTGAATTTACTTAATCTGATTCAAAAGTCTTCAATTTCTATTTTATTACTGGATAACAAGTTCACAAATATACAACATACTAGCATTTTAAACATTATTATGAATCAAAGTGAATTTTCTCCATATTTAAATAAGTGGCACTTAAATTTACAAGCTTATGAAGCTATTTTAAGTGTAAGTTAAAAATTTTACAGAATAACTACTTTACAAAAAAGGTTTAATTTACAGATAAACACAATTAAATTATATTTAAAGAGATAAAAAATATTTTTATCCAATGCATCCAAACATCGATCTCCAGAAGAACAAAGTGACTATGTGAAATAAAATATTTAACAATAATAAAATTTAGCATGTTTTGTGTTGATGATGTACTCAAGAAACCTCAAAAAAAAATCTTAGACAATATATTTAGTTTGAGTCTCTTTTTAATACAGTTTTAATACTCTAATTTCACAAATACCCTAAATCCTAACTAACCACATTATTCAAATAAAAAGTCCAGGCATACGGTCTTTTGCTAAGATATGATTTCAGAAATGGGAACTGTCTTATTAACTTTGCCAGTCAAGAAAATTCCTCAGGGCCTCACTCAGAATGCACATTCTTACCCCAGATATAAGGCTAATGACTGTGAATCAATAGTGTTCTCATCAGAGTAGACTAAAGGCAGTAAGAATTAGAACTGGGAACAAAAAGCAGACACAAGAATCCTAGCAGGATGCAGAGCCAGATGTTGAATATAGTGAGTAGACAAAAAGGCCACTCAAAAGCAAATACAGAAAGCATGTGTAGAGAAGGAGCAAACTTTCTTGAATTCAGTGATCCAAAGAGCATCATTGTGATATGTGATATGAAAAACAGCACTCATTTTGATGTCCTAAAAAAAATTAAGCTATATTCAGAAACCTGTTATCTTCTTGGGTAAAAAGATTCTGTGGATTATTTCAGAAAGCTTACCTTGAAAAGTATTTGGTTACTTTCAGGCAGAAAATGTTTGTATGCAAAATTAATCATGTGTCAATAATCCCAAGTTTATATATATATATATAGTTTAAAACTATATGCTGAGTACCTGCTTTGTGGCAGCCAATATTCCAGCTTTACAAATACAGAGTGAACAACATAGATTAAAACCCCATCCTTGAAGAGTTTGCAAATGTGGGATAAATGAAGAAACAAAGTAGCTCAGTCACAAAATGAGTGGGTGTAAAACACATTCATTTTCTGGGTCCAGAAGTAGGTTCAGAATATACCATGATATCTCCAAGTATAAATTTCCAAAAGATACTGACCTGATTTTGACTTACTAAATAGTGTTTCCCCATCTATAAAAAAAATTAAAAAGAGCAATAATATATTATTTTGTAGTTCTCCATATCATATTTTAAGACTATGAGAATGGTACTATTCTTGTTTCTATTAACCCCTTAAAATTCAACACAAGTAATCTCCTTTTTATATCTGATAACTGTGATATTTCGGTATAAATTTATTATATTGAACTATCTTATTTAACAAAACTTACCTATATGATCCAGGTAATGCATTTATCTATCACACATTTAAAATCAAATTATAAATAGGAAGGGTAGCAGAATACAATAGACACTAATATGGCTGTATGTATAAACGTGGCTGTAAAACCAATGTGATACTGCAATCTGTACAAGTGGAAAAATAAGAATTCATACCCCACTTGAATCAAATGTATGATATGTCAAGATCATTGTAATGTTTTGAGCAACTAATAAAAAATTAAAATAAATAAATAAAGCAAAAAAAATCAAATCAAATTATAAAATTTCAACTCAGTCTTGGAAATATACGTGGCCAAATAAATCAAACTCACCAATTTCTACTAGTTAATACTTTTTTTTTTTTTGCACAACTACAACTATTGATCTGAAGTATATCCTCTGACCTGTCAATTATATGGATTTTATACAAGTGAAATAGAGAATAGCCTGAGAAAAAGATAAACATTTGTTTTGTGTGTGTCTGTTGTCATATCTATATTTCTTATAACTAAAGTTTTCCCACTTAGCCAGGAAAAACTGGTTTTTAATTGTTTTTCTTTCTTTCTATACAGTATGGTTATTTAAATAGTACAAATTTTTCTTTGATTAATTATAAAGATGCCGCCTAAATATCTGCCTCACTAAATTCCAGGTCCCCAGATTTTATTAATCTGTAACACATCAAAAATGGAAGAGACTGTGTTTGAAACATTCATTCATTGACTAAGGTCAACAAATTTATTTCAATTTGAGTACCTAGAATTTCTTCAAAGAGCTTTTATCTAGGTATGTTCCTTAATTCTTACCAAATCCTTATAAATAAATAGATTTGGGATTTTTTAATAAACCTATGGAAAGCCTATCAAAACACTCATAATCATTTCCCAGAACTATCATGGAGAACTGGGAATTTCTTTTAAAATATTAGTCAATTGCAGTGTGAATATACTTTAATAAATGCTTTTAAAGTACATTTTGTTATAATATCATTTAATAAATGCTTTGCAAATATTTAAGTAACAAAACACAGAACAAAGTAATGACACATTTATGTAAACTACAAATAATATTTATATTTTATGCAAAGTAGAAGCAAAGAATATAGCAAAACTAAGATTATGAAAGTCACCATTACTAGTGGTAATCATTTTGTAATGGTCCATCAGACAATTTCCCAATCAGTTACATTAAAGATAGAAATGTTTTCTCTTATATTCATAATAATTATAATCTTCTATATTCTGGTTTCACAGAGAAAAGTAAAATGGGCGCTGTGTCTGATCCCAAAATTGAGAAACCAATGACGTTAAGATTGAAAATATATTTCCTTTACTAACTTTTTTCCCATAGGTTTGAAAAACGCTCTTGCTACTCTTTTCAGAAACAGGACTAAAAGGTAAGAAATATATTTTTTTCTAAAGGCTTTTTCATTTTGCTCAATTTTTAATTTTACCAAAATTAATGATGTCTTGCCTTTCAGTTAGTTTCACAAATTAAAATTATCTGAAATATCCAATAAATACGTAAGCTTACAAAATGTTTTCTCCTATGAAATTTTGTCTTGGTAATGGATCAATCTTTTAATTAGTCATGCTTTGCTGATTTGTGAAAAACGCCATTATCAGTACGGGCTTCTAGTCTTAACCTGAAATATGTGTTAGAGCCATGAAAACAAACTGGGAGGAAAATGAGTAATGATTAACAGTAACATTGTAACACACACACACACACACACACACACACACCTTTAAGACAAACCTGTTAAGGCTGAAGTAATACTCAGAAACATGAAAATATGGTTTTCTTACATA